GTGAATATTTACTTGAGGGAAAATGATTTTATTCCAGTTTAAATAATCAAAACGATTTCAATTCTGTTGAAATTTGAAGAAGTTACATATTCTCTGATAATGGGTATAGTGATTCATTTATGTGTTTAAAAAAACCTAAATGAGTGCTCATGGCGTAATGAGAGAAAAAATTTAAACGTTTAAAAACGTTTCCCGTTTAAAAAATATATTCACGTTATAGTAACGTTAACAAACGTTGATGTAGCGTTTATAAATGTTTTAATTTGTTAATATGTTTGACTTTACAAAGGATATTTCCTTTAAAAAAGAGCATTCATTTTTATTTAAAGCTTTTATTATATATAACAATAGTTTCCTTTATAACATTAATTTATATTCGAAGGCATATTTATATTTTTGCGTAATTACTGTTTCCTGTAACGAAATAGTTCCCATGTATATTTTGGAAAAAGAATCCTTTCTCTTTAATTGATTTTGATAATAAAAAAATTGAATATCATTAATATTCAATTCTTTTCAATCCGCAAAAGAATATTAGATTTAATAATAAAAACGTTAACAAATGTACAAAGTATTATTTATCGTTACGTTGTAAGAAATGAATGTCATTGCATGAGGAATAAATAAAAGTATTGAATCTGCTTGTGAATCTTAAGCAAGCGTATTGAAATTGGGAGGCTAAAATGTTTGGTCTAAAATTATGATTCTTTCTCTAAAATATAAAACTAACGCCGAAGCAATCCGCTGAAAAAATAGTAAAAATATGTACTTATATTCATGAAGTTTTTTACTTGAATAAAATTAATTCTTGAATTTACTTGAATAAAATTACTCAATTAGAAATTCATTTAATGAATGAATTCATATTAATCAAATATGAATTCATTCACTGAATTAAAAAAAAAATTCTTTTCATCACATGTAATATGAAAAAGGATAGATTAAAAATTATAAAAGTTTTCCTAACTTACTTGCATTTTTAAAACTAAAAATGTTTTCACTGTGCATTTTAATTTATACTGATTTTAATTTTTAAATAAATTCTACAATGATATTTGAATTTCTTTTTGGAAAAAATCTTGTATGTGCATGTTGTGCTATAAGTTATATTGGGATAAATGTATACGGAGATTAGCAAATAAAATATTTATCAAGTTAACATGTTTTTGTGGTTAATTTTTATAAAGCAATATATGGATTCAGATTCAAAAATTTGGCACTAAAAAGCCTTGTATTTTATAAAGCTGCTTTTTTACTTAAATTAAATTAAAAATTTAACGAGTAAAATTTACATATTTCACAGTATCTTTAAACATCGAAAAAAAATCAACATAAACCATAAACTAATTAAAGAGTTAATTTTTTTAAAAAAAAACAACATTACAACAAAAATTTATGTGATACAAAATATTAGAACAACATTAGAGCATTATAAACACTAAAATTCATTTATAAATAAATGGAGGAAAAAAAGAGTTACCTAATATTTTATAACAGTGTCTACAGCTTTGATTACTGCATATCTTGTAATAAGCAAGTTTTCGATAATTTTTTTGTAAGTAGACTTAATGCACTCAGCTAGCTCAGCTTTATTTTGGTGAAACTTTTTGAATTTTTTTTTAATATACCCTATTAATTTTCAAATAGGTTTAGATCCGGGGACTTAGCTGGTCACGGTTACATTATAATTTTTATTGTTTCAATCAGATCTTTGTTGGTTTTGATGTATGAGGTGAAGCTAACCCTTGTTGAAAAATAATATCATCCTCAACCAAGTCTCCAGAGGAGGCGATCGTGTAATGTTTAAAAACATCTTGATATATTTCTGAATTAACATTTTCTTTGCGGATGCATACTTTTCTAGGTCCATTTACGCTCATGCAACTAATTCTGTATTCTCACAGCTATAAATTTTACTGAATATTTCAAATAATCCTTATTACTAGCTTGAATGCCATAAAACTCACAAAGCATACTTCTTTCACTGAATAATATCGTTTTCCAATCTTTTCAGCCCTATAACAATTAATAATAATAAGTCAATCAGGTTCGACACACACACGTCGTCGCTTGCAGATATCCAATCAAATAACGCTTCTTAAGTTGTTACCGTCAATACAAAAATTACACTTCTCCGTTAAATTTCCAACGAATTAGAGGCAAATAATAGATAAAATAAAGGATATTTCATTTTTTTCTGGTTGGTGGGCAACAAGAGATTTCTGCTAGACTTGACCATATATGAGCGAAACAATTTCCGAAAATTACATGAGCAAATAAAACAGCCAAAATCTTCACCGAGCTTCGTTAACAACAGTGCCGCTTGCGTGGAACACACATATGCGCCTTTAGGTCACACCGATGATTTCGCTGGATGCAAATATGCGCTAATAAGTATTAGGAGGATTAACTCATAATTGCTTGGATCTATCTATCTATATATAAGTGTGCATGTTTGCTTAGATCAAAAACATGTATTATTTTTTGTTACCTAGCGTCTTAAAATGGCGCTGTGTCTTAACTTCAGATCAAGACATAAGTATGTATTTGGCCGAGATAGCCTGTTTGGTAGGGCACTGAGCCCATGTCCAAGATTTCGTGGGTTCGATCCCAGCCGGCCGAAGACTCCCCTTGTAGTAAATGCGGTGACTGATGCACGTTAAATCTGTCGAATCGCAAAGTAGTCCATGTTCCCGTAACAAATCAAAACCACTTGGGATACTGATCCAGGAGTTTCTTTGTGTTCTGGATTGGTTCAAAATTACAAGGCTTCGGAATTGAACATTAGTTGCCGTAAACCCAAATTTTGGTCGGCTGTTCAATGACGGATATATATATAAAAGTATGTATTTGGAAATTTTAATTAGAACACTTTCTTTTTCTTCAAAAGACATATCTTAATTGGCGATCGAAAGGGGCTGCAGGGGGGCGTAGAGCAGAATTCTCTACCTATGACACATGGATATTGCTTTGCATGCTTTCACTATTAGCGTGTGGAGAGTCCTATGAAAATTAAGTACGTTAGTTTCAAGTTAGTACTTTCAAGTTAGCAAGCTATATGGAACTGGAAACTAAATTGAACATAGTTTCGAAAGAGAGAGTCATTGAAATTTTAAAAAAATATTTGTAACAATTAAATACGAAAAACATTAAAGTAGGGGGAAATATCGTTGTACATTCCCATACAACTGAGAAGAGAAGGAGAGGGAAGGGTCAAGTCATAGAACCGCTCTTCTCTACAGATTTGAGCATTGCGATCGTGAATTGGCAATATCGAAATGGGCTACAAGTGCTGTAGAGCAGAACTCTCCACCTATGGCAACACTTAGCATGCTTTCACCATTAGTGTGTGGAGAGTCATAGAAGGAAGTACGTTAATTTCTGTCTTGATTTTCAAATAGCTTAAAATCTTGTAAATTAGGAAACTATATGGAACTGAAAACTATATTAAACATAGTTCTCAAAGAAAGCTTCATGGAAATTTAAAAAAAAAATTTTTATAATTAAATATGAAAAATAATAAAGGAAAAATATCGTAGTACATTCCAGATACAACTGAAAAGAGGAGGAGAGGAAAGATGAAGAGCTGTATTTGCGACCGTAACACTCAAATACGCCATTTGGGAAGAAAACCGGTTCCATATCTCAACCCTCCTCTTCTGCTCAGTTGTATGGAAATGTTCTACAAAATTTTCCCCAGTCATAATATTTTTTCGCATTTTAATATCTTCTGAAATTTTCAAGACACTTTCTTTAAGAACTATGTTTAGTGCAGTTTTCAGTTCCATATAGTGTCCTAACTTTAAAAAATTTAATCTGCTTAAAAATTTCGACAAAAACTAACGAGCTTCCTTCTTCTATGACTATCCACACGCTAATGGAGAATCCATGCGAAGTGTTGCCATAGGTAGAGAGTTCTGCTTTATGCCACTTCCATCGCCAAAAACCTTTTAACACAAATGGGACAATGTCCCTTTTATATATATATTTTTTTCCGATGCCCTAATTTAAAACAAAAAATAAGTTTTGGATTTTTTTAAGCATAAAAAACAGTCTAATAGTTACTAAAAAATTCATTAGATTATCGGAATTATATTTTTGCTAAAATATAAAATCAAAAAAAGTAGTTAGAAAGAATTTTTTTTTTTCATTCCTTTTCAAAATTTAAGAATTGATTTTGTAAATTAAAGAAATTTTAATGATGAATAGCTGTTTCTCTTAGATCAAACTAGCTGCAAAAAAAGCACAAATTTGAAAAATTGTTTGGAAGATTTTAAATTTAATGTAGCAATAAGATACTGATGTTTCAAGCAGTGTGTGATAACCATAAATTATAAAAATACTAAACATAATATTTTTCTCTTATTTTGACCTAAATTAATACAAAGTAATGATAAAAGTATGAAAAAATATGTTTTATAAAAATTCTGCATCAAAAGGATAAAACTAAGCACAGATGGCACTAACAATTAAATTTCGTAATAAGACCTAAAGGTTACTACTTCAGATTTATTTTTACACTTAAGATTAAAAAATGCACTATCGTATGTTGCTCATGTACATCTAAAGCTTACTATATGATTTTATCTGAAGGCATAAAAAACTAGAGAACAAGTAACCTTCACACTTAATTTATATCATAATAATGTCCTTAAATCAATTTATGAAGAATCTTATAGAATAATAACGAAAATATAGAATCTTATGAATAATAACATTTCGCATAAATTAAAATAGAAATCTCAATAATTAAACTTCCAAGAATATCAAGCATTTTCATACATTGTCTCGTAAGCATAACAGAAGCGGTGGGATTTCTGAATTCCGTTCCAGTTATAGAATCATGTTATTGTTTACAAGCAGTTTCTCCCCCATAAAGAAAGATTCTACAATTCCCATTACTACTCAAATTTGAAGTCTGATAAAAAAATTTTAAACTGCTAGGGTAGGCTACAAAAAAAAAAAATGTTCAAGTTTGAAATTTAGATTTGACCACCAAACAGGGTGAATTTAATTTTTATTTGAATTCAATGACTTTTTAATTATGACATATGCTACAACAATCTCTTATATTTACACTTTACATGGCATTAGTAATCATTACATATTGTGTACACATGATAATTTTGTATGAAAACTTTTATTTTACACTCACTAGCATTACAATCTAAAAATTCTCAACAAGTGAGTCACATATTTCGTCCTATGACAAAATTCTATAAAAACTCTTATTTGCAAAAGCTGACAGAATTGTATTGGTGTCCATAAAATCATGTCTACTTATAAACACTTTTAAAAAGATACACTTCAAAATTCATTGAAAAATAAATACATATTTACAGAAAAACTGACACACATATATACATATACAATATAATTTAAACACAGGTTGTCGTCAGTATTTAATATTTCAAAATATACACTGTATACATGAGAACAAAAAGCTCAAACACTAAACTCAAATATAAAATCTTATTTCTATCACATCTTACAATTAAGGTAAAACTAGTTTTACACCTCTCTCAAATGCATAGAAATATTATTAAAATAGATTAAAAATATGACAACAATTAAGTCTAAAACTACTTCGTCATAAATTAGCATATAAGAGCTTTAAAAATTTAAGAAATAAAAGATTAGATTGATTTACATGCACTTTCTATTTTGTAAAATAATTTAAGTATGATTCATACAGCCTAATGAATAAAAAAATTCTTACAATAAACATTAATAAAATTAGTTTAATCTTCAATATATATCTGCCAAGAAAGGAAATTCGAAACAAACTCAAAATTCATAAATACTTAAACAATAATAATTAAAAAAAAGATTTGACAAATCAGCCAATTTACTTGCATGTTTTAATTAAGAATAAATAATTTAAAACGATTTCATATAAATTCATATTCAAAATAAATATTGATTCAATTGGGTTAAAATCCATACTGTCACACTAACTGAGTATTTATATGCACAAATAAAAAAAATTTTAAAATATTAATTAAAACAGCATCCATTTCAATTAACATAGCTAATTTCAAAACCAATTACCATAGCTGGAGAACTTTATTTTCAGAATTAACATCAGTTAAATTAATTTGAAATTACACCAATACATATAATGCTTCATCTGTATAAAATTAAAAATATCTATTCAAATCAGCCTATTAACTTGCAAGATTGAACAACTTTTTAATTAGTAATAAATAATTAAAAACAAAGTCTTATAGCAAAGTAAATAACTTTATAGAATAAAGAACACTGTAAATTTGTCCTGAAATATTCTTACTATTTACAGACTATGATTAAATTTCATAGTTTATTTATTTCATAAATTTTATATTATAATACAATATTAATATCACATTTTTTTAAGAAAATAGATAAATTAGATTTTTTTTACCAAGAAATTTGATTTGAAACATTTAAAATAAAATACAAAAACAAACATTACTGATTTTCCTAACTTATTATGTCAATAATTCAATTACATTAAAGTAAATATTTCTCTAATAGTTTTATAAGATATGTATTAAAATTTGTTTATCTGATTTATAATTTTCATTTAGCCTTTTTTCCTTCCCCCTAAAATTTCATAACTGCTTTCATGCAATCAGAATACTTAGTGACATTTAATACTTCTTCAAAGTCACAAATTCTACTTTATATTGAAATATTTTACTGCAACAATGCATTTCAATAAAAAAATGCAATGCTGCTTATACAAATACCAAATATTAAAAAAAAGGCTGACAGTTTCAAAAATCAATTAAAGAAATAACTTTCCTGAAAATCAATTAATGAAAAAGTTTTCTGAAAATCACTTCAAGAAAAAAAGTTTTCAGCTACGCATCAGATCATCTCAACTGAAATATGGAACAAGAATCTTAATTTAGTTCTTACACAGCACTACATATTTTTAAAATACGATGCCACAATTATCTTCAAATCGCAGTGCCATTTTATGATGAACTGTAAAACAAATTTTTAAACTTTAGGAGAATGAAAAATCTAATTCCTAAGCAAACATTACATTTCTAACTGTTTCTATTTTCTTTAAATAGTCAGTCATTTTTAGATGTCTTTGATAAGAAATTAACTGAGTTATCTGTTATCATGCTTTGTACATAGTGCGCTCTATTATTTAAAATTCTTGTTCAGAAGACAGAAAAAAACTATATAAATCTGAGCAGCCTTAAGAAAAGAGCATTATCTTATATAGGCTCTGCAAACAGGAACAAAGTTCACTTTAATATTTTAGATAACAAATAGGTCGACATGTTTTGCTAGAAAATGATTAAATAAAATTACTTATTCCAAAAAAATCTGAGTTTCAATTTGATAGTATAAAAAGAAAAGATCACTTTCAAAAGAAAATTATTAATTATTGTATTATCTTTTACAATTTTAAATTAGTCACATTAAAACACTGTTTTGGATATAATTCATTTTATACCTGTATCTTGAGACTATGATAAAAATAGGCTACTATAAATACAGTCATTACAGAACATTTGGCAGCAATTTAATAAAAAGAATAGAATAGTTTGACATACTGCAATGGTTTATAACCGTGATACTTTATTTTCTGAAATTTTTACACAGAATTATTATTCCAAAACTTTTTTAAACTGAAATATAAGCCCAAAGGACAAAAAAAAAAATTCAAAACTACACAAAATATCACAAAAAAGCTCACTAATCACTTCAATATCAGACAACAGAATTCATTTTTTTAACATAATAATAAGATTAAATCAAAATAATACTAAATGATTGATATCAGGAAAAAACAACTTTAGTTTAACAGATAAAAAGGGGGAAAAACAGTGTGGACTATTCCAATGCAATGCTGTTCTTCTTTTACAACATTAGGATCACATCATTAGAAAAAGAGAAACATACAGTGGTGAGTTCTGCTTCACTAAGTAATGCTTTGCAGTAACGATGAGAAATATATAATTTATATGTATACAATATAAACACATTTTTCTTCAATAGGATATGGTTGTGGGAAAGCACAATCTGACTTACCAGACGAAAATAATAAAAATATGCTATATGGAAACAAAATAAATATATATCTTTTTATCGGCTATGACTGCTATAATGAATGACTAAGATGCAGTAGAGCTCTCTTGTTGACTCTTTAGCACATTGTAACAACCCTGACACACACGTACGGGTTTCAGTATTCGAAGCCTGTTGATTTCTGATTCAAAGCGGCTGCATCTGCAGTTTAAAAAATGATGTATCAATTACAGTATTTTATAGTATATAAAGATATTTATACACATTAACAAAATATTAGATATTATATTAGGGATTGATATGACTTTTTCTGAAATTTAGAAGGACAACTCAAATCTCTAGGCTGCAATACAATAGAGATTTGCCAGTAAAAATAAAAAAAAAATTAAAAAAACACTTTCAGGAGGTTAAACAGATATTCTCTCATTATTTATCAATAATTTTTTCAACCCTACAATGCATATTAAAAAATATAAGCATTAATTTCCACTTAATTTTTAATAGATCGATAACATCGACCGATAATAGATCAAGAAAGGATATTTTTTTCTAACAGAATCTAAGGCATTTTTCTTAGTTGCTTTATGTTAATTCTGATATGATTAAAATAGAATAACAAGTAAAGAAAAATAAGCATTTTCGGTACCCTTTTTATGATTTTAATCACCTTTCTAAGGCCTCGTGATATTTGGGTTATTAATATACAAAGCTTAAAAATGAAACTTTTGACTTCAAAGATGCACCACAAACTCAAGGCTCATTTAAAGGAACTGACAGAGAAAATAGAATAATTATACACTTTAAACAGTTACAAAAAGTAAATAAATAGCATTTACTCAATTGCCAATCCAATGAGCTTTTTACAATTAAAATTTTTTTTCAGACATGAATGAATAATTAAACCAAGTAGTTGCTCAAATAAATCAATTTAAAGAAAAAGTCTGGTAATTTAGAATAATGCAATAGCAAAATTTAATCATAGATAAGCCATGAAAAAGGTTGTGGCCCACACTGGACTGTTGAATCAAGGACGATAATGAAATCGAAAATTAGTTGAAAAATTTATGTATGTATAAAAATTTAGTTGAAGTTAATAAATTATGTGTCAAAAACCATTAAACCAAAAGTATTGTTTTTATAAAAATGGAGATCTGCCAAAAAGGAGTCACATTCTTTTTACTCACTAGATGGAGGCAGCAACGACAAGTGGATAATAATGGATCAACAGTGTCTATTAACTTCCTTCATACACTGTTTCTGAAAGCACTCTTTTGAACCTTTGAGAAGGAACATGGCATGCTCTCCATACACCTTTTCCAATGGTCAATTAATCTCACATTCTCCTACACCTTTGCTGTCAATAAGTGTGCAACATTATACTGCTTTTCTTTGTTCTGTGTCACTGTTTCTATTTCACATCACATTAAGAAACGAAAATGGCTGACAACTGCTCATTAACTAGTGCTTGCATGGCAACTATATTACCACTTAGTGAGTGAAAAGTGTTCAAATCTTTTTCATCACATAGGAAACTACATTTCAGTCTCTAAAATTCTAAATATCATAGTTTTAGGTTTCAAGGATTCTGACTTGTTACTTATTAACAGTACCTAATAAATATCTTTAAACTGTGATGGAATTTTCATCGCATTCGAAAATATTTTCCTGATGGTAGCATAAGTAATTTACTAAAATTTTAATAAATTAGCATTGAAGGAATTTTGCACACCACTTATTATGAATGGTAAGAAAAAAAATCGAAAAAAAATAAAATTATGATAAAAAAAATTGATCTAGATGTAAGTAGGTTAAAAATATTTATTTTAATAACTTTTTGTAGAAAAGGTTTCAGATTCTACTATTCTTTACCTGGAACAGAAGAGTTGTCCACAGTTGCGGCAGTGATGTCTTCGTTCAGAGAATGAAAACCTGACACCACATGCCGTACAGTTGTCACCTCCTTCGTCTCGCACCCAGTGGTCTGCAAGGCCACGTCCTGGCTTATCTGTCACACTCCAACTGAATACCCGACCCCTTGCATCACCCACATACACTGTCTTGTGATCTCTGAAAAAAAAAATACTCAATTCATTACTTTTAAATTAATTGCTCATTATTTGTTTCTAGTAAGAGTGAAATTGTGTACAAAATAACTTTATTGACATTTCATTTGGTTATCAATGAATTAAAAATGAAAATTAAAATATTAGGTGGCACATATCAGATATCAAATCCCCATAAACTAGATTTTTAGAAAATATGAGGAAATATTACACTTTAAGACTGATAAATGTTATTCATACTCTCCAACTAATACAGAGTTTCTGTAGTTTCAAAAAAATTTTTTTAATGGTAGAGAAGGTAATTTATGAATATTTTAATAAATTGAAATTGAAAGCATTTTGTTCAATATTACATACAAATAATTTAAACACATAAATAAAAAATCAGACTGAACATAGTTCAAAAGTTCTTATATAAAATGTATGAAAATTGTTCAGTTTTAAAAGCTTCTACTTATATTCTTTACCACTCAAAAATTCATAATGCAATTTTCTCAAATGTTGGTGATTATGCAAATTTGTGGAAATAACTTCAATGTTCATTTTATAATCATATAATATTTTTTTTTCATTTAATTAAGCATTCAGAGAAAAAATACAACTCAGATGAAAAATTTATATTACTATTTTAAAGATTAACAATAACAGAAACTATCCTTAAAAACATTCATGCAAAAAGCATGTAATTGTAACCCATTGGCAAATAAATTAGGGCATTTTTAATTAAAAAAAATCCATTATTTGGGAAGCTCAAAGCAAAATACATTGAATGTAATCATCAGTTAAATTACAGAATATGTAAATAAAAATATCTCACCTTGATACAGCAAGAGCTGTAATGGCAGCAGGTTCAGTGTTATCAGATCTGTCAAAAGCTGTATGCATTGTCAATTTGCTTCGGAAGACTAATTGGCAATGCCACTTGAAACCTGAAGAAGACAGTTAGTATTAAATTAATATTTACTGACACAGAGAAATAATTTATTATTCAAATTAGAACTTTTGAGATATTCTACTTAACATCCAAAACATCTAGTAAGCAAACTCCCATTTTGTGAATAGAAGTTCAGCTTGTCTAACGTTGTTAATAAAGATGTTTGCATTTTAACGTACTTGGTATTTAATTCGTAATACAGGTGTTATTATACTTAACAAATAATACAGCAATACTTTGTACAGAGTGACACAGTCATGTAGGAACCATACATTCCAGAGGTCACTCAATGTCAAATCCTCTAGAAAATTGGATATTACGTCCTTGAGAAATTCAAAGTATTGGAATCCCGCTAAGGAGCCCGCATAGAAAATTGCGCCAGTCAGTTTTTGAAAATTTAAGTTCTTTGTATTTAATAAATAAAATATAGCTAAAAGTTTTTTGTTTATACTTGGAATATTTCTCTTATTAACTCATTCCTAACCATATAATATTTTAAATACTACAATAAGTACACAGAGAATTTCAAATTTAAAAAAGAAATTAACACTTATGGATTAAAATATAACAATTAAGTACTTAAAAATAGAACAAATTTAGAAATTAAATTAGTAAACTACCATCTTTAAGAACTTTCTTCTTCTTTTTCACTCTGACAGCAGAGCCATTATTATCTAAGGCATCGTTATCAGATATCATCACAAACGAGTCAGTGAGTGAGGTATCCGACTTGCTCAGGCGCATCTTACTGCTCGCAGAATCCACCATCTCTTCACTGCTCTGATTGGTCACTTCTGGACCAACAGTGCTGCAGCGTTGGACATTGCTAGGATGTTCAGGTGGATACTCAAAATGCTCAGAGTGGACTAATTTTTTAGTTTTGGCCACTTCTTTTGAGTCCTGTTCTATTTCTTTACTGTGGAAATGAGAAACAGTCTTGGAATGCTGAATTTGGGTTGGAATGAGAGAGTCTTTTGGAACTTCGTTAGAATTCACAGGACTTTTTAGGTTCTCTTCTTCTCCGAGATCTTCGAAATCTTCATCTGCAAAAGGATTTGATAAGCATATTTATAATTTTATGGTTACATAGCTTGGAAGAAAAATGAAGCACAAGTAGTTTCTTGGGGGAAAAAGCTAAATACAAGTATAAAAAGGATTTCGATTCAGATTTAGATCCAGAGAAAATTTCAATAATCATAATTTTTTCTAAAAATTTATTTTTAAAATAAAAATCTGCAAACCTTGTTTTCTATTTTATTTGCACGTGAAATTTCAACGAAGGTATCAAAATCACAGAATATGAAAATAAGACAAGTGGTCCAGAATGACAGGTTTTATCATACAAGCGCATTAAGCAAAAGATTAAATGAGGCCCTTCATCAAATGAAAAATTTCTCACTTCTAAGGGCCACTAATGCATAAATAAAATATAAAAATAAAAGAATAGTATAAAATCTAAAGATGAAAAAAAAAGAAAGAAATGATAAGGTGTTTAGTTTTAGGAATGAAATTCAAAAAATGAAAAGAAAAAAAACTCATTTCTACAGTTTAAGCAAAATCTAGGACATTCCTAGTGGCACCACAGAAAAAAAACAGATTTAAAAAGTCCCACAAAGCCTAGTTTCAGCTCAACTAAATCATTATTAATAAAATAATGCATTTTTCTCCCATTTGCTGTTTTACAAGACATCAATAACAAATTTATATGGCTAGAAGTACTTTATAAAATAACAAAACGGCACACAAGTTTCAAAGTATACAGTTAACTGAAATATAATATAAAGGAGCTTTCACTAGTTAAATGGCTCAATTATAAATATATCAAACACAGAATGTAAACAATGCACAGATTACAATTATGATCACTACAAGGTGGCATGATGCGAACATACTTAAAATATATTCCAATTTTAGATTTGTTACATAAAAGTTTTAAAATGTGGATATGTTATGCAAATCGCCTACTTCTATAGCATGTAGGAAAACTCATCTGAGCCCATGTAGATCACCTACTTCTATATGGTCTATAAGGAAAAACTTATATGGGCCATGCAGGTTTTGCTCTGTAAATTTCCATGTAGGTATATAAACAGAATGTTAAAAATAAAATTGTATTTCATAAAATGTAGATTAAAATTTAATTGCGTAAATTCAAATTATTAATAGACGTTTGAAAATTCTGATAAAATTTTTTATAAAGCATTTTAATTTTCAAAAATAGCATTTTAAGATAACATTACGGTGAACTCATGAGAAAATATATAAAACAAATTATGGTGTAGAAAAAATACCCTGATAAATATACAAAGCAACTATATTAAGAATATATTTTTAGTATCGATGACATTACCATCCTTTTCTTCCTCAGACAAAGAGCTACCAGATGCACTCTTGGTAAAGCGATTTTTGTGGTCAGTTGCACACAATGTGCTTCTTTGTATCAGTTCTCCAATGTCCTTGGATCCAGCCAAGCTCATTCTTCGAACTATTTCAGCAGCCTTTGTTTCCACTTCGGTTTCTGCTTCTTTGGAATCAGTTTGGTCCTCTTTTTTATCAGTGGAAACGGTTTTACTCTCTTCTTCCACACTAAGGCAAGTATCTTCTGGAATTTGAACGTAATCAGCAGACCACATCTAAAAATAAAATAAATATAAGTCAAGCAGTTTTAGAGATGAATCATAAAATGTTATTTAAATAACATAAAAAAAGCAATTTTTATAAATTAATGCAAAATTTTTAAAAAAAATCACGACATGGAAAATAATTTTTCATTGGAGGGAGATTTTTTTTTTAAACCATAGATAACTAAACTCTGTTTCTCTGCAACTACTAATTATTCAACTCAACTAGAATAAAAAAAACATTCTATTTTTCTACTTCTTACATTTATGTCAAACAAAGTAGCGTAGCTCAAATGAATTACTTTAAATTTTTCATTAAAACGCAGATATGCAATAAAATTTTTGTCATAGCTAAAATTTTTTAAAAAAATGTTTCAAAAATGTAATTATTTATCACATAAAACTTAAAATCAAAAATCATTCAATGAAAAACTAATGTAATGGTTTAAAATCTTATTGACATCACACTGTCAACCCCATGTTAAAATCACAAATATACTAAAAGTTACTTTTCAGATAAATGTATTTAAATATACACTATACTATATACCAAATAAATGCATGTACTATTTGGAACTACTAAGGTGTGGTGCTCATGACACGTACCATATATTTTTAAAAAAATATACATATACATATCACATGAACAATCTTTATTTTATTTTGAACTGCTAAACCAAAATGGTGAATTTAATTTTTCATTTTTTCATACAATTGCTATACTTTATAGGGAAAAATAACTTACTGTTTACATAAAATAAAATGAACAGACTGATTAAATTGCCCATTTAGTACATTTTTAATTTTACTAGTTATAAAGAAAGCAATTATTATTATTAGGAATATGCATAAAAATACTGGCCCTGAAATGTATGTAGACTTTTTTTTCATTCCGAAAATTCTTAATTCAAAAACATACTATTATAAATACTCAAAATTTTGGGCTAATTACCACACTAAGGTCAATTGTAAGAAAACAGATCATCGATTTAATTTTCAAATTCTTTAAATAAAATGGTTTTGAATAGAAATTTTTTTTTTCAAACAAAAGTTTTTGGCATACTGACTTGACAGTTTAGAAATACTGCAAATTTCTTACTATAGCGAACTTTGTAATCAGAACCTTAAATTACATTCAAATCATTTTTCATGTAACAAAGTGACTGTTTTCCTATAAAGAATAATTCAGAAGTCTGTGCTTTAGCCCATTTTTTGACAGTTACCTTTTTGATTCTCAACATTGAGAAAATATGCAACTTCAGAATTATTTGGAACATTAAAAGGGGCTGTAAGAATAAAGGCAAATAACTATTGACTGCTTCATATTCAACAGACAAAAGATATTTTAAGAATTGTTATAATGCACAACAACAAAGGCCACGAAAGTGACGTTGCTTCCAAAATATGAAAACGCACTACAATCATTCAAAACCATTGAAAGGAGGAAAATATGCCCAAAACTATTTTGAGATCACTCTTAAAATGTAAAAATTTTAATTAAAATTTAAAATCGCCAAACACAAAGCAATGTAGTTTTTCAAGTAAAATAAAACTAAGCGTGTTTAAGTACATTATTTTTTAAATTGATGAAATGACTTTACTTTCAAGCATCTTACTGATAAAATTTAATGATTTTAATAAATTTATGTATTAAATAAAAAGTCATTTATATGCTTTTGAACATATCACACTCTAAAAAGTTTGTGATTACTTATTTTAATAGCTGCAAATCTCTATACACTAATGAAATTTTCTCCATAACAAATTTTTCAATTGAAATTAACTGGTTTTGTTTGAGAGCAACTACACTGTATGTAGTTTACTTTTCAGGTTCCTGATTGGCACAGAAAGTTTATACCTAAGAACTAGTGGCACAGTTATAATTTGATATGTTGGCTTAAGGCCAACAAAGGGTATAATCGCTGATATTATACCCTGAAAGGTTTAATTATCACCACATGGGACTATTCAGCTGTTCATCTAGATAATTCTACGCTAATAACTGAAAAACTAAACTCAGTGGAGCAACAGCCCATAGACAGCCAAGGCCTACTATGCCCATCCCAGTTTTCTTGAACTTGGGCTCTGGGATGCAAGAGCAGATGTTCCGGTTGGGTGGTCAGCCGTACGGAAAACTCCCAGTGTTTAGTCCTCAAGCATGCTTGGTTCTCATTTTATCGACCCACTAAAGGGATGAAAGGCTGATTTAACTGTGCCCTGCTCAAGGAATGAACCAAGGACCTGTGGCATGAGAGTGCAAAGCACTACCACTCAGCAGATGTTCTGGTTGGGTGGTTAACCGAAATGGAAACTCCCAGTGTTTAGTCCTCAAGCATGGTTCTCATTTTATCGACCCACTGAAGGGATGAAAGGCTGAGTTAACCTTGCCCAGCCCAAGGATCGAACAGAGGACCTGTGGCATTAGAGTGCGAAGCACTACCACTCAGTCAGCAGACGTCGCTAATAACTAATATAAATTTGAAATAAAAGAGTTATAAAAACAAGCATACGAACCCTGACCACTCCATCACTGGATCCAGTCATGATAACATTTTGGTTATCCCATTCATTCAAGTATGAGAAAGCTACACATAGAATTTGCTGCGTCCTGTCCGCTCTACCAGTTGCAGTGTTAACAGAAGCTATTTCATCTCCATTGATTGACCAGAGAAATAAGTGAGTCCCAGCACATGTTGCTATGTCACCCTGCAACAACAGCATCACATATACACAAAAATCAGGAAAAAATTACTTTATTAAACAAATCAGATTTAGGTATTCTTGCAGGGGCATTAAATCATCTTTTTTTCACTTCTGTAATCGAAGGAACCGAGTTGCTTAAATTGCTTAAAAAATAAATACCTCTAATCAAAAACTTTGACCTTTTATTACAGAAAATTTTTTCATTGAAAAGTAGTTATCACGTCACATTCTGACATGAGATGCTAGAACATCAACATATAATTTGTATTCCTTTTGGAAAAGATACTAACAAAAAGAGGTATTCGGAAATGTAATAATATTTTTTATAACTTAGAAACAATTTGTACTTTGTAATTTAGAATTGATGCTTAGTAAGAAAAGAAATTTAAGCTTATAATCTTCAAAACACATATACTTGCACACTTCACAATGTATTTAACATGCATTGAAGTTTCCAGATTTGAAACTAAAAAATTCTTCTATTTGAGATTTAAATTTCAAAACTTACTATAGTTGTCTCGTTTTTTTGGTGAAAAATAAAAGATCTGTGTAGAGAATAATATGTTTGTGTGTATTGAGCTGTTATATAGTGGAAATATTAGAAACACGAAAATTACCTATCTTGAAAGAATAATGAACAGACTGATGAAAAAATGTCAGATTTAAAAAAAATGTGATTTATGGCAAGAATGCTCCAAGTGCTGCTATTGAAATATGTACTACCTCCTTAAAAACTCCTATATATGTACCTTTTACACCTCCTGATTGATTAAAACCGAATTGAAGATACAATTGTGATATTGCCTAAAAAAGTGTGGAATTTCAAATTCTTTAAATGGGCATAAAGATAATTTTTTGTGGGGCACAGCAAATGAGGATGACTTAGAGTTTGTATGATGGGATGATACTGCTAACATTACTGCCTGCAACACAGATGGTATTTTGGAATCTTTAAATGTGTAATTTTAAAGTATGATTTATAAGTTTTCATTCTGATACATCTTTGAAAAATTCTTGTATAAATTATCTAAACTTTTCCTAATCTGAATTTTTTAGAGCATAGCTAAAAGTATTATTTCTAAAAGAAAAAACTTTATATTTAAAGAAAATTCTATGAGAGAATAATGCAAAAATAATTGTGGATAACATATTAAAAATAGTTTTTGTAAGAAGTAAATTGATACAGAGTTATTCATGCCAATCTCACTGTTTATACTGCATTGATATTTCCTGATCGACAAATGTCTGTCGACTCCCTGTTTTTCGGAACATTTTAGGAGTTTGGAAAGGAGACTTATACACCAATATATACAGTAATGAGGAATACTAACCGTAACTTCATTTATTGCAATGGCAGCAACAGGAGCAGGATGACCGAGCAACTGGCGTACAAAAACAAGTCGGCTAAGGTCCCACAATATGCACGTTCTATCGCGAGAGCCACTGACAATTAAGTTATACGCACGGGACGCAGCCAGACATGTGATTGGCTCAGTGTGACCATATAGATTCTTCTTAATGGTCAGTTTCTTTTTGTCATAGTGCCATACAGTAACCATCTGAGAAAGAGAGAACAGAAACAGTTTTAACAAAGGTATAGAACAGAGGCTTGAAGAAACTAAACAAAAATACAGGTAGCAAAACAATACAAAATGTATTCATAAGTATAATGTTGAGATAAAAATTATATACACACAGAGAGCTAGATAACTACAACAAATTTGTATTGTTCTTTATCAGACATGTAAAGTAACATTTTATAAAACATATTGAAGTAACTAACGAAAAATTTAAATAAAAGTCTTATATCATACCTAGCCTCATTTTATATTATACCCAGACTATTATAAGTTAACATTGTAAAGATATCAAAATTTAGTCTTTGTAATTAGCTAAAAAAAATACTTTGTTTATAAAAAAAACTTTGATCAATTTGCAAATATAAATTTAAATGCTTTAATAAGGTAGTAATAGTAGTTCTTTATTTATGTCACACTAGAGCTGCACAATAGGCTATTGGTGACGGTCTAGGAAACATCTCTGAGGATGATCCTAAGACAGGCCATCACAATTTTTTAGCCTGATGACTTACACGTGAAGGTGAGTAAGGTGCGTTAAAAAGAGAATTGAGAATAAAAAATTGATTTGATCATACTCATAACTCATCACAAAAAAAAAATCTTTGCTTTTCATTAAAACTAAAAAACTTTCCTTGATAACAGTCATTTAAGATTCAGTATTCATAAAATAAAAACTATTTACAAGAAATATGTTGTTTGTTTAGATTGTTAAACAAAACAAAATTTCAATAATTTTTACGACTGGATAAAAATAAGTACAATGAAGTGAATGATTCAATTTTGAAAATACTCATTTTTTCAACAAATTAAAAACTTCACACAGTTATGGTCTTTATAGTAAATTAATTAGGTAAGCTGTTGCTGATGTAAAAAGCGTATACATTTATAATAAGTTTAACATTTTAGATAACTATATTAATGGATATGCTGATTCTCACCCTGTTAATATTCTAACACAGTTTTCAAATGACTTTGAGAAAGTAAAAGACAAATGCCCAATTATAGATGTGAGGATAATAATTGGATACTTCAATGCTTACATTTTAGAGATGAAAATGAGCTAAGTTATACTGGAAGACATAGCTTGCACTTACAACCTGTGTCAAAATCAGACTCTCAGGAACTATTTGACACATTTGGTTCAAATTTTGTATTCTGTCATGCAAAATTACATACTTTAAAATGTAAAAAAATTTATACCTTACAATTCAAATCCTCTATTATTATATAAAATTATAAAAAGCAATAAATATTTACTAATATTTATTTTTTGTATGGAATTATCTTTGAATAAATGAGTTCTATAATTGTGTCCCAAATTTTTTAAATTTGCTTCATAATCTCTCGAGATATAGCAGAACACATAAAAATAAAATTAACATTAAGGGGCCCTAACTTCGTAACCGCTCTTCAGACCAAACTAACCGGACCATATTTCCCAAATTGCGGCTACCCCCTAGATAACCTCCTTGAACCACTGAAATTGAGTCCTAGAACACAAAGATCTAATTGTTAGTTCAAAAGCTATTCAGGGTGGTCCTTTTTTTTTTTTTGCATACTGTACAAAAGGAACATGTACAAATCTTAATTTTGTTTAGAATTAACTTAATTTTAGGAATTAATTTTGTTTCGAATTGCCAAAAAAAAATATATTTCATGTTACAGTTCAAACCATTCCAATGAAATACTGCTTTTGACATTGAAGTTTGGATTGGTGTATTGAAAAATTAGCTCAAAGATTTTGTAAACAACTTATTGATGGTGGTTGGCAACTTTTCCTCACTAGCACACATAGTTCTTTTTCATAGATTATACAACAAAAGAAAAAACACAAAGCACTAACTAGAAATCAAATAAGAAGGGTAACATACTGAATTGGTCCCAGCAGTTATGATGATTTTGTCATTAGGGGCAGCACAGCACAAAATCTCCCCAGAAGGGGTATCTTCCCAAACAAAGAGAGCTCTTTCCATTTCATAAGGTCCAATACGGATGCTGTGATCTGCAAAACCCCAGGCTACATATCTGGAATAGAGTGGTGGAACTAACACTTTATGCTGTTCCACAGCCATTAGGGTTTTTTCATGAAACACTATATGTCCAACTGGTCCTTTTACATCTGCAAAATAAAACAAATAATGAGACTAAACAACACTGAAGCATCCAATTTTAAAGTTACAATTTTTATATAAAAATAATATTCCTTTATATGATATTTCTGCTTTTATAGAAGATTCATGAAACAAAAAAACAGCAAGTTAACTCTTTGACATAGAACACGGGTGACACTTTTATACAATTTTTCTGACACTCTATAATTACAAGTAAGAATATATTTTCGTAAGTCTCAATTATCAAAAACAGCTAATGGCTAATAAAAAAAATTGGTTTCTGAAAAGGAATTGTATTATCGAATTATATTTGTACTTAAATATAAAATCCAAAATAAGTAGTTAGAATATTTTTTCATTCATGTTCAAAAATGTATCAATAATTGAGTTAGTAAATTAAAGAAATTTCAATCCATCATCAAAATCATGAATTATTGTTTCTTTCAGATCTAAATAACTGCAAATTAAAAAAATTACTTTTTGGAAGTGAATTGTGTTTGGAAGATTCTACCTTTAATGCAGAAAAAGACACTACTGTTCCATGCTGTATATCATAAACATAAATTAAAATAAAATGATAAATATAATATTTTTCACTCATTTTCACCAAAATAATACAAAATAATGAAAAAAATATGTTTACTAAAAATTCTGCAGTAACAGTATTGTTAACATATATACTGTCTGTGGCAAGAGCTCCAATGAAAACTTAAAACGTAATTTGCACAAAAACCTAAACTTTAGATCAAGAATTCTGAAGCTGTTTTAAAATATTCTCCTTTTATAATGCTAATCATAGGAACATTTGGATTTATCTAATTTAGAAAAAAAAAATTAGCCATGCAGTTATTGTGGAAATAGCTTTTCAGCTGTTCTGCATCAGGGTCTGCCCAGGATAAACTTACTACTGTTTAGTGGTACCTTCACAAATTCAACTTAAGGAAAAACGGTGTTTCACAAAATACTTATAAAAGCAAGTTCTAAGATACCCCCCCCCTGCTTCGTAAAATTTTGGACAATGATTTTTATGGATTTTTGGATACAATTTTAAGCCCAAAATTTTACACTAGCAAAATTTTTTTTGAACATATGGGAAATATATATAGAAATTTACTAGTCATAAATGATTTTTATATGTAGTGACAATTTTTAAAAATATTTTCTTATTTTACCAAATGTTGTGTTGAATTTTTAATATAATTTTCAATTTTAATAAATTATGTCTAAATTTTCACAAAATAGGTACCTCTTAAAAAAACCTAGACAGACCTCTGTGTAGTGTTGCTACAACTCTCTTTCCTTTTTATGACTATCAGTGAGCCTATTTCTGCCCAAACTGTCTGACTGTTTTAGATAGCCTCTCTGTAAATAAATTAAGCAGTTTTGGTCTGCCAATTTTTGTGTAAGGGTTGAAAACCTGTGAAGAGGGGCAGGAGAGAGGTGAGGAAGAGAGGGGAGAGGACTGGACTAGCTGCTAGAAGAAGTGGAGAAAAGGATTTTTGGTAGAAAATTCTGAAGAATAAAGATACATCTACCCTGAAAGAATGGCTGCAACAGGACTGAACAATTAAGATAAATCCAGCGAATAATATCCTGCCACTTACAAATAGATCATCAGCTCCTCAACATTTTTAAGCACATGTGCAAGATAAGTGACTTTAGATTTTATTAACTCCAGCAGTGATTCCCTTTTCTTAAAGATTCTTCAAATCTGTTTGTCACATGTTGATATAATATAATTTGTATAGTATAATTTAATATAGTATATAGTAATATAGTATAATTTGTAATGATCTTATTTTATTATGCCACATGGTCAAATTTATTCTCATGAGTAAATCTTGATAATTGAGTTGATCATCATTAAAATTGCTTAAGTTAATTCTATCCCTTGTGATCATTATTTCTGGACAGATATTTTTTTTATACTTTATTTGTATGTGTTGGTGATGATTTGGGATAGGCCTTAGTTGTAAAAATGCATTAGTACTAAATTGTAACAATTGTCCCACTATACTTTACCCAAATTGTCACCACATCTGTGCATGTAATATTGACCGTATCTTACCATATTATTTTTTATGAAGATATCTATGAATAAGCTAATAAAAATAAAATATTCACCCTATTTAGTGATCATGTAGTTGATCTAGGATATTACAGATTATCATTTATTTTAATGTATGTGGTTTGCATTTGGTTTTTGTAATGTATCTAGTGGTCCTTAGCTATGAAAAGGTTTAAAAATAATGATATACACTATTAATGTGAATATTACAGCGATAAATGGCAAATAATGTTTCGCATATCAATAATTCAAAACCCTTTCGTTAAGCAATTGAAAAAAACAAGACTAATAAATACATTGCTAAAAGTAGAACTTGTTGCTTCTTAAACTCACCTTTGACAGCATGTTTAGAAGGTTCTAAATTGTCAAGATTGTGGAAAAATAATTTGTCTAAGCTGTAGCTTAAACCTGGCATTATGGGGCCTGGATCAATGATACTAGTTCGATTGGTAATTTTCTTTGAGGGATGAGGTTTTTTAAATAGCTGAAAAGAAAAAGAATTTTTATTCAATACAGAATAAAAGCAAGAATTATTCTAAAAAATTTCAATAACTCTTTTAATCTGATTGTCACATATATTCAACAGCATGAAATGCTCTCCTTTCCCGGTCTCAAAATACTCTCACTCTCTTTCCCGGTGTTCAAAAATATAATTTTTGGCACAAATGGTATGTCCATAGGATTTGAGATACATGTAGGTTTGACCTTTTACTCGAAATGAGAGACATGACTCACATGCACATGCTTTTTGATTATATAAACAAGAGGGGAAGGGAATGTTTCCAAATCCCATGCTTTAAGATGGCTTTTTAAAATGAGCATGAGGTATTTGTTTTTAGTAAGAGGGAGAGTTTTATTTCTTAAAAGCATGTGGAGTATTTCGGTTTACAGTCTAGTTTTAAATTAATAGTAAGATTTTGTAAATGTCACATATTTCTGTTTTTACCCTTACCATGAAGCATCAGTATATGTGTAAAAATGTATTTCAACAAGAAAAAACTTGAAGTATGTTAATAAAAAATATTTTTTCATTAATCCACTTTACAGTCCTTTACTAAAGAATATGTTCATATTTTGACGATTTCAAGCATTTAGGTTTAGCGTCAAAGAATCCTCTGCCCTTGAACAGGCGGTCGTGAAAGAGACTCTCAGCCTCAGCGATTAGAGAAGTTTTACAACTTCCATCGCGAAAGGGTTAAGCCAAGAGAGTTTTATTCCCTTATTACATTGAGCATTTGTGAAAGTTTGAATAGAAATTTCTTTTCAATACACAAAATTTTCATTGAATTACATTGGACAAAACAGGTTTTTCAGCAGGAAAATAATGGACAAAAAGATATCTTTTGGAATCACAATCTCACATTTGAAGCACATTGTTGAGCTCCCATTGACTAGGAGCTCAACACTCATGCAGTAATTGTCATGTTTATTAATTTATTTCAATTCATTGCAAATTACTGATTTATTGAATGCGAAAAAAAATTAAAATGAGAAAACATAAACTAGACACACCAAATGAATTATTTTAAGATGATTAGTTCAAACTAAATTTAACTCATTTAAAATTAAATTAGAGAAGTTTTTGGGATTTTTTAGTTATTTTCTTTTGCTAAAATGTTCTACCAATTCCTAACAACACACTGAAATAGGACAAACATAGGCAGATATTGTTTCATGTAAGTCTGTAAGCTCATCTTCAATTGAAGACAAAGCTATACTATTCACCATATAGTACTTATACTATGAAAAATTTTAAAAAGAATATAAGACCGAAATAAGAAAAACTTGTCAAATAACCGACAAAGGGAAGACTTAACAGCTAATTTATTTCTAATCATTGTTATGCACCATAAGCTTTGCAACATTATAAAGTGAACAAAAAAGTGGCCAATACAAACCGAAGGTCAATAGGAATAATCAACTTTGGAAAGACAAATATATTATATGTAAAAAAGAGCATCAAAGTAAACATTTATATAGGGTGTGTATCCAAATCTCTCAACAAAAATTAAGCACTTTTTAAGCACTATATATACATTAACAAAATGGAAAATAATTTTCAAAGACTTAACATGATCATGATAAAATAACTAGTTTCAGAAAAAAAAACTTTTCTTGATTACATTAGCCACCATAAAAAGATCGAAATATTTTTTGGTTTGATTTCAGAGGGTGGAAAATGAAGCCTGGAATTGAGAATATGTTGCAAAGCTCAGCAGAGTTGCACATGAGAATGCAAGAATCTCCCCGATCCTAGCTCAGTAGTCCCTCCCATATATTTTATCAAACATGCAACGTGATTGGCGCTATCATACGTTACAGACCGACTGCACGACGAAATGGATTGTGGTTCAATGAATTGTGAACACGTTGATTAAAACAATGTGAAAACCTCATTTTTCAATCATGCGCAGAAAAAATAGACATGGTAAAGAAGAAAAAAATCTCATTTTCGAAAAGGGAGAATTAAGCACTTTTTAAAAACACCCCATAAAAAAAAGTCCTTTATAAATGAAAATCAGAAATAAGCACCCTTAAGCACTTTTTAAAAACGCTGCGCACCATGTTATATATAAAAATCAGTAGATTAGTCAAGATTTACAAAACTTCTTTAAATGTTATATTTTTAGAAATTACAATTTACCTGCTTTGGTATCTGGCCAAAATTGTTAATAAAACCAATGGTAGCATTTTTCTTAAGAGGATCATCAATGCTATAAATATCAACATTCCCTTCATAGAACAGATGGTGGAAAACATTCACAGCTTCAACAGCTGCAGTCCCCTGTTGCTTGTATCCAAATATTAAATCAATCCATTCATGAAGATGAGTACTTACAAAATCACATTCTAAGGCCTGAAACACATCAAAAATATAAGGGTAATTTTTAAGTTATTTTTATGTAAAACAAATAAATTGTTAACATATCTACAGCAAAAATGTAGAGGGAAAAAAAAGTAAGTTAAAAAGATATTCAATATAAATAGCGATTCCAAAAAAATTAGCCAAAACTAAATAGAAAAAGTTGCCAAATAAATATTATGAGAGTCATAATTTTTTTTCAATTCGAAAAATTTTAAGAATAGTGTACTTAAGTTACTTTTCACAATTTTTGCATAAATTTTAAGTAGCTTGGCAACAGAAGGGTTAAACTACAAAACAGTAATAATACAACAAAAACAGGTAAAGTTTTTGCATCAATTGTAAACAAGAGATCAAGTCAATAACTATAATAATCATTTATTCTGTTTCAATTCATTATTTAATAAGAAATTCAATATTAACTTCAAATTTGAAAAATCCTTTATAAAACTTTAAGCTGTTATGCCTGGAACACTCAGAGAATTAAATTATAAGTAGGACAGACTTATAAAAAAGAAAGATAAAATAAGGATTATAAATATAGACATAGCAGTATTGATGTTCAATAATAATATTGATTGCAACATTTTGTTGATGAAATGCGCAAATAGTTTGAAATTCTAGTCAATATTTTTACATTTGTTTACATCTTGAATCTGTTTTTTTACAACTCTTTTGGTTGAAGAGTGAGAGAAGAAAGATGTCAAATACAACATCATACAGAGTAATAAAATAAAGTTTGCAAATCTTTTAAGTTTGATCTAAAGTCTCTTGATCATGTGCTAGCTCCACGTAAATTGGAATGCGATGTGAATGCGTTAGTCAGTCATACTTCAATTGCTAACAGTCAGTCATACTTCAATTGCTAGAAGTATGACTGATTAACGTATTCACATTCCATTCGAATTGCTAACACTTGCATTTCCTTATCACATGTTGCTATACTGATTGATCATCATGGTAAGTTTCATAAGTTGATGATGTTTCTTCATGCATTGTCAATAATAATTGTGCTTATCATTAAAAATATGTTAACTATTTTTAGTGTAGGTCATGTGTTTATTAGTTCATGTTAAGTTACATTCAGTTTTCAATAAATGAACTTTTGCAATCTTGCTCAAGGTCGGAGTGTGTTATTCTTTTCAAACATGTGGGTTTTTTCAACTTTTGTTAAAAGTGAGTGGCAAACTGAGGGTATTTCACATCCTAGATTAATTAAATAATGGATTGAATGCAGATTTTATATGGCATGGGAGAAATAATGGACTAGATTATGACTGACTTAAGTGACATTATTTAAGAAAGCTAATCAACTAAGAGAAAAAGATAGGCATCTCCAAGATCAAGAAATCATTCTCTGTCTAAAGAATATTTAAGTAATATTTACACACAAAAAAAGGGATGTTTTCATCGAAATTCCGATTTAAATTACTATAGTCAAGGAGCTTAAATAAGTTTTTTATTTATGTAAAAGTACATTTAAAATCTGAAAATTTAAATGCTATTAAAAAGAATTAACAATAAAATGTACATTATTACAAATGATTCAAAGAGAAAAATATATATAGAGTTACTTAAATTCATGAATTTTAGAGGAAGAAAATGCTTGCATATCCTAAATTAAGAAATTATTTGAAAACCAATGCATATTTTGATAAGTTAAACAGGGCAAAAAACATACTTGTCTATGGACACGAATGAATTCTCTAGGGTCATTTTTAGCCCAAGGTGGAAGAACAATGTCATTTAAAGGCACTCCATTTTGTTTAGAACCTGAAAAGCAAAGGTAGGGAATTCTATGTAATGAGAATAATTAAAATATACATAAATGTGGGTAAAGATCTAAATGCAAGTATATGTGACAGTGACACATTATGTTTCATTCGACACAAGTAAGCACTTAGTAAATTTCATATTTTAATGTCAAAAATATTTCTTCCCAAACTACAATTACTTCTGATGAGAGTAAATATGAGCTCACCTAAATCAAAATTATTGGAATTGAGAAGGAATTCTGGCAGATAGAAGAACTCTGGAATGAGCTCTTTCACGTCCGCCATATTATGCTTAGCAGCTGAAAGCCAGGCATCTTTAATGCTGTGAAACATACGATCCGCAAGATCAAAATGGCCACCCTACGAAAACAAAAGTATAGAACATTTTCTTAATAAAAGAAAAAAATAGATAATCAGATATGTTTGAGCTATACTAAAATGATGTAGCTAATAGTAAAAAAGTTTTAATTGTAAAAAGCAAATTAAAAGTCTATTATAAATTTAAAAGGAACTTAAAGAATGATATTTTTTAAAGCATCAAATAGTTATTTACATGATAAGTAAAAGATAAAAATCCTATAACAACCAACCAATAGGAGCAGTCTTAGTAAAATAATAGAGATAATTTCAGAGACTGAAGCAGCAAAATTTTTTCCAATTTCTGAAAATTATTTGAAAATCTGATGAAGCTGAAAAATGACTAAAAACATGCAATTAAAACATATCTCTAGACTCAATGGCATAGATTTTTTTATTTATTAAGCATTACATATTTTATGTAATGATAAAAAATTATATATAATTCATTAAATTTTTATAACAAGATTGTGAATTAAACTCAGAATATGTCAAATGCAATTTTTATTTATTTATTTATTTTTTTAAAAAAAGGCCCGCAATAGCTATTTAGATGACTGATGGTCTAAGAAGCAATTTAGTTATTCCACACAATCCATAATTATTTTATTAATTTTTGATCCACAGAATCCATAATTATTCTATTAATTTTTAACATATTTTCTCAATATAGGACAAACTTTACGATTGCAGTAAATGTAGAAGAATTTATGCCTGTTTAATCTAAAAAATTTCTTTTTCTATCCAATTCCAATATTTAATTTTTATAAAATATAATTTTTATAACAAGATTGTGAATTAAACTCAAAATACCCCAAAATTCTAAGGCATTATAATTCTTCTTCTTTTTTGCAATGCAAGAAAAATCAAATGCAATTTTTATTAATTATTATTTCTTTTTTTTTTAAAAAAAAAAGGTCTGCAATAACTATTTAAATGACTGACGGTCTGAAAAACAATTTAGTTATTCCACACACTCCATAATTATTCTACTAATTTTTGATGTACTTATCAATATAGGATAGACACTATGGTTGCAGCAGATGAACAATTTATACCAGTTTATCTAAAAAAAAAAATTTTCTATCTGCAAACACAATTATCATTACATAAAATTAAAAAAAAATTTTTTTTCAGCCCCATTGCAATGTAAAGAATATTTCCACAAGCTTTTTTGACAAAAATATACTAATGTAAATTCTTCTACAAAGAAAATAAATAAAAAAAATAGAAAAATATTTAAAGTTAAATAAGTTGAAGGGCAAGAATAAAGACCCATAAAATGATTTATTAAAGATATAAGTACCTGTAAATGCAAGAAATGTTGCGTGAATGGTTCCATTCGCACAAGATATGATGCAACTATCATTGCTGATGAATAAAATGTTCCATAATGATATGGTGGAGTTTCACCTGGAAAGATTTATTAATAGATTAGATTATTAGTTTGAATTCGGTAAATGATGTAAAAATAAATGAAGTGTAAATAATAGCAATAAATGAAAAATTATACACTTCATACAAAAACATTAAAATAATTTTCATTAAGAATAAAAGAAAAATAAACCAATTTTTTTTTAAATCATAAATTTTTTTTAAATATTCTCAAAAGACAGTATAAAAAATGTTTAAATTATTTAAAAAAGTTTTATAAATTATTCTATTTTCAGAAGAAAAGAAAAGGAAGAGTGAAGACAAAAATTTAAAGTAGTACACGCAATTTTATTTGTTTATTAAAAAAAAGTGTAATGCTTACTTGTGACACACCTGTTAAAATTCTTTTTTAATAATTTTAACATTTCACCTTGAATTCACCTTTTAGATTTTGTTACATCACTTTATTAATAAAGTTTCTTGAATTAATTTAAATTAAATTTCAGATAAAAACAATTATTTATCAGCTTTGATTTTTAAAATTTAACTAGGTTAAAGTGAAACAATGAGTGGAAGAAGAATTAAAGTGAATTTCAGTCAATTAGCTTTAAAGTTTATAAGATGATTTTCAAGAAAAAATATTATGTATTGTTTTAACTTCATGTGCACACATCTTCAACTCCTGAAATCGATAACATCCTTTTTCACTCGTCATTTAGTTCACAGTCTTGGCAATTAAATTTGCTATGGAAACAGGTTTACAAAAGTTACGAACAAACTGTTAGTTCAAAATGCACTTTGAACCTTCTTTCCTTACAAAAACATTAAAAAACATCACATTTTTATCCACTGAGATCTTTGGAATTTAGGAAAATAAACTGAATTTTGTTTAGTTAAATAAGATCCTTCCACATAAATCTCAATTTTTTCCAGAAATGTCACTTAGAAACTTTTGCCATTGAGTATTGGAGCTGTCTGGTTTATTACATAAGCACCTGAATGTGGAGACAGGGTTTGTGATCTACTTATTTTTGTTGTCATAGAAGAGGTGTATGAATAATGCTTAGTTAAGACATTAAAATCCCATTAACTTCATTTAAGAAAAAAATTAAACTTGAGATTTTTTGATTTTGAAATAAAAGTTCAGTTTGGAAAAAGAAAAGAATTAATTTTTTTTTCTGAAACTGAGTTCAAGAGTTACTACAGAAAGAAAACACAAAAGATTCTTAAAAATTATTCAACTCAAAATTTTACGAAATGAATTAAAACCTAAATTTTGTTTTATGCAATGTTTACATCATCATTTATTCCTAAAATTAGAATACTATAGTAAAAGTCAAAGCAAAAAAGAGGGCATTGTGACTTTTTTATGAAAGCATGGAGTTTGTGATCTGCTTATTTCGCAACAAGGAAGTATGGAGTCCGAAATTGAAAAATAAATGTTTATATATCATTTGAATAGCACTTTTCAACTATGAAATACATAATCAAATGCATTTCCAAACATTCTTCTAAAATAAAAGAAAGGGAGGTCACAAATGATTGCTTCCAAAAATTAAATTCTAATACTGTTGAAAACTACAGTGATACCATAAAGCAAAACTTAATTTATTTCTTGTGAAGTGAAACTTAAAAGTTTACTCACCATGCGGATCATCCCACTCCTTAAAGCGTTTCAGAAATTGGTGAAGCCTATCAGGCGTCTGAGCGCCCATAGGTTTGGTAAAATCACGAAATGTTGCCTGGTCATTTAAATCCAGCTCCTGAATTAAGATAAAATGTATTAATCAGACAACAAAAAAAAAGAAATGTGATAAAAATGATTTATCAAAAAAAGAAGATTTAAAAAAATAATGCTAGCTAAAAAAAATACAAGAGGTAAAATAAAATTCACTAAGTTCGAAATTAAGCAAATACAATCAAATTATATAATTGTTACATGTACTTGTAGTATATCTTATTGCAAAAAATTTTTACATTTCTGTCAGTATTATTTATTTATTGACAGAACCAAAAAATTTTTATTTATTTTTCGAAGTATCTTTTCCTAAAAAACGTTTGGAATTTGCTTTAAAAACGCTCAAAATTTAAAATTTAGTAAAATTTCTACATAGAAAACATGAATTTTTTTACAAATAAAATGTTCAGTATTCTTAAATTTTAAAGACTTTCTTAAAAATTTTACATTAAAATAATGCTATTGAACAGGATAATTTTTGTACAGACAACAATTTTATGGTATTCATTAGATAAAAAGGATTTCTCACGAAATACTACAAATGAAATACAAACAAATAAGTGCAATAATTATAATGGGTATAAAAAGACAAATTTCAATATTTTTTTGATAAAATAATTTTCTTTAATCCAAATTGTTTGAGATATTGAAGTTTTATGGACATTTTAAATATGTATTAAAAATTTGGTAAACATTTTTCATTGAAAGGTTAAAAAAAATATAACCATAATTTTTACTAAACCAGAAGATGGTAAAAAGGAATTACAGTTAATATAAAAATATTTCTTTCCACATAACTAAGGCATATAAGTAGATAATTAATTACCTCAGAATCATAATCAGCCAATATCCAAGGAAACACAGGATATTGCATTAAATCATTGTAAGATCGGCCAGCCAAGGTGTTTAGATGCATCAGATACTGAAAGTTGCTGATTTCACCACGCTGAAAAAAAATATTACTATCTTATTTTAAACTTTATATAAAGTGATTTTCAAAATTAGGTAAAATGAGTGAGTTCTGTGATATGGAGCAAGTAGATCATACTCCAATTTGTTTCACTTCTTGAAAAGTAAAAAATCGCTCAAGTGCCAATTTTTAGGACAATACATAATTTGCACATAGCATAATTCTTTTAAAAAAAATATATAAGAAATTTTTTTTAACATAATAGACCAGGAGAATATAGATAGAGCTTGATAAATGATAATAACCAAGTCTTTATATTCTTATTAGAAGAGGAAGTAAGAATAAGGTAGACGATAGTAAGAATATTCTTAGTAGATTAGGCTGGCTAAAATTTGCCCAAATTTTGAAAATTCTCAATTTCACAATGCATGTCATAAATGAACTTTCAATTCAGGAATATCTCTACTCTCTTTTTAAACGTTCAGAGAATTTTCCTTGATAAATATTTTTGCTACTAAAAATTATTTCATCAAAACGCCGCATGTAACTTTTTTTGATAGCGCTGTGGTGCTTTCGTCGAAAAATACGGTACAACCCAAAAAATAAGATGCGTTGAAAATTTACAAAAATATAACTAAATAGGGATAATGCTCAAAACATGGCACACATTGCGCTTAATTTATGTTGTCATATCAGTTTTAAATAAATTTATTTAAGGTTCATCACTTACTACAGAAAACTCTTATGAATGGTAAAATGAAGGATTAATTTAAACACAAAACACAATAAACTTTCTAGAATATCAAGCCTGTTCGCACATTGCCTCGTAAACGTAATATGAGGGAAGGGATGCACCGGAAGTTTTCAATATTTCTTTCTGTTTCAGGAAGCTTGTTACTGTTTACATTCAGTCACCTATCTATAATTTTTTTATTATAGCCAAGATTTGATATTTTTTTATAACTTTTAATAAATTATGGAGAAATAAAATTCCAATATAATAAAATTTTACTTACCACCCATCGCTGAGTAACAGATGTATCCCCAATAAGGCTACTCAATAAATTAGCACTATAAAAAATAACATAAATGATATTTAAATATTTTTCCATCAATTCCTGAAGTTAAAAAAAATCATTGAAAGAATTAACTTAAAAATATGTAATAAAACTGTAGTTAGACATTTTAAATATGAAAATTAAAAAAAAAAAGATGCTTTAATGAAAATGAAGTCAAAAAAAGATTTAATTGTTTACCTTGATTCAACATTGGCAGTTCTTTTTTGACCAGCTAATGATTCTTGTGCGCTGTCAGTTATTGCAGTGGCTGTTGCTAAAAATCTATAAAATAAGAAAAAATTGGACAAACATGATTTATACTTAACTTCTATATTATGGTGTATTAAAAAAAATAATTAAACTAACAAACAAAACATGAATGTATAAGCAAACATTTTTCAACATTCAATAGCACACATAGTCTTTAAGACTACAGATAGTTTATCTTATAAAATACTTATTTATGTATGATAATATTGAAAACATTAATTAATGTTGACGAAATTCGTGAGCATTCTAGATTTGGCCACTGCTATACTTTATATAATATGTTAATAACAAAAGCTAATTATAAACATTGAAACAGCTGATAAAACTAATAAGCAAACAAGCACATTTATTCATAAAATATTTTACATTTATTTTTCACAGTGAAATTTGTAAAAATATTATAGATAGATTGAAAATTTATACTATACTCAGTTAGCAATTTAGTAGATGTACAGTGAGGTGTAAAAATCTAGGGCCAGAATATATTTTTGTTTTTTGGCCTTTTAAATGGCTGTTCAAATGAGTGTTTTAATACAATTCTTGAAAGTCCATATTAAGTAGTTTATAGTAAATTCCAATTTAGACATCTGATTTTTTTTTACTTATTAATGGCTTCATTATTGAAATAGGACATGCAATCCAACATCATATAATCATCTTATAACACTACTGCAACTAATATTTAGAACATTTTCTATGCAAAACTCCAGTGCAACTAGAACTACAGTTTTCGTGACATAAAACGCTAATTTGCTTTTTATTATGCAGCTGAATTTTTTGTTCTGATCAATCACTTTTAGGCTTACATTTTAAACCACTATTGTTAGTTTTCCTAATAATTACAAAGACAAAATTTTGTTAAAGAATCAGCCTTTTTCCGATAATTTATTACTCTTTAACATAACTCAAAACATATGTATCTAACCACAGTGAAATTTTTATTAATGCAAACTGAAGGTTCATTAAGGAATTGTTAATTTTTTAAATTGTATTTATTAAAAAATAGTTTAATAGAATTAAAACATAATTTGGTTGGTTACTTTTGAGCCTAGAAATATAGTATTTTACTTTAGTAATTATGTTAATTGTTATTAAGTTTACAAATCTCTATACAAGCAATTAAGTAATAATATGATATTATTTGAATTTGAAAATTATTTATTTTTCACACTCATTTAAACAACAAAAAGCTTAAATAAATTAGAAAAAAATATACTGATCAGGAAATTTTGGAAAGTTGAAACATGTGAAAGTCATATAATCATTCCATAAAAGAATAACATAAAAAAAGAAGAAGCATCAAGACTAACTCCATAAAATGAATAAAATTAGAAAATTAAACAAAAACCAATAAAAATAGAATATAAGTAATATAAGCTTACCGAGCATAAACTTTATTTCTTATTTTTCTAGGAAAGGCAAGAAGATAGTTACGACCATCAGCAGAGAAAACTTCAAGAGCAATAGGCTGGAAAAGTAAAATAAATCAATAATTTTAAACAAAAACAGATTACCTAATTAATTATTTATAGTTTTTAGAATAAAGATAGTTTTTATTTTAAAATTATACAAATTAGACAAAAATATCATAGAAAATAAATAAATTGTATACCTGTAACAAATAACGCCGCTTATGAACATCTTTAATTTCATCATATGAAAATTTGCTGCACCTAAATTAAACAAATAAAATTTAGGTGGGCAAAGTAAGTTATGATTAAAATATATAAACAAAATTTCTTTTACAATAACTGAATAGCATATATTAGGCAGAATTTTAACACTATGAAGATTGTATCTTAATTATATGAATATTTAAAAAGTAGATTAAAAATTAATTAGCATATAATTAGTTTTGGTTTGCACACTATACAACATTATGCTCAATATATCAAAAATTATATATTCTGAATGATAGACGCATTGACATTTTTGATCATTATGTTGAAAACAAATTTTTCAGTATTAAATAATAGTGCAAAGTCAACTATCACAACTGGGCTGCTTTAACATTAAAACAAATGACCCTATTATTGTTAAATACTGAGTAAGCACTTTACTATTATTTTGATGAAAATTACCAAATTGTTGGGAAAAGGGAGGGATGCCAGTAGAAAAAATAATTTGAATTGTGTTTTTTGTGATGATTGTCTTGATCTTCTTATTATCTACTGAAAAGGAGAGGGAATCCTGGTTTAGTTGCCATGCACCAGTTGTTGGTTGGGGGAAGTAGCCCGTCAAATTCTACAGAATTTTTTTTTTTTAGAATAAAGCTCCATAAATGTTAGTTTGGTGGTATTAGAAGTTTGTCGACAGCAACCTTCTTGAACTAATAAGGTTTAACTGTTGCTGGAATTATAATTTAATTATTTTTAAAAATAAATAGTAAAAACAAATAAAATGAAGCAAAATTGAATAGTTAAAATAAATAGACTGAATTTTAAATAAACTAAATTTTTCCACGATCCTTCTTTTTTGAATTATTAGCGAATGCGTCAAATGCACTTGAGCACGATTAGATTAAGATTGATGAAATCAAAGAACTGATATAAAGAAAGCGAGATTGAATTTTGTCAAGATTGAATCAGTATATTTTTGGCACAGCCTCTCTTCCATTCCTTTTTCCTGACAATTCTCCAACTTAAAAATTATCTGTTAGTTAGATCTTTCTTATGCAGTCTAAGCAGATACTATTTAATTTTACATAACTGACATAGAATATTGTTATTCTTTTTATTTTTGCATCCATGAATATTCCGAAATGATAACTGATCAATATTAGTATGGAACTATGAGTGCAGGCTCAAACCTGAGGGCTAGTTTGGTGCTTTATGCAAAACCAAACATCATTTTGCAACTTTGGATTATGCTACTTTGACAGAAATGAAAAATAAGAACTGCAAACATTTATACAAGATTGTCTAAATAAACAAGTGAAACATGAAGTGAGGTCCATAATGATTATATTATGTTCATATCCTACCAGAGAGGTAGTCCTTTTTTTAATGAAATATTTTTTTAAATTTTCTGAAACAAGTTACGAAAATAAGTTTACTTACATTCTCTTTTGATGCTTATTCATAGGAGTAGAATTTGGTATTATCGGGTCATGCATACTGAAATGGAAATAATATATTTAAATATTATATTTATCAAAATGATAACATTGAGGTTAAGTATGAAATAAAATATGTCTTTTAAAATACTAACTTCACAGGCAATGAATCAATATCTCTAATTTCACGGGTCTTTAGCAAGGTAAAACCATCAACAACATAAAAGTGCTCCTTCCCAAATAATAGCAAACCCTCACAAGTATCAAGACCTTGTATCCGCGCACAGCGAAACATATGAGTAATCTGCATAAAGTAAACTGGTTTACTTGAAGAATTTTAGATGAAAGGAAATTGTTTTATAACAAGAAAATTACATGCATTTATAAAAAATGTACAAGGAAATTTATACTTTAGAATTAAGAGCATTTATATAACTTTTTTTATTCAATTTTAAAGATGCTTGTATACAGTACATCAAAAAACATATTTTTAACCCCAGTGAGTTTCGGTGTGATTAATTTAAGATTTAATGAAAGAAAATGAATAAATACAAATTAAAATGCTAAGAATATAGTATAGGACCACAGTTAATAAACAAATATATAAATCTTCANTTTTTGAAAGATGTTTACCTTACCATCATTTTGGAAATAATCATTAGTGTATTGCTCCATCGTTTTTTCTTCTTTTTCAGATTATTTCCAAAAAAAATTTTTTTTAGTTGTGTTTAACAATAAAAAAACGGCTTTTTGTAGCGATTCAGAAAACCGGAAAAATCAGTTATCCGGAATAGCGATGGTCCCGATCGTTCCGGATAATCGGTTCCCTACTGTATATATATTACCTTTTCTCCATCTTCTAACAATCTTAAGATGTTTTGATTTTCAGGACTACTTTCACTGCTTCGATCTTGTTCACCAGATCCATCTGTTACAACTTCAGATATATCTTGGTCTTCATCCCAATCATTAGAGCGATTAACAGAAGACTTTGACAAAAGGAGAGCTGCACGCAAACCTTGAAAACCTAGTAGTGTATGAAAAAAAACTTAATTAAAACATTTTATAACAGAGAGGTAATTTGAATAACAAATAAAGAAAACAGTTTGAAAAGGAAAAAAGTCGTAGTTCATTAGTTCATAAATCAAAGGACTAAGTCAAGACATACCAATTTCTCGTTCTTCTGAAGATTCAGTTTCAAGATTGTTAACATCCACACTGTCAAGAGAAGTAGCATCAACAGAGATTGTATCTTGTTCCACCATATTCTCTGGCCTCCACCTCTTGTAATATTCCTTACTATCAAAACTTGTGGCAACTTTGTATTTTAAAGCTCGCTACAAGAATAAATATCAAACCATGAGATAAAGCAAAATTAAAAGTTCTTGATAAAAATATAATTGTTTAATTTTTTTTTATTAAATTAGATATTGAAAACAAAAACATTAAAAGTAGCACATGTAATAGGTATTATGAAAGCTTGGATATAAATAGTGAGAGATATTGGATAATTTGAACCTACAAAAATTTATTTATTTATTCTTTTTTTGTGAGCTTATTTCTAAGAACAACAATTTTGGAAAAAAAGTTTATGAGAAAAAGATTTAATGAATATATTTATTGAGAAAAGGCTTAATGACAAGAATTAAATGATATTAAAATAATATGGATTCCAGCTTTCCTAGCAATAATATAAAATGGCACTCTTAACTGTTCAGTTAAATATGATTAATTGGTAAACATACATTAATATTGTATAAAAAAGTAAATGTACAGAAAAACTTATACTAACATTTTCTCCTCCTTCTACTTCAGGCCTGTATGGGTAATGAATGTAAAACAATTCATTTTTAACCATTTTTTTCCTCATTCGGCATGGACCTATAGTACACATAAAAGAAAGCACCAACTTTAGGCCTTTTTGCATACATACTCAAAATAAGAAGAAAAAAACATTCCTCTTTATTTAATATAAAGCTTTTTAAAAAGTACTTTAAAACATTAATGCACTAATACAGGGTTCATATTAATAGGTGGAAAAAATTTCTTCAGTTTTACAGAACTCTTCACTGAAATAATTATAAAAAATATGGCACATAGCAAAGACACATCAGTTTAAAAATATCAGAATAAATCACTTAAATAAAATCTTAAAAGCATGGAAAATTAAGAGTCATATGCAGCAAAATCAATACAAAATCATTATTTTTCCAACACACTGAATTATTGCATTATACAATATAATGATATGCCATGTAAACTTATTAACCCTTTAACACAGATGGGACACTGGTGTCTTTTTCATATATTTCTTTCTGATGTTCTAATTATAAGCAAAAATATATTTTGGTATTTTTTAATTATAAAAAAAGTCTGTTAAATTCAAAATTATATTTGTACATTTGTAGAGAAATATAAAATCCAAAAAGAGCAGTTTGACATTTTTTTCCCATTCATATTCAAATATTAATCAATTTTGTTAGTTAAAGAAATTTCAAGGATGAATGACTGTTTCACTTAGATCTAAATAACAGCAAATATGAAAAATTATTGATTGGAAGTTAGCCGTGCTTGTAAAATTGTACCTTTAATGCAGAAAAAGACACTAGTGTTTCATGCTGTATTTTATAACCATAAGTTGTTAAAACCGGGTTCTCACTCAATTTCAGAAAAAGAATTCCCTGAATTCTCCAGGTATATCAGGCAAGTTTCAATGAAAGTCCATACCATATTTTATCCATATCATGCAATTTTTCAACAGAAAATGTGAATTATTTGACAAATGTTAAATATTAGATGACAAATATTAGATTGTTGGATTAAAACATATAATAGAATGAGAATGGAGACATAGCAAGTTTCCCCAAAAAGTAAAATTTTATAAAATAATTGTAATGAATGTTAGAATTAAACTTAAATTTTAATAACTTATTACTGTTATTGACAATTCTAAGAATGGTTATCTTTCAGGTATGATAAAGGAATTTTCCAGTTTTTTTTGTAAAAAACTGCAATTTTCCCTGACTGTTCCTTGCTTTTTAAAGTTAAAATAAAATTTCCTGACAATTCCAGGTTTTCCCTGACCCGTGGGTTATGCTAAATATAATATTTTTCACTTATTTTGAACTAAATTAATACAAAATAAGAAAAAAGTATGAAAAATATGTTTAATAAATATTTAACATCTAAGTCTTAATACACCTACAAATCATTCTCTCAGGTTTCAATAATTCTGAACATTTGACAGAATTTTAAACAAAAGACTGTTTATCATTAACCACCATCAAAGATTGAAAAAAAGGTAAAAACTTTTATCAGAAGTTAAAAAAACAACCAAAATTCTCATTGAGTAAACAGTTGAAGCGCAAAGAAATTATTGAATCAGTAAATATATTTTTATAAACTTTCCATATTGCAATCTAAACTTAACAACTTTGTAGGGAAACACTCAAAAAGTTAAAATAGACATTTTTTTTTAAAAAAAAAGAAAAAGAAAACAGTAAAACACCTAAAATTTTAATTTTTCCAAGTTCTTAACTATTTACTTCAGGCTTTTAGTAAAAATGTTCATTTTGCCTAAGTTTTATGAACCATCTAAAGGCAACACCTGCACGTTCTAGGTTTTGAAAATTTGCAGATATGCACAAACAATAACAATTAAAAATTAATGAATTTTAATATTTTGCATGCAGAATTAAAAAAGAGTACACATCTTACCTTCTGTCATATCAAGCATCCATTTATCTAAATGAGTTCCTAAAGGTGATCCCCAAAGAGCACGTTCTCTCGTCAACTCTGCCTCAGTTTGTAACCACTCATTAAAGACATACTTCAATAAGTACTGCTTGTTCTGGAAAAAAAAGTTTAAGGTAAACTGTTAGAGAGAATATTAAGTAACAGGTCATAGAAGTTTTTTTAAATAGTTAAATTTATTTTTAATAACACAAATAAATCTAATTTTCATAGTGATAAAAAAATAACTTAATCTTTTTATATTATTTATAATTGATAGAAATTAAATATTATAAATCGGAATTCAAAAAGAGAAATGGCAAAAACATAAAAATTCACGAAACGAAATAACGTTCATATTTGTGGCGACTAAATAGTATTTTATAAGTGAAATGAATAATTTCATACAATCCGAACATACCGGTTCTTCAGATTTAGAAAAAATTTAATGAGTTTGTCTTAAACAAATTTTACACGATTATAATTTAAAAATTTAATTGTTTGGTAATACACTTACGGGAAACATTAAGATTAATATGTTATGTATTATTATATATTATGATTAATTCATTATATTTATTATTAAAGTAAAAACACTATCTCAAACGATAAGTGTACACATTTGTTAATTTCATATAACATAAAAAAATATTAACAGAAATTTCTTTGTAAGATTTTTAAAATTATAAAAACTTAACATAAAATATATGTGACATTTTTTTAAATCAAATATTAACAATTTACCCCAAAATAAATTCACACTATTTTTATAATTCTAATTATGGATCAAAAATAAAATTATCAGTATAGTTAAACTATAAAATTTTTAATTCTCTAATTGAGAGATTTTGTAGTGAATAAGATATTAAATTGCTGTACTTAATATTATTGACATAATTATACCCATAAAAAGCTGAAGGTTCACATATGTAGCCAAAGGTATGATAAGGCTAATAATAGCTAGTCAAAAAAGTAAATATATATGCTTAATTGTGGGTTTATGAAAATCACTCTAATACTGAAGGGAGTTAAAATGTTAAATTCGCCAGCATCTACTGTATTCTCAAGACATTGCATTTTCAGATTTTTATCAATTTAGTTTTAAGCAGAATAATTAAAATTGGAAAATAAATATTCCATAGAATTAGAGTTTATAACTTTCTTTATACTGTAGAGTACCGATTATCGGAGTTAATGTGGATCACGACTAACTCAGATAACTAAAAAACTGGGTTAAATTGAAGAGTATAAAAAAGGAAAGAAAAAGAGTAGGTTTAGAAGTAATAATTTAACAAATACAAAATCTATAAGAGTACACCACATACAATTCATATTATAATTAAAAAGCTTAGTTAAAAACACTTAAAGAGCATACTTAATGAGAAATAAAGAGTTTTTACTTAAAAAAAGTCCTAAATCGTTTTTTGTTTGCATTACTTTGGCACTTTACTGCAGCCAATGTTTCCCCATTTTTTCAGAGATAACAGGAAGGCTGGAGTGGCCTCTTTTTGTTCTATATATGCGATAGCACTTTTGATTGCTATTAGTCCACCTGTATAAAAGATTTTTATATGCTGATTTTCATCGTCACTGTCTTCATCACCTTCGCTAGATTCACTTTCCTCATTGACAATCAGTAATCTTGTGTTGATACAATGAAAAAGATAAGGGAGTGATAAGGTTGGGTTTCGTTTTCCTGAGTGTTTGAAAGATAAAATTCAGAATTTCTTTCTGCTGTAGTTCTAAAAATAATTTAGAACAAAAAAATCCTTAAAATATTTTATAGCTCCGTTAAAGCGGAAACTAGGATAATTGGGACTCTACTGTATTTTGTCCAGTTCCATCTTCTGATTGGACAAGACCGTCTGGCAAAGTAAATCCATTGCATCAGAATCTTTAAGAATCCATACTGCCCCTTCTGTTATTTGGCAAATCTAATGAATCGACACCACCTCTGTCGACAAGCATCACTTACGGCAACTCTGAGACAAAGCTTAACTGGCGTGCTAAAGAACTTTTGAGGGAAAGGCTTAATTTTTTTAATTGTATTTTACTTTGATATTTATAGTTAATTTTGCATTCCTTTTTCCTTCTGTTCCTGCTTCGCCATTAGCAAGGTTAAAATATATACAGATTTTCTAAAAACCACTTAGTTTCCCCTAATTAATAGTTTGTAAAACAATGAAAAAATATAATTATTGAATAATATATATATATATACATATGTATATTTTTTTTTATACAAATGTGTTGTATTAATTTTTATTTTCTATTGACTACTTCTACATACCATTTAAAACACTTTATTTAATACACTTTTAAAAATTCAGATTTAGCTATTTCTTCATAAAATTTTTTTGTTTCATTTACAAAGTTTTACCCTCATTTATTCAATGATACAGCACCAACTTTGTTAAACTTTGCAGAAGCATAACTCACTTGCTGATGTTGCTTTGACTGAAATTCTACAAGATCTCGTACAAGTGACACATGAGAGGAAGTATACAGTTCTAATTCCTGTAAGAAAAATAAAGAAACCTGTTAAACACTATAATAATAACAAATAATTATAAAAAAGGTAAATAATCGTTACGCCTTCAAACACACCTTGTAGGAAACATTGCTTACAGGTGCACGGAATGGGTGGTCCTTTTTCATTTTTCTTGAAGCTAAGCGAGACAGTCCTCCAGTAACTTTTTGCAGTTTCTGAGGCAAAAATAAACAAGTTAACAAAAATGACATGTTTTTTTAAAAAGAATTACAATGACATATACAATTAAAAGAAAATGAAACATTTTAAATGTTTATTATAAGCAGTTGTAATACAAGTACATTGTTAAATTAAAGAGTAAAATGAGAATAACAGGTTTGATCTTCAGTGGTGGGCTAAAGACCACCCAGGTACAGATCCATGGGTACCATCAGCTCATCAGAGAAGTAAAGCCCGCCTGTGAGAAATGTTGACTACATTGCCACAATCATACCATTCGTCAAAATTGTAGAGCTTTAATCTCATTTATCTTAAGGCTAAAAACTTTTGTTCTCAGAGGGCTACTTTACTTTTTAACAAGAAAAAAAAATATTTATAAAGTTTTATAGTATAGTATCTTACATCGCAGTCATTCTGGAAAAACAAAATTTGTTAACTTTAGATACCAGTTATTATTCATACTAACTATTATTACTTCTATTGCAGGGAGTGTTATTATTATTGCAGGGAGAATTATTATTACTTCTAGCACAGAGTGGGAACTCTGTGATGAGATTGAAATTCAAGGAATTTCCAGGACTTTTCAAGGACCTCAACAAAATTTTCAAGGACCTTAATCTAAGACCAATTTTAAAAATTATTCTCTTCTATTTTAGTAGAAGCAACAATGCTTGTTGTGGCAATAATTAATTTCAAATATAATACCTAAATGCTTTGCCTATATAGAGAGAAGAGAGTATATGTATTATGGACTAAAATTTATANGCGACAGAAGATGAAGTGGAGTCTCGCCCCGAACGCATTGATTGTCTGCTGTGCTCCGCGCGCTTGGCAGACACCAAGACACTAGGCCCGGTTAGAAACGGTGGCGATAAAAACCACGTGAGAGAGCTCGGGAACAAAACAGAAAGAATGAGAAAGATCCGCGGGTGTTTTATAAAAAGGGCCGCCGGCAGTATTGGACAAATTCAAGGACCTATCAAGTTTTTCAAGGACCTAAGACGTTTTTCAAGCACTTTCAAGGATCTAAATTTAGCAAAAAATAAATTCAAGGACTTTCAAGGACTCTCAAGGACCCTGTATTGCTACCCCATACATAAAAAAACTATTATTTGTTTATTCAAAATATATATTACATATATATTTTTATATTACATAAAAAAATTCTGAAATGCAAATAAATATAGCCCATTTTACTATTATTTAATATTACTCAAACCATTGTTAGAAATGAATAATGCCTTCTGTAGTTTAATTAAAATTCATTTAATTTGATCATTTTAATATGCAATTCATTCCAATATAACATTCTGATAACATTACCAAAGACATTAAGCATAACAAACTATACCAACACTTAAAAAAGCACATTAAATAATTTTCTTTTATTAATTAGCTGCATATACATTAAAAGATTTTATTAAATAACTTATGTTAATACATCTAATCATTTAAATTTAAGAGAAAGATCTTTTTTTTTAAAGTTTTATTCAAGTAATATTGTATAATCAAGTATAATTTTCAACAAATATCAAGACATTATTAAAATATTTAAAATCACAATTTTCAATAAACCTATTTAATTTAAAAATAACATTACCAAATGGTGACTTTAAAAATATGATTATAAATAATAAAATCACATTAAAAAAATTGAAGTCTATTTATAAAATACAATATTATTAACGGCACTTACAGTTTGAAATTGAGTTTGGAACTGCCAAGTCTCTTTGGTGTATCCTTGCTTTCGTTCACTCTCTAGATAGTTGTGCCATAACTTACTCATAGGCTCTTGCACTACACCCCTCATACATTCGAGAGTTGGCACTTTAGGAGATGGAGAAGTGTAACTGCTGAAATTGCTGAATTGCACTTTGCAAAACTCTTCCAACACCTGAAAAAGCAAAACAATATTACGTTTTTGGATTATTACGACATAAAAAACAAAGCCATTGGCAATTAGCCACAGAGATATTTACAGTCATAGGGCTTTCTCTTAGGGCCTCACATTTATTCTGGGGTCTTCTTAGTGATATGCAAAACTATTTCTCTTAATTATAATCATTGATAGAATTTTATAATAAATTTTTAATCTTGAAAAGTAAAAAATGCTTTTTAATTTAATATTTCAATTATATAGATAGATGCAGTAACTAACTTAAGATAGACATGCCTCCTGAAAGCAGTGGTCTCCATCAGACACCTTCCAACAGAGATATATAAAGAACCAATAATTTCAATAACAGAAATATTTCTTGCAACGAAATTTTTCTATAATCATAATACAAATATAAAAATGTAATTTAATTAAAATTTACTAAATAATTAAAAAATATCAATTAGTAAAACTATTAATTAATTCTTTACATGTTAATGTTATTTGACTAATAATGTTTGCTTACAAGTTAATGTTATTTAATAATGAAAAAGAACAATAATTAAAATTTTACTTGTCGACGGCTGATATATAATTCTTCCCAAACTCTATTAGCAGCATTAGATATAAGGGATGCTGCTTCTTCAGCAGATGTCCTGTGTTTATTTTCTTTCTGTTCTTTAAAATTAGCAGGAACATGCCAAGTACTCTTCTGGTTGGAATTGGAACTGCAAAAAAGTATAATGGTCTAAATTAGTATTTTTTCACCTAGATAGTGAGTGTTTGAGCAGTGAAGAATAATTAAGTGCAAACCAGTGATTAGGATCTTCTGTCAGTAGTAGAAGGCAGTAACACAGGCAACCGAAGAATTCATTTTCATGATTTGCAGGTGCAATCACAATGTTTTTATGAGCAGCAATTTTTTGCAAGCCTTCCAACACAACCATTTGGTCTAACAAAAAAAAAGATAAAGCTAAATTAAAATGATATATATACATATTAAAAAGCTCCACTTTGACCAAAACAAAGAATTCAAATTAGTTTGATTCTTTACACTAAAAATAAAATATGCATATTACAGAAACTTTCTCATTATTTTAATCATGGTTTACATATTCAGTGATCAAATAAGTCATTTTTAATCAGGGAGTTCTTTTACAAATAAAAGTCATAATCAAATTAAAATTTTTTGTTTAAGAAATGAAAGCAAAAGTAAATAACCTATTGTTGCAATCATAAAAATGCAAGAAGCATTTAGTCCTTTTCATTACTGTCTTAACATTTTTAAACACCTAATTTATAATTAAAATGTGCAATTTGCATTAGAATTTTAAAACATATACATATTGATAAAACTGTAATTAAGCAAAAATATGAAGTCTAAAACATAACAAATTTGAAGAAATAAGACATATCTGCATTACAGTATTGCAACACATGAACAAAATGAACTAATTTAGATTTTTAGTTTAAATAAATTTCTTGATCAACTCACCCACGACACTCTCCATTGTTCGTGATAGCTGATAGAGAATTGTTCTATTTAGACTTCGATAAACACTATCAAATGATATAGAAGATGAACCTAAAAAAAGAAACATTACATTTTAGTTCCACATACCTATAAGTACAATTTCTGATCTAAAAAAAGTCAGATATTAAAAATACGTGAGAATGAAGACAATAAATCTAAATTGGAGGCTGGAGAAAAATATTTTCCTAGACTGAAATTATTATTTTAATTGTTATTCTCTCTGTAACATGCAAGCTTAAATGTAAATCAAAAACTTCTAGCAATGCTAAAACAGGATTAAATTTTAATTAATTGAATTAAAATTTCGAAATTTTTTTCGAAATCTGAATACAAATCAGAATATGCAATTTTAGTATGAAATTCGGTCAATATGGGAACTCAGAGATTGCATGCATGACTTTAAAATTAAATTATAATTTGTAGACCAATTCAATGTAACCAAAAAATAGTATTTGAAAAATATCACAATTGCAATCAATGCAATCGGTATGTGCGATTCTGAGATGTCTTAACATAAAAGATCTGGTCATTTTACAACACCCTTTAATATGTTTTTAGGTTTCATAACATCCTTTAATATGTTGTTCATTGAGAGAGTAATGATGAAATTCATGATGTTGTTGATAAGAAAAATCAGAATCAAGAAATTTTTTCTTTATAGAAAGCTAAACATTATAATTTTATTAAAAATGCAGGGATTTTAATATTTTACAGATACTTGACCACCCTTGTAAATTTTCAAAGTTGCCCATTTATAAATAATATAATTGACATTAAATAAATTATAACATAAAAAATAAAAATAGTACCTTTTCTTTTGGCTTGAGCGATTAATTTGATTATAAAATCTAAAACTTTATGTGAATCTTTAGCAAAAACACCTGTAAAAAATATTTTCATTACTTGCACAGCATTTGAACTCAATCAACATAACAACATTTAAGAAAAATTTTCTCTTTTTAATAGAATTATACGTAAATGATTTTACCTTGCCACAATTTATCAACAAGACAACTGGTAAAATAGAATACATTTGGCACAATGTTGCTATAGCTGCCTCCTGCAACTATGGGCATAGCTGCTTGTTCCCCTAATAAAACATCAGCAGCAAGTAGGTGATCCATAACTAATGATAAAATATCCATTTGAAATTCACATTGCTGATTGTGAGTGGAATCTATGGGTATAGCCTGAAAAATAAAATAATTATTTAATAAAGATTGAATTGAAATTTTAAGGGTTCATACAAGTAAATATAACAAGCAAATTAAACTAAATTATTACATATTCTGTACTACCAAATTATTTATATAAAATAATGACAATTTAGAATATGTTGTTCTTTTCCTTTATACTTGAAAGAAAGTATTCATTATTGAGCATTTCCATGGTGACTGATATTACATTTTCATAGGTTATAATTTTTATTTCATAACCTTCTTTTCGCTGATAAATATTTAAAACGTATTTTCAGTAGATAAAATATAATTACGCATATAAGAAAAGGGGAAGAAAATTAGGAAGGTTTTCTTTAGAATAAAATATAAACTGTAATTAATGTTATACACAGAAGTTAAACACAACATTTTTTGAAATTCTCCTTCTATAAGCAATAATGAGATTATTTTTTTAATTTATTTAAAACAAAAACTTCAAATTAACAGGAAACATTAAAACTTAACATGAAAGCATTTATAGAAAGCGGCAAAAGAAGAAAACTCGTGACTGATGTCACAAATACAAATTATAACAAAATTTTAATAAACTTTTTATTATTATAACAAAATACATAAAAACTACAGTTTTTGACTTTATATTTAAAATAGTTAATAAGCAACTTTATTTTTATTGCTAGGTTCTCCTTTGCATCATGGAATCGCTCTATTACTGATTAACGAAAAACAGAATATTGAATGAAAACAATGTTAAAATTGCAAATAATTTATTATATGCCCTTGAAACTGGTAAAAGTGGGAATATTACAGCATTAAGGACACAGGTCAATATTAACAAACTATGAGAAAACAGAAAATTAAAAGACAAGCATTTTCCCAACATGGGGTAATCGACCAATATTTGACTAACAGTTTTTAATGACATTTATTAATTATAAAAAGGAAATGACAAAAAAGGAAATTTTGAATAAGAATTTATATCGATAGCGAGTAAAAAGAATTTATCTGCTACATTTTAGATTTTCAAATTTATGACTACTTCCAAGAATTCTTCATGACTTAACAAAGTTACTATTTTCTCCAAAAACACACCAATAAATTTAAAAAAGCATTATAATAACATTAATTGAAATGATGGGTATAAACAAAACTGTTATACTCTGCATCTTCATATTTATAGATTTTAAATTTAAAAAACAGAGTAAAGAAAGAGTTGAGACAATAAAATAGCTGAAAAAAAGCAAAAAAAAAAAAAAAATTCTTTTTTTCAGAAGAATTATATTCTAAAGATGCTTTTCTTGTTCATCGGAAAGGAAAGAAATACTCCTGATTTTTCTGTTCTTATTTTGGAATTACAAAAATTCGCCAATGACTGGCTTGCTACAGCTAGAATTTTAAATTGACAAAATAAAATAAAAAATAAATCATAAAAATTCCTAAATCACAGAAGTTTAAAAGATAATTCGCTCCAGTAATGATGTTTTTTTTTCTTCGTTTTTTGAAAGAAAAACATAATTTGTAAAGAACATGATAAAAAATTTTTTCATGATTTTCCAGGTGCGCGGATACCCTGAATCTACAATTAGTGTTGAAACTCACTCCAGGAATTTGAAGATATAAAATAACAAAAAAACATTAGTAGGAACTGACATAAGCCAGGAAGTAAGTATATTTACCTCTAACAACAAATCAATGACAGGTGCATGTTTTGGAGTAGGTGGCAGGGAGAAACTGTCCACAACAATGACTCTCAGGAAATCCATAACAAACTTCCTGGCACTATGAGTGGTAAGCGAATCCCTGTCATAATAACTGGAACTGTTCTTTGATTGCAAGAATACAAACTGCTGTTCAGGATTGTAAGTCTACAAGAGAGAAAGATATAACCAAAATATAGCTCTATATATGAATAATTAGAGATATAAATGTTTACATTTCTGCCAAGACCATTAATAATTATTTTAATAAATAAATAAAGGTTACAATATTATTATGCCTATTTGTGTTAAGTTTCAATTTGTTATTTTGCTAATAAACCTTTTATATTTAAAATTAAGTGCAATGAATATCAGGATAATTTGATAGCTATTTAACAACTAACACAGTTAGTTGTTTAATGTTTAATTCAAGTGGTGTAAATGTGTGTTTATCACATCTAGGCAATGCCATAAGGATGCACACAAAATTAAAAATAATGATTGTTGTAATAAAAAAAAGAAAAAAGGTTAACTAAAAAATTTCTTAAAATTATCCAACTCATTTTTGACAATAAAAGCTTAGCTCGAAAAGTAATATTTTCTTTTCACTTGAAGTATGCAGTTTTTAACCAACCACTTTAAATTTTGGAAAAATATAAACTGATGGTTCTTTTTTATACAAGCATAACAGAATCTCAATTTGAGATTCTTCTAAACTAAAATTTTAGTTCAAAATATTCTGCCCTGCAAAGGGTTTAGACAATCGTACCCACATGCCTTATAAATTTGTAACACATCTTTATAATATATCTATTTGAACAATCTTACATTAGAAATGGCACCCAAACAATTTGCATAATTAACATTTTATGCTAGAAAAAATGAGGATTACAATATTTACTGAATAAATAGCCTAAATAATATGTACACAACTGTATCAAAAACTAAAAAAAAAATTTTTTTTGTTACATCCATGAAAACTAAAGTCAAATTTTCTTAATCTGTGCAAAAAATTGAATAATTTAATTTTAATCTATAGCCCAGTACTTAATGTTAGAACACTTATTATACTGCATTGCAAGTTAAGAAAAGACCATTGTGGTACAGGATTTAAGCAATCATCTGCGACTGCATACAGTTGGTTTCATTTAGCTATCATCAAATTATATAATTATGCTTTCAAAACAAAAGTTTCTAAAAATTAAACTCGTTGGAAAGAAGTTCAGTTCGTGCTATTTTTTACAAGCAAAAAGAAGGCCATGGTACACCGTCTCAAAAGTTGGCGATGTTGATAATCGTTCATGCTTGGAGCTTGACATCCATTTAACTTGCACTTAGAAGCAAACAGCCTCTCTCCTTAAGGATAATGGTTTTTAATTAACTTGCAACAGAATATAGACTTGCAATTCTGTACTAATTTTATTTGTAACATATTGTGTAATTTACTGGGTACATTTTTTCCATTAATATTTGCATGCATTTAGAACTTATTGCAAGTAATTTTTCTTTTAAGTTGGTATTACTTACATATAAATATGTCTTGCTCATAAATAAATTACATAATATTGTATAAATAATTACCATATTCTGATAATACACACATTAAAAATCAAAACTATGAAAGCATTTCCCAAATTTGCATTTAATTATTTTATAGACTTCAGTTTAAATAAACACAATTTCTTATTTTATAAAAACAGACTGATTTCTTTAAATATGATAATGTGAAAAGTAACATACCTGATAGTCTTCTAATGGTGAGTTAACCATATCATGATCTTGAACAGATTGTGCAGGTGGAAACAAAGAAGCCACTAATGCAGCTATTACATCTTGACCCATACAAACAGTCACAAAATCAGATCGATTGTGGTACAAAGAGATGAAGAAATGCAGAAGAGTAATTGCATACTCTGAAACTACTTCACTTTGGTCAACCTAAAAATATATTAATAAAATTATAAATAGAAATTACAAACTCATACAAATAACAAAAAATAAAAGGAAGACAAAAGAAAAATATATTAGGGAATAAAAGAAATTAGCATAAACCAAAAATATCATTGGTTCATCCATTAAAAATAATTTTTACAACTTTATTAAATTAAAAAAGTTAAGTTATAAAAGTTTCCAATATAAAATATCAATATTAGTAGAACATCAAGGCAAATAAATTAAAAAATGTTAACCTAAAATATCAAATAAGAATGTTTTTTTTATTTCTTTGAATATAACTTGGTTTATACAACCTGTTAAAATGCAAACTAAATTAATTAATTAATTTAGTAAATTAGCAATTAAGCTAAAAAATGTACTTGGGGTGCTCTTATTAATTATTTGCACAATAAATTTTTCATTAAATTATAAATTTTTTTTAATGATTGAAATGTAATGAGTAATATAATGTGCTAAAACCTAAATTGTTGTTTTTTTTACACAAAGTATTTTGATTTTACCAGGTAACTTTATTAAGTTAGCAACAAAAAAAAAATTCTTAAGTATTCAAACAGGATACTGGAAAAGCAATTTATGTTGGTAAGGAAGAAAAAAAAATTCAAATATCATAGATAAAAATACACTGTCAATCATAAAAAAGTAATATGCTGTCTGCCCTCACTTTGAAGTAGCAACATAATACTTTTTTATCCCTAAATAAGTGTTTAGAATGAGCATTAAATTAGCTGACATATTCAATTTGATATGCTAATTTTTCTGATGAGAAGAATTAGTATAGTCGAATGCAGAGTTTAGTTAAAAAAAGAAGATCCAAAATGAGCTCTACCGAGCAAAATGTCAATGGCATTACACACTCTAAGCAAACGGTGCTAAAAAGTAGGTCAGATGGCAAAAAAAGTTAAGATCATTGGTCCACAAATTGGTTAAATATTCACCAATACTATTTAAATAGAAATATTTACACTTATTTTTGTTTAATATAATTCTAAAATAAAATTCAAATAGATTATTCTATATGTAAATCAGCCTTATTTTTATTTGTACTTTCTTTTTAATTTCAAATTACTCGGTTTTGATGTAATTCACTTTAGAACATAATCCAGCTTAAAGACTTTGTAAATTTGTTTTGCAACAAAATCAAAGATAAATTAAATATTAATACAATTATTGCTGGCTAATGAGAAAAAAAAAGAACATATTAACTGCAAAAAATTTAGAGCGAATTTTAAAACCTAGTGACATGATTGGAAATATTCTATTATTATTTTTATTTCTAGAAAGGTCTCTGAGAATTATTATTCACTCTATTTACTCAAGTTACCCTGGTAGCACATAAAAGTTCACTTTAATCATCACATAAATTTAAAAATGAAAACAACTGTTTTAGATTATATTATAATTATGTTTCTAGAGTAAATAAGCATAAAATACAAAATTGAATACAATGTCTAATACTTTTAAACTCAGAATGATCAAATACTTTTTCATAAGTTTATTACTAAGATAAATACACAGATCAGGTTAGATTAATTATGCACAAGAGCTGTAAGTAGCTATACTGCACCAAATTCAACTAACCTTATATACTAAAGGTAAAGGGATTAAATAGTTTAGTAAACTAACAGCATCACAAGAACAGCAGGAAAAAGGGAGAATAAAAAATTAAATACCAATATAGCTTTAACTTTGCCATCTGTAAGAGCTTAGGCTTTTACATATGCTGGTCCTAAGCTCGGGTAAAGGAGGAAGGTTGAGCAAAGGGCTACTCGCTCTTCCTGGAAACCCTTTGACCATAGAAACTGAGAGTCAAATTACCAGTAACATTGCAAATATGCAATGGATTAAGGAAGATCTTAGTAGAGCAGGATTAACTGGATGGGAAGAAGCGTGTTGACTGGCTAAAGACAGGAGTGTGTGGTGAAAAAGACTCGAGGCCTTACGTGCGAGTTCGGCACGAAGAGGATAAGTAAGTAAAATGCTTTAGGGATACCAAATAAAAAAACTGCATTTACCTGAAGAAAGCAAATCTCCAAAGAAAAAATATAGATCTAAATATTTAAGCATATATTGGTAGGCATATTAACGTTTCAAACGACCACCATGAAATAAATCTAGTTACTTTACCATACAGGAAAATAGTTCATTACTATATTCGTCCATGGAGAATTGCACACGGTAAGACAATTTTTGTGCAATTGATTTGAAAGCTAATGAATAATACAACACAGCACTCAGCATCAATAAAATAAAATAGAAAGAATAGCAGAATAAAAGATATAAGANAAGAAAGCAATTCTCCAAAGAAAAAATATAGATCTAAATATTTAAGCATATATTGGTAGGCATATTAACGTTTCAAACGACCACCATGAAATAAATCTAGTTACTTTACCATACAGGAAAATAGTTCATTACTATATTCGTCCATGGAGAATTGCACACGGTAAGACAATTTTTGTACAATTGATTTGAAAGCTAATGAATAATACAACATAGCATTCAGCATCAATAAAATAAAATAGAAAGAATAACAGAATAAAAGATATAAGAATGAAAAAAAATTACCATATGGATTATAGTTCTGATCATTGCTAATGCTACAACAGCAGCCTCTTGACAAATTTCACCCCGAGATATAATCAGATTGTTAGGATTTTGTCCAGTAGGAGCACCAAACAAATATGACCATATAACATCCATTGTGAGCTAAACAAAAAAAAATATATCTTAAAATAAACACATGGTAATAATTACACATATTTGTAACACATAAAGTTAACAAATTTAAGGTTAATAAAAAGTTAATAAGTAAAAAAAGGAAAATAAATTATTTATAAAAATTAATTTTTTAAAGAAAATTTAAAGAATAATTTGTATAAGTATTAATTCCTGAAAATAAAATGTATGAAAAAGTGCAAACTTACGGTGACAGTTGGTGGTAAAGCTGATGGAAAAAGGCCCAACATAATTGATAGAAGTAAAAAATAAACCTCAGGAATTTCAACATGATGTACCATGAGATATTGAAGATGTTGAAAGCCAGGAACATGGGCAGCTTCATCAGTTACATCTACACTCCCAAACGATTTTGGATTAGAACCACTCATGTTGAAACCTATTTGGTAAAAAAAGTCAACAATTTACCTTAAAACATATCAGAATTTAAACAAGATGCTACAAAAATATCATACCTTTTTGAAATAAATTACACGTAAGAGCAGTATTATTAAACAAAGATACAACTAATTGGAAGAATTAACACATTGACTGCCACAGGCATTTACAGTGAAATCTCCTTCAAGCCACAAGTACTGCTGTACGAAGCGTATTCTGATAAGTGTTCCCACCAATATTTTAATAATGCGAGTATCTGGAGGTCACAATAATATCTCACACCGTTTGTTTCCGTGGTATCATGTCTTCTTATTTGTGTCCGTTGCTTCACATCTGTTTCTCATCTCGCCACTTTACACGATGAGTTTAAATCTTTGCCAAATAAAACGGATTATAACTTGAAATCTTTAACCTAATTTGCTGGAATTTCAAAAAGAAAAATTGAAAACTTATTTCTCAGTGAGTCAAATAGCAGTGAACAAAGAAGCTTTTACGAGGCTCTCAATAATTTTCGTAAAAAATCATTTTTGTATTACTTTTATAACAATTCAATAGTTTTGTTATTTCCTGCAAAATATCTTTTCAAATACATAGCAATATCTTTTGCAAGTAATCAAATAAGCTTCACCCCAAAGAATAATATTCCTTCATTCAAAGGAGATTCAAGGTTTTTCATAATTATTCTGCGTTAATACCAAAGGAAATATAGGTTTAAATAATTTCTTTAAAACTTTATCTAAATCCATCAACTAAACTTTGAACCCTATATTGGAATAAACGGTTCAGTGTCGAGGTTCTAATGGACATTGAGTCTCTGAATAACAAACACAAACAAGACTTGATGCATGGATTGTTACAAAGCAAGGGTTCTGGTAATCCGGGGTTGCACTAAAGAGAGTACAGTGTATTAATTATAAGACATCAATATATCACCAACTAATTCATATAAACTAATGTGTAAACAAATAAGTAAATAAAAAATAATTATAAATAATCTAAGTATTAATTTTAGATTGAGCAAACCAAGCAAAACTATTTACCTAAAGCGACATCGACACGATTATTAAGGACAGCATCAGTTTCAGCTAACCAGCCACCATTAACAGATGATTCTCTGAAGAGCTGAAGAAGATGCTGGTGACTCAGAAAAATAGATAGAATTCTTAATCCCCAAATGACAGTGGTGGGATGTAAATGTTCTTGCAGAAACAAAAGCACCCAATCAAAACCCAAGCACTTGACAACTGTTTCACAAAACCTACAACAATAAGACACTCAATATTATTTACAACTCATCATAGAACATTCTCATACAGATGAAACTGCTCAATAACCTACATTAAAACTTAGAGCATTATTGCAGAATTTTTTTCCTCACAATCATTTGTCTAGGTTTCTTTTGAATCCGATATTGAATAAATATTTTTCTAACATAAAAGCAAAGACAGGGAGAGAGAGAAATAACAAGTATGAATACTGAATTGATAAAAAATATGAAGTTATTTACTTGTACAGCTAATTAATTTTGAATTTTAACCAAACCAGGATTGAGAGGAATAAACTTGCTTTTTACAAAACCTTTTGTGTAAATGTAACATATATTTAAACTTCCTGAGAAAAAAATCCTATAATCATCTAGAGTTGGCTTGACAAAATACTCAAACTTATGATCTGATTACTATTAGGAAATGTTTATTTTGACAGGGTGGCCACTCAAATCAGATTTCAAATTTCCCTGATTTTTCCAGGTTTTGCAGATAAAAATCCTAAAATTTCCAGGTTTTAGTTTCTTTATTCTAATAAAGTGTAGGCAAGAAAAGTGTCTATATTATAAAATATTTTATTCAAAATGTTATTTTTTTAACATATCTTGAAAAAAAGAATTTATTTTGACAATTTGGCAAGATTTTTTATTCATTTCTTAATGTTTTGGTACAAAATTTTGAATCAAAAATCATATATTGACCAACAAAAGAGTAAAATTAAATATTAGTATATAGTTAGTTCTTAAAAAAAAAACGTTTTTTAAAATTAAAATATGTTATAAGAGGTTAAAATGAAAAAGAAAAAATTAGCATTAATGCAACAATTGTAAACATTTGTCGATAAACATTGCGATTGTAAAAAAAAATGTGTGATTGGTTAGTTTGCAGAGAAAAAATAATTCACAGATTTCTTTTAATGGGAATACAAAAGCTTTCAGAAAAAGAGTGCAATATAAAATCTATTATTATTATTAAATTATAACCAACTAATTTTTGGAGAATTTTATAAGGTTAAAAATACAAAAAACATTGTCAAAATCGAAAAAAATTACCACAAAATCATTGGAACAAACTTAAGCCATAAATGGATTCAGCCCAAGGACAGAATTTAAAAACAGAAGCTAATACACTAATCCCTTCTTCCACCTTCACTACAATCTTTCCTAAATTGCACAGTCCATAGCGGTCAAAGGTTTCCACATTCGTTTAGCAACAGTGGGAGAATTTTATGTGGCATTCTAGTTCAACAGAGCGGTAATGGAGCAAATTTTGATGCAAGCAAAGTATTGCTAAGTTGATGATATTTCAACTGCTTGGAGATACATTTCCGTCTAAAAAAAGTGAGTATAGTGGAAAAAATAATTTAAATTAAGAAAATTAGTAAATAATTTAAATTAGTGAAATTAAAGAAATTTCAAGCTTTTCTTTAAAATTTCCTGATTTTTCCAGGTTTTTATAGAAATTTCCCTGATTTTTCCAGGTTTTCCAGGTGGGTGGCCACCCTGTTTGATTCTCAAAACCAAGAAAAGTAGCCTACATTGGAATTCAAATTAATTTAATAATATTATGACCCACACAAAATACATTATTGCGCTTAACTGCTATATTGTTACTCATTTTGACAGAACTCTTCTTTTAAAAATTAATTTTTATAACCTATGAATCATAATTAAAATTGTTTTTGAATCAAATGACAAATTGCTTTATAATAAATCCCATTAATTATTGATATAGCAGAATGTAATCATGCTAATTAATAAAACTAACTAACAGAAGTTATAAAATCTTAGAAATACATTTTTAAATAAATGAGCGAAAACCTAAACTTCTAAATCAAATTAACTGCTACTTATATAAAATTATCTAATTCTAGGAAATTTAAATAGATTAGAGAAGAGATTTTTTATTTTAACTTTGTGCCTAAATCAAGATGCTTTAGTTCACAAGTGATCAAGTACAAATGTATCGGTGATTTCCTGTTTAACCTAAGACAATTTCATTTTCATTCAATTATTTACAATTTACTTTATTAATAATAAAAACAACTTTTAATAAAAAAAAAGTTATATTTATATTATGTTAAGCTAAATAATTTAAAGTGTCAAAAAAATTTTTTAATACATTTGTTGAAATGTTCCGAACATGTAAAAATTTAAAACTGTAATCTTTCATAGAATAATCAATTATATAAATGACATACCGTCGAACCTGGTTATAGTGAACCGTCTGTTGTCTTAGCAATAAGTTCACTATAAACAGTGTTTCATTATCGACAAATTCTTTTAAAAATTATCTTTTAACATATGAGAATAGTTTTGTTGGAGCTATGGTTACTCAGTCGCTCGCCTACCAATGAGATGAACGGGGTTCTAATCCCAGCGATGACTAGTCGATATGAATTCTGCACCGGCCACAGTGCTGACGTAAAATATCCTCAGTGGTAAATGGATCACAGGTTAGAGTTTCCCTGCCATCAAGCTAACCGTGGGAGGTTTTAGTGGTTTTCGTATACATGTAATGTAAATGTGGGCTTAGTTCCATCAAGAAGTCCTTCACAAAGGCAAATTTTTCCAAGAACTAGATCCAGGAGTTCCTTTTTGGACTAAGTTCAAAATTACAAGGCTATGGAGTTGAACATTGGAAACCATAAAACAGAAATCGGCTCAATGAAGGTTATAAAATAGTTTTTTTGAAAATAGTGATAATGCTAATGCTATACTAATAAAAATAGTGATTATGCTCTTGTTGAAAATAGTGATTATGCTAGATTATTACCTGATTAAATAGATAATAAATAAAATATTAAAAAGAAAATTAAATCAATTTATACTTTAAATGAAAGAAATTAGTAATTTTTGACTGACTAAAATTTGATTTTATGTAAAGTTTACCAATTTTTATAATAACAATTAGTTAAGAATTCAGTATTTTCCAGTCCCCAATTTTTCCAGAAAAAAAAAACGGAGCATTTAATAACTACTTCACTTTCCAGATAAAAGTTGAACAAAATTTCTTGTTCTGCAGCATAGGAAGGGGGTAAAAACATGGATGTGCAGCTTAACAACTTGATAACCCTGGTTTAAAAGCGAAAACTATGCAAGAGTAAAATTTTGTACAATATTAAGAAATAGTATAATTTGCAATCCCAACTCTAGCAAATTTGAAACTGCAGAATTTTTTTTTTTTAAAAAACTCAGGAAATGAAATTAAAGTGCAGAAGGTTTTAACATCCTTTTAAGTAGTTATTGTATTTTATTTTGTCACTGTTGGCAATGTAAATTGGTAGATTGTTCATAGATTTTTTCACATATAAGAACAATGTTCTCTTCAGAATTGTACTGAACTGGATTGTTTGAAACTTTAAAACCTAGATTTGTTTCATAGATTGAATTATGCATTTATTAATTTATATAAACATGAAACTATCATTCAGAAATAAATCTCTTGATAGCATTAAAAGTCTTTATAAAATCCACAATAAATTAACTAATACTTTTTCAACTGCCTATCATAAGCATATTAAATAGTGTTAGTTCAGAAAGGACCATTAAAAAAGTCAACTGAGCCAAAATGACAACTGAGTGTTCACTATATACCATGTTTATTATAGTGACGTTCAATTGTATAACTGCAGCATAACTTGCATATTTGTATAACTTGTATATTTTTTGAGACAATAAAAAAATTTCCCATCACTTAAGAGGGTTTTTTTTTCAGTTTTTAAATCTAGTTCTGTAAGAAATTAAGAGTGGTCCTTATTACAATGACTAACAATTACAAGATACGTAATAAGATTTTAATTCAACAACTTTTAAAAATTTCTTACAATGATGAGTTCCAGGAGAAAACTTTACAATTTGCTTAAGTCTTATTTATTCTTAAGTTTTTATTTTAGTCCAACAGTTTCTATTTTCTTACTGATCATTTCGTCTTAAACTTTTTTTAGAAAAAAAAGCTTTTAGACACAACTGTAAGATAAAAGCTCATGACATTATACTTCCAAATAATAAAATGAAGTTATTAATAAAAAACTTTCAATAAAATGAGCTTTTATACATAAAAGCTCAAATAGCTATTTGAGCTTTTATGTATAGCAAATAGCTATACATAAAAGCTCAAATATCAGTAACATTAATCATATAATATCACTAATGTTTAAATAGAGATACATAATTTTAAAAGTAAGCTATAATAACACTAAAAAATTATGGTTAAATAAATATTTACGTATAATTGACAACTCCTGATCTCGAAAATAAAGAGCATAATAAAGCAAGACAATGATTTCTCAGAAGAACATTTTGGTTAATTTTGGCATCAACAAACTCCTTATTTTCTGGAAGGAATAAAAGAAAAGCATAATATAAGCAAAGAAATCAAATCAGTAATATAAAAATTCATTATTAGCAGGAAACTATTTGCATGTGTTAGAAATATGCGAAAATGAGAAATTATATAAGGTTTGCTAATATTTTTAAAATGATGTAATAATTGAGCTTTTCTAATGAATTTAGATGCATTGAAGAAAACAAGTAGACAATTTTAATGCAGTCTGATTACAAAAAGAAGTATGTTTTAGTGGGCAGTAAAGTATGCATCAACAAAGGAGAGAATGGTGTATAGTTCCAAAGCCTGCAAACATTAAAAGCAAAAAATCCAGTATATTTTGCTAAATGATAGAAATGTCATGTTAAGTATTCTGCAAATATCAAAAAACATTATGGAAACAGAGAACTATGTGAATTTTTTGACATTAAAAATTCCAGAACTATGTTACACTCAAATAAAAATAAATTTTGTATCGTGACTTTTTAAAAAGTATTAAAAGCTGTTTTAACAAAGGAAAGAAGAAAAAAATTTCAATCTTAAAGGAATCAAAGAAAAATAAACTTTTAAAAATTCAAAAAGAATTCAAGTTTTAAACTTATATTTCTATATAAGAATTACATAGAGTTTGCCATTAATCCTAATTTGCATAATTTTTCTGATGATCGTCTGAACTATTCTAACACTTTTAGCTAAATAATTTTCAGGGAAAATGTAGAAGAAGAATATTCTGTTTTCATAGAATTTACTTGGAAGTTAGCAGAAATTTTTCTCCAGCAAATAGTTTTCTTTTTTTTAATTTTATGCTGGAGAAATTTCTTTTACATTTACATGTCCTTGCTTACAAAATATAATGCTAATTAAAAGGTATACTATTAAAGCATCATTAAATTAAAATATTAATCACTAGATTATAATATCTAGATAGATAAAAAAAATACAACCTGATTAATCTCTATTTTGCCACACTTTAGATTTTTTTCTATTATAATTAAGACTAGTTACTACATTTTAATGTAAAAACTGGATTAAACATTAATTTAACAATTCAACTGAAAAAAGTAAATGTCACTGGCATGGCACATGCAAATATTTACCGTGACCTGCCCCAATTCAGGGCATACGGGTAAATGTTAAAACCAAGTAAAAACATTAAAGAACATAAAATACATAAAATGCATAAAATACATAAAGCGCATAAAATACAAAAGTCATATGGCAACAGCCCGTAAACATTGCGGGCGAGCTATACTGTTGAACAAAATTAGCTATCTACAATTAGTCAGAATATTATATCTTTAAGAAAACATGACAAATATATCTGGCATGTATGTCATGAAAAGTCCAGGTCAACAGACCCTAAAATATGGATTAAAAGCACAATTAAATTTAAACCACCAGCAATATTAGAAGAAAAATAAAATGCAAATTGCCATTCTAGGTCAACAGACCCCTTATATTGAGGCAATCAAATGGCGTAAAATTTAAAAACTAATCATAGGGCAAATTGCCTATTAAGGAAACAATTAAACGAGTTACAAATAGTAAAATCACCAAAAATAGTTCTGAAATAGTGAAAGTGGATTAAAATGGTGTGAATGACGAGGACAGTTCAAATCCAACCTAAGAACACCATGAGATTTAAAAACTTTTTAAAGTCACTAAAAGTCCAGTTTAAAGGATAGTCATCCTGGCTGAAAATCAAAATCCCCGAACCAGACATGGCACACATATTTTTTCCCCCAGTTTACATTCGTAATTGTAATTGTTTCCCTATTGTGACTTTTACCTTTCCCTCACCCTAATTCAACTAGCATTTGTAAAAGATAAGAGTAACAAAAACTACAATTCAAACAGACAAAGAGATAAGATTTAAAAAAAAGAATAATTTAACCTACCACAGTTGCTAAGAGCATTATTAATATTTCCTTTTATTTCTATTTCTTTTTCCCTTATAGATGATACTGGAATGGTAGCAGCAATAAATTGGCCAAAACTGAAAAAATATATATAAATCAACACTCAGTAAAAATGACACTCTAAATAATATTGCGTAACAGCATAAAATTTACCAAGTTTTTAATCATAAAAAAATTTGAAGATTTTCTTTTTAATTAGATTAGATTTACTTAATTTGATTGTTAATGTAACTGGCAAGAGTTTGAGATTTATCTTTAAATATGATCTAAAGATAATATACTATTGGATGCACACACTACAGGCTACTATCATAATTTAAATCAAAGCAGATGATGGTGGCAATTTCTAAACCATGCTTTCCAATTGCCAAAATATCTGTAAAAGTTTACCAAATTTGATACTATGTCCGACAATAGGACAGAAAAATAACGACATTGAAATAAAAAATCCAATCATCACAGCACATTAAAAGCATTTTTTAATGATAATTTTACAGTGAACTTTCAAAGGAATAAGATAGCTAACTTCATTTTGTGATTTATTGTAAAAGAGTAATTTAGGATTAATTAAGACAAAAATGTAAGACCTCTGTAACATTTTTTTTCAGTCTGTAAATATTTTTAATAATTAAATTTATGAAATTTAAGTACAAATTCTCGTTAAATTTTCAATCTTGATATTCTTTTTGAAAATGGTTTCTTAAAAAGTTATGAAAATAAAGCTAAATAAAATTATATCTTTTGACAAAGCTGCAAAATAACCTTATATGCCAATCAAAATGGCTCCTTTATTTTTGATATCCATAATTAAATGTACAAAGAAACCTAAAACTGACTGAAATAAATTTTCAAAATTTTCACCTGTTTTCATATTTCTTTTTAAGAGAAAACATTCCTATCACCGCAAGAAAACAAATCAAGGTAGGTAAAGTCTCTTTCCTCTAGCAAAATATAAGAAATAAAAATTTGATCTATTCTGACAGAAGATTAACGATTTAATTTATATATTTTCCTCATAAGACAAGCTAAAAATTGTCATATCTTTGTTTTTAGTAGAGATATAACTAAAATTAATTAATTTTTGATAAAGGGCAAAACTGCATAAATGATATAAGTTAAAGTTAAATTTTATAACTAGTTAAACCCCTTAATTAATGTTGAATTATTTAAAAACCTAATGTTTGCAGAGGCTGTATCGATAAAAGTGGTACCAGTTTAAAAATTTTTGATATCAATATCATATAAATTTAAAACACAAACTGCATTTGAAGTAAATAATATTTTTATATAATGGATTAAGTTTTTTTTAGTGCAACATTAAAGAAAAATAATCGAGAGTAACATTAATAATTGACTGTAACATCAATTTTCAACTATTCTACATTTATTGTTAAACTTATTAATAAAAATCCATTAGGCAAGTATTATCTGCCAGTTTATCTTATACATGTATTTAAGATGTGGAAATGATTTACATAGTACAGTACAGAACCCATTATCCGGAAATCAGAAAACCGGAATACCAAAAAACCGGAACGAAATTCGTTAATTTTCTCGCCATTTAAAAAGAAAAAAAAAATTTCCTCATAAGATTTTACGACTTTTCTTTCTTTTTTAAAAGATGTTTACCTTACCATCATTTTGGAAATAATCATTAGTGTATTACTTCATAGTTTTTTCTTATTTTTAAGATTATTTCCAATTTTTTTTTTAGTCGGGTTTAACAATAAAAAAACGGCTTTTTGTAGCGATTCAGAAAACCGGAAAAATCAGTTATCCAGAATAGCGATGGTCCCGACCGTTCCGGATAATCGGTTTCCTACTGTACTATGTTATTATTTATAAATTGTTTTAAACATAGAATTTTTCAAATAAGTAAATCACCAAATGTTCATTTACCATTTAATATCACCATTTTTATTACTATCCAACTGCTAATGCCAGTTTATCTTAAACATGCATTTAACACATTGACTGCTGCATCACTCATATTCAGGTGACAGCAAACTTTCCAATTGGGCCCCGTTACCCATATTGTGTTGGCGCTTATTTGGCTACTTGCAAAGGATATTTGTATGTATTTGAGAGGATATTTCACAGGAAGTAACATAACTATTGAATTGTTATAAAAAAATACAAAAATGATTCTTTAAGAAAATTATTGTGATCCTTGTAAAAGCTTTCTTGTTCACTGCTATTTGACTCACTAAGAAATAAGTTTTCCATTTTCTAAATTTCAACGAATTAGGGTAAATATTTTAAGTTATACTCCTCTCTTAACTCGGCAAAGATTCAAACTGATCGTGTAAAGTGGCGAGATGAGACACAGATGCGAAGCAACAGACACAAATAAACAGACATGATAGCATGGGGAAAAAACGGAATAAGATATTATTCTTGTGACCACCAGAGACTGGCATTATTAAAATATCGGTGGGAGTACTTAGCAGAATACGCTTTGTACAATGGTACTCATGGTCTGAAGGGGATTTCACTGTAAACATATATGGCAGTCAACGTGTTAAGATGTGCAAATGATTTACATAGTATTATGTAATTGTTTATAAATTATTTTAAACATAGAACTTTCCAAATAAGTAAATCACTCAATTCTCATTTACCATTTAATGTCACCATTCTTATTGGTATCTTGCAGAAGTATGCATAATAATCGGCAAAGTATTCTGCAGGTAGCTGATGATAAGTGCAACTGTTTGAGAACTTGTAGAAGTCTGCTTACCATATTAAGATCTCTGAGAATTTTTAAGTTTGATTTATGTTCACTGAAAAAAATTAATAACTTATTAGTAATTCAAGAATTAGTGTCTGTAGGACTTTTAATGCTAAACTGTACTATAAAAAAATTTGCGCCAAAAATAAGACTGTGAACACTTAAAAAGGTTTAAAATATCTGATGGTTTTGAGAATAATATGAAAGATATTTACATTTTTATGTGTATAAGAAAATTAAGATAAAACTTTCTTCCAAGAAATTTTAACTTTATGTACATGATTTACTGTTTTTAGTAATTATTAAACTAACTTACTAATTTGTATTCAAGTTCAACAATGATACATGGCTACCAACAACCATGGATTGTCCATAGTATTTCATTTTTATATTTGAAATGGTAATAAATCTTATAAATTTCTGTTAACTATTTTGGATTTATACATTTAATTTAATATGATTTTGACCACCAAATAAATAAATCTTATACATAAGAGCAAGTTATAGAAACAAAAATGAGTGAAAGCTATATAGAGATCATGAAAAGTAAAATTTATCTACAATTGCATTCAATTAGTCCTTCCCAGCCACTTGGGAAATACTTCCTCAGAAAGAGTAAAAGTTGGCAGGTCTAATGATATCCATGCAATAAGAATACCAAATTTGATCATAACTAAATTTCGAAAAAAAAAATACATATATTTCAGTTATTTAGTTTTTCTTAAAAACCCCAGATATAAGGCTGTTAATTTTAAATGCTCAGTTTTCATATAGCAAAAATACAAAAAGGACAAAGGAGACTGAAGTCATGACCAAAGTGAAAGAATGAATGAAACTTACTTCTGAATCTATATTTAATTTAAAATAAATTGTGTAACAATTTTAAAATATGAGTACAGTTTTGACATAATGCATAAAAAAATAGAATTTATTAGACTATTTATTTATTATTGACAAAATTAGCAATTGGTATAGTTTACCTGGATTCAGCAACAAGTTCACAAAAATGCTCATACAAAGACTTCTGGAGATCTCCAGGGGAATCTTGCCAAACCTGAAAAGCAGTAAAAAGCTTATAAAATATTGCTAACTTTTGACTCCCTCTGTCAATAATTCAAGTTAATTCTTAGCAAAATAAAAATAAAACAAAATTGGAATACATTGGGAATTTAAATGAAAAAGTAAAAATTTAGTTTTCACTTAAAGATCACAGAACAGATTTTCAAAAGCCAAAAAGAATTACAAATTGAAATGAAGCTATGAAAATAAATAAACCATTGCTTTGTTTTAAAATATTTCATGTTATTTTTAAGCAACAAAAATAATAAACAAGAAAGAAAATGATAAAAATAATAAAACTGAAGTACATTATAGCTTAGATAAAAATTTAATGTTTACTTCAAGATCACAGAGCAGATCCTCAAAAGCCGATACATTAGGAATGGATGTGTTTTCTCGTCCACTGTCAACAGTGCCAACTAAAGAGAATGTCAGGTGAAGGATATGACTATTTAAGAGACTCCTTTTCTTTTTAAACAGCATGGCTAACGTCTGAAAATAGAAATTATTTAAAAATACAAACATATAATGGAAATAAAATAATTAAATACTAATTGTTCTTTGGAATTAATGTTCATCTAGTTAGTTCAAGAAAGCTTAAAAATGAAAAAAGAAAAGAAGTGAAATATGAAATAAAATTTTTATCATACTAACCAACAACCAACAGTTGTGGTTAATAGGTAACAAGAGAGTTAACCTTTAATGTAACATACAAGCCAGTTACATTCAATTAAACACAAATAAATCAAATCAAAATAAATTTTTGCAGTTACAGCTCCGGATGGATTAAAAAATCTAAACTGGTTATTCCTGCCAGTGGCTACGAATAATTTGACACAAAAAAAAATCAAACACTATTTGTCAAAGAAAATTAAAAGTTTATAGTGCCCTAACTTCACTATTCAGAACCTTTCAATAACCATATTTGAAATAAATAGAAAGATATTTCAAACAATGGGATGCAAGACTCCCAAATTTATAGGTTCATTTTTACTAAATGTGATTCTCTACTTAAAATATGAATTCTCAACCAGTTCGTCCAATTAATTAATATGTACATTCATAATTACTCTATGTATTTATAGACTAAACAAAGAATTTTAAAACAAGAAAAGTATTTAAACAATCAAGGCTTTTATTTAGGACTAATCAAACATCTCCATTGAGGAAAAATAACAGAGCAATCAATATGATACTCAAAATTATTCAAATTTTCTACTACAGCTTCAAATAAAGAAAAGGAAATTTTTTGTTTTTTAAGTATAATTTTGCCAACACACTGTTTCTGCAAAATTAAGCCTCTTTATTTCTTACACTCACTTGTATTTTGGGTATTTGAAATGTTATAATGCATGAGCAAAGTAAATTAAAAAATTTAAATTAGAGTACCTGGTATCTTTTCATACGATCCATTTCCTGTTGTGCAGCTCTGTTGCTTTTAACAACACATACCAGAGCCTTCACTGCAGCATAAAGACCTTCAACATCTTTAGCCATAGCAACAAGCCCTAAAAGAGTAGCAGTACCACCAACATTATCGATGGTAAGGGAGACAGGATGTGGAACAAATGTCCTAGCACCTAAAAGGATTTTTAAAAAAACATCAACTTGGCAATAATATTTTAAATTACGAAATTATGTAGAATAAAAATTAAAGATTCCAGATAAGTATATAAATTGAAATTATAGCAAAAGATTTCATCGAACAACTTATATATATNTTTTAAATTGCTCTTTTAAATTATTCTTTTAATTGACACTTTTAATATATTGCTGTTTTAATGTTTAGCACCTTACATGATTTTAGCTGTTCTACGCCCGCCATGTTCATGGGCTGTTGCCATGTCTGATGTGTATTTTATGTAATTTATGTTTCTACTGTTCTCTGGATATTTTTTTTTTGATTTTAATAAACATTTACCCGTATGCCCTAAATAAGGGCGGGTCGGGGTAAATTCTTCCATATATATATATATATATATTATGATTAAAATTTACTTTTCATAATACCTAAAAAACATTTATTAAAAATAATGAAACTTGCTTTTGAATTATTTCTGTAGCCACAAGCTTGTTTTCACTTGATTATAATATATAATTAGTTTTCTTTAATATTGATAAAATGTTTAGCCAAAATATTTTCTTAAAAAAAGGTTCTTGTGGTTCTTTTCTCGGGAGCTCCTTGCTTACTAATCTGAGCAAAACTTTTATTGTCTGAGGCACTGTGTATTAAATTCTACTATTTTCAAAGAAACAAAAAACACATTGCACATTAAAATGCATAAAAAACTTCAGTTTTGTAATGCCTAAGACTATTTTCACTAAAACACTAATACTTTAAAAACATATTGAAATAACAAGATTTTTTTCAGCTGAAATAAAACGGTCTTTTTTTAATATTATTTCAAAAGTCCTTACTTTAGAATAGTTATAATACACAATGTTATTATTAAAAAACAAGTAATCAACAACAATACAAAGAATATTATTCTATCAATACATTTGTGAAACATTTTATATATTTATATATCTATATTTAGAAAAAGGAAAAGTAAAAATGACAAATATCCTGATTCAGAAAAAAAGTGTTGCTAAACTCAGGGTTGAACTAGGAGCGTGGCGCTGAAAGGCCCTTGCATAAGGGGCCCTTAAAAATGAACAAATTTTGGTATAATAATTATTACTGATTTGTATATTCTGTAACTTAATTTGCAAAATTTATATAAAAATTTTCAAGAAATTTAAAAAACTAAATATTTTATGTTTCACTTTCAGAAATTTTTTTAATTGATCTAGTAAATGCTCTACTTTAAAAAATAGAATTTGTTGAAACAAATTATAGAATTACTTTAATTACAGTAAAAACCAGACAGAATCGATAAAATACAAAGAAATACAAAGAGAAGAAACAAATTTATAATTTTGCTCTATAATTCGTAAATAAAAAGTTCAGGTGCCATTTTGCTACATCTTGACATTACATCTGCACCAGGCTGAAATGTTGTTCGGTGAAATAATTTAAATGGGGCCTTCTTCAAGGTCTTCATTTTGATTTATTATATAAACTAAAAAAAAAATATTTCACTCTTTAAGATAAGGAAAAAATTAAAATAAATATTTTCTAAAAGTAAATTTAATTCTTTTCAATACACTTTTAATTTCAAATGAATCTAATGGCCCTGCATTCAAGGAAAGCCCAGTATTGGCTGAGAAGCAGGGGGCGTTTGCAATTTCAGATCTACGGTCAGTCCGTCCCTGGCTAAACTTATGAAGCAACAATAGTAGTAAACTTTAAAAAAGCATAATGAGATATTTACAAACTTAGAAAAACTTGTTAAATTAAGTTTTAACTCACCAAGATATCCAACAAGAATGCCACCCAAACATCGAGCAGGTCCACTAAGATGTCCACCTGAATTATGCAGAATATGAATAGGAGTTGCATTTTCATGTGAAGACATACCAAGCTACAAAAAGGAAAGAGAATGATTTACATAAATTGTTATATTATTCAGGAAACTAGAAAACAATGAGCTAAGACACAACTCATATAGTTCTTTATAGATGATTCATCTAATATGAATCATGTTTTCACTATGCATCATACCATTTTTGCAATAGATCTACAATCAGCTTTGCTGTAAACTCTTCGAATTTTGGCTAGAGTCATTACAGACACAGCTGCAGCATTGATGCCAAAGACTATTTTCTCTTCAGCAACTAATGGCTGGTGTACATCAACACCTAAAAGAATTCATATAATTAATGCACATCGTCATCACAAGTCAATGAAATAAATACAATTTCAGAACAAAGTGATACCAGAAAGTGTTGGTGCTTGGAAACTGCCAGTATAACATGGTCCCAGCTGATAGAGCATTGAAACAGCAGCAGGTGAGAATACTTCTTCCACCAGATGGCATGGCCCCTGCTTCCACAACAGCTTAGATTGTCTTCGAAACTGTGGAGGTGTTCCAATGAAGCCAAAGATAGAGGTCGCCACTGTCAGGTTGGCTGCACCTCCACCAGGATTTTGAGAAATGTAATGGAGCTACAAATGAGTAGAGCAATGATTTTAAGAAATAAAAATAAGTACATGTAGTCATAAAAATTATGAAAGCAATGTATAAAATGCTCTTCACAACACCCTACTACAGCAACCTTTCAATTATAATGACCAATATGTAAAGTACTATTTCATACACTAATGACTAATATAACATCAAGACTGAAGTGCATATTTCAATATTATGACCAGAGTTTACATTCGTTTTATTTTTATTACCAAGAAAATCACTTAAACACGAGTTAAATATTTTTTGTACTCTCGGAACAAAAATGTTTCCATTGGCAATTAAGTCAAATATCAAAAGAAAATGATTAATAAACTTAAGAGTAAACGTCTTAAATTCAAGAGTCAATTAATTCTGCATTCAAAAACCTTGAGAAATATGAATTACTTTATGTTAATGTTAACCAAAAGAAGATATAACATCGCAGTGCAGAATTCAATATGATGTCAACGATGCATTCATTAGTTTAAATTATCATTGTAAATTTCTTTTTAAATTAAAGAGTACAAAAAAATAGGAACCATATTATTCCTGTGTTTGAAAAATCTTCTCTTTTTGTGAAATGTTAGTTCCTTTGAGTAATTTATATACGAGTTAAATATGTTGTAATCACAATTTTTTTTTTAACTCTGTACTTTTTATGTTTTCTGAATTAAGAAGAGAAGCTTTAAACTAATTTACTTTTTCAACCCCTTTATTGTATTATTTTAAATGTGTGAATTAATGTCCACTTTAACATGAAGAAACATAATGCATAATTATCAATTATTCTACCAGTTTCCAAATTTTTTTAAAAGTTCAACATGATTTTATTAAAATCAATGCAATATTTATAAGACTTAAGGAAATATTTATGAGACTTTTTGTATTTGCAATATAAGCAACCTTATGCTGTAACATCTATTTTCCTTAGGGATAGGGAACAGAGAGTTACTATGTTGAGCAACAACAGTGTTAGATAAAACGTCTAAACGATTTTACTTCTTAAATCATACTTTAAAAAAGTTTATTTCTTTTAAACAAAGTTAAAAATAAGTCAATTCTAATTTTTTTTTCAATTCAAAATCTTGAGTTGTTGCTATAACCCAATTCAATAAATAAAAGAAATACTGTAATCAGTTTCTCAGTAAATAAATGAAATTTGGTGCAAAGTCCTAGTTAATAATTCATTTACTTAACCAAAACAAAAATATTTTTCTATTGAGGAATGCTTCAAAATTTTAAAAATCTAATAGATTTTGCAGAACAGTTCCTATAAGATTATTAATCAGACAAACACATTTATTAAGCAGGGTGCATAGCCAGATTTCTCAACAAAAATAAGCACCTTTTAAGTACTTTGTAAGCACTCAAAAAATTTTTCATCCCATTCAAAAAAAAAAAATAATAATCATAATTAGATCTAGGCAGTAATAAAGATTATTTTTTTCTATCCTTTAAAGTTTTGAATTTATAAACATAAAATCAATAAAATTTAAAAACATTTTCAAAAACTTTACAAAATCATGATAAAAAAAACTAGTTTCTGATAAATATTGTAGAGAAAATTTAGAATATCATGCATTTCTTGTAATTTAGAAGAACAATCGATACAGTATAGAAAAAGTCTTTTTTTAAAAGATAGAAAATTTAGCTCATTTTATAAACCCCGAATAAAAAATGCATCTTTAAGGGCTTCTAAAAAACGTAAATCAAAAATAAGCACCTTTAAGCACTTTTTAAAAACACTACGCACCCAGTTAACAAAAAAGTCAAGAAATTAACACCCAGTAGTTATTAAATTCCAGCTTATGCAGTTTCATCTAAGTAATTTATTTATTTTGGTGGGAGACAATAACTGACAGTAAAAATGAAGGATTTTAGTTCATACTGTATAAATTTCTACAAATTATCAACTTGATAAAAGTCAATGAGATCCGCACAAGTAACTGCTTAAAAAAGGACATTTTAAAGATTAAATTTCTATAACAAATGTAGAAATTAAAAATAATAATATTTTTGCAGAAATTATAAAAGGACATAGTAATAATATTTTTTCAGAAATTATAAAAGGGCTTAGCAATTAATATTTTTTCAGAAATTATAAAAGGACATAGTAATTAATATAGACATACTTTTTGAGTACTATGATGTTGGCCATCAACATATACTGACACAGAACTGTTTTTAAGGACAGCTCTGTTTAAAATAATTGCTAAGTGGTGCCATTGTCCCTCTTGTAACAGCTCAGGACACCATATTCGAACACAGCATTCTTCACGTTCCTCAGGCTCCCAATCAACACCAGCTAAAAATTAGAAAAGAAAAAAAACCTGTTTCTAAATTTGAACATATCTAGAGAAAAGTTACTTCTTTTTCAAACACCAAAAGCTACCTTTTTTTTCTTTTGGATTATAAATATATTCTTCATTATATGACAATTAATAATATATTGATTTGCACAACAGCATAAAAGAATATTATAAGATTGATTGGCAAAGATTTTTTTCCCTTCTCAAATATTATTCACTCACACTGAGACTAGTAACTGTAATGAAATAAATTTTTAAAAAAATTAACGTTAACACCTTTCATGAAGGAAATTAAAAATTTTTGCCACGTCTGTTAACTGAATATTCATAATTTTTAGAGTTAAAGTAGTAAATAAAAACAAAATTTTATTTGAAGACACATAAAATTAAAATAATTGCTACTTTCTATAGTGTTTACGAATCGAAAAACTTGTTGCATGTATTTTTAAAATAAGATTGGATTTAAAAAAATTTAAAGCACAGTTTCATGCATCATAAATAAATAAAAAATTTTAATTATTATTATTATTATTATTTTTAGGATTTAAGTACAAGCAAAAAAAAATATCAAGCACTAGTCTTTTTTAAAAAAAAAAAAAAATTTAAAAAGACAAATAAGGTAGCCACTCAAATCAGGTTTCAAATTTCCCTGATTTTTAAAGGTAAAACTCTTAAAATTTCCAGGTCAGCGTGGATTTTTTTTCCTAACAAAGTATGGGATATAGTGTGGCTTTGAGCAGAACTCTTCCAGATGAAAAGTCTGGGGGTATCTACTGCTATGGAAACAATGAGAGCACATTTCTAATGGGGGTGAAATGTAGAAATGAAGGGCTCGATTGGTTTACTCAAGCTGACCTATACAAAGATCAAGACAAAACTATTCACCCCACACACATATTTGAAGTGACTTCCCTTGTAACCATAGTATCCGCCACAAAGCGAGACTGATGCCTGGAGGAGTTCTCCTGAAAGCTGCATTATAGGTACTTAACCCCAAAGAAAAACATCAATATCCTAAAGTATTTTATTTAAAATGTAATTTTTTAAATATATAATGGTTTTGTTTCTCATTCTTTTAAATTGTTATGTTTTTGTACAACATTAATTTTTAAAAACTTAAGATAGAAGCGTCAATGCATCTACAATATTGCTAAACACTGAAATGTCAGATAATAATCAGATCTAATAGTCATACTAAGATTTTGAGAATCTCAAAATACATTTTGTAGTTTATCCACAGGTCATTTGACACTGTATTTAAAAAAGGCATTTCTTTTAACTTGGTAAAAAAGTCATTTTAGACAGTTAAGAGAAAAAAAACTTACTTGATTGATGCATCATGGTTTCAGTTGTGGAAATCAACAATGCTTTATCTCTGGATGATATCTGAATACTCAAACAAATTAGCTGCTCATCACGCCCTTGTATATTTCTAACTAATGTCAAGAGTCTAATAGCGTGAGGATCACTATGAGGATCGCTAAACTTTTCAGAACATACCCATGTGGAATAAGTTAATCCAGTTTGGGGAGGAAAAACTCTGTCACCTACAAATATTCAAGAATGAATTTCACATTTTTATTTCAAAATTTTTAAGAATAAATGTTTAAATAATTTTACATTTTTACCTCATTCAAGACTGCTTTATTGGAAAAAGATGAAAAAAATCATAGCAAGAACATTTTATTTCTATTTTTCTTTTGGGAAAACTAAATTTTCATGATTAAAACTATTTCTTAACAGGTAAAATGTTAATATTTAGTGTATATGCTTTTTAACTGCTAACAAAAAGTAGGAATTCTAAGTAGTTTACTGCTCCTAAAAAAAGGTATTAAAAAATGCTTCTACTAACAGTTTTTATCTTTTCCGGATAAGTAGCAGCCCTGCTCTTTTTATATTGTGCTAAGATAAATAAATGTCATATAAGCATATTAAAATATAAAATTCTGAGAAGTATGCCAGGTAAACACTGAACAATATGTGGTGAAAAATTCAAACAGGCGTGCCTTACAATCAATAAATTATTTCATTTAGTAAGATAGACATTCCTTCTTTTGCTTAGTACATCTCCATTTCTCATTCCCTTATCCCTGCTTTATTATTCTGTTCTGTCCTTAATTCTGTTCTGACCACCAAAAATTTTTTTAGAATTAAAACATTAGAATGACAAAGATAATTTTAATTAAGTCAAAATAATGATTTTTTTTATATTTTAATAGTACTAATTTGGAAAAGTCATGAAATTCACTTCACTAATATTAAATACATATAATTAAAAAAAAAATTTTTTGAAAAAATTAAAAATTTTGAAATTTAGAATTTTATACTTAATTGAATCTGTTATTTCAGCTTAAATTATTTAAAAATCAAATTTTAAAATCAAAGTTAATATAAGTATAGTTTATTAGACTGAACTGGGGGGCTATAATGTATAGCTCAGAGTTCTCCTTTGGAATAAAAAAGGGCAGGGCGCTTTTTCACAAAAAAGGGCACTTTGAATTTTGAGAGAGCACTCACTTAACGTAAAAATTTATCAAATTGTGAAATATTATGCATTAACTGAATTTGATTATCAATAATTTTTAAATTACTCTCTTATATTATTTTATGTATATACTTCAAAAAGTAATTCTCACATATTATTAAAACAAGAGAAAAAATTTTAGTTTTAAAAAATAATTAATGGCATGCTAAAAAACAATCTCTAAGGATAATTTTTTTTTCAAAAAAAAGTAAACTGAAAAAAAAAATTTTTAATTAATAAATAACTTGAAAGCTTTCTTCTAAAATTTAAAGTGAAAATTATGAAGAAAAAAAACATTTAAGGTGCATTTTGTTAAAAAATATGTATTTATTTAAAAAATAATTTTAAAATTTAAAACCACTAAAGAAATTCATCCCATTAAAAAAAGAGAAACTTACAAAAAATTTAATTAGCTGAGAATAATTCTAAAAATGTAAATATTTGAAATAGTAATCAGAATTAAACCTACAAATGCAGATAATTTTACTAATTTAATGTGTAATTATTATTTAAACAGTGAGTTATTTATTTTATTAATGGAAAAGACAGTGTTTTTAAGGAATGGTAGTTTATTTTTACAAAAAAGCGCATTTATAGGGATCAAAGGACAAATATGGCAGGCCGTCCTTATAAAAACGCTTAAGGAGAACACTGCATAGGACACTGTATACTTAGGACACTTAAAATAATTCAAATTATATTCACCAGTTCCTATGCCTCCAATCACAGATACATCTGATCCCATAGAGACCATTCCAACACCAACAACAGCAGGTGCAGAGACACTTTGAGGAGCTACACTCGGCAAATAAAGGCAGCTGAAGCCTTCTGAGCTCATGTCGAACTCAACAAAAGGTGGCATTATAGACGTCCCATGCAGGCGGCAGTCACGAGGAGTGGTCATGGAGACTAAAGTTTTGACCCTTGTTAGAGGAACTGGGCCACCATCTCTATGATTAGCTGGTCGAATATTTCTACTGAGGGATTTCATAGTTTCCTGAGCATCTTCGTCAAATGAAGTACAACACAGGGGTGAGCCTAATCTCAGAAATTCTCTGAAAAATAAATAATTTAAGATGGGTCATTCTCCAAATTGTGGAACTTCAACCTCAATGACATGACTGTCACAGTAGTGTTTTACTTATATACTTATAATAATTCGAAATGATGTAGAAAATAAATTTTATTTTAATGACTCAATAGTAAATAAGCAGATAGTTAGAAGTTACTTTTGTTTTAATAACTGAATAATAGGTAAGTAATTAGTTAGAAATTTATACAATAAAATCAGGTATAAGAAAACAACAATATTTAAAAACCATATGAGTCAATGCATCATCTTATTATCCGGCATAATATTTATAAAAAGTATAAACATTCATTCTTTAATCTTGCTACCACTTTTAAAATTAAGTAAGATAATTTGCAGAAACAATTATGTATAAGCTATAGAGAATTTTCTATGAGATAATATTTATAAGTAATTGAATTGAATCTTGCATTTGTGAATTCTGAATTATTATAATATACTATTTAATTTTTTTTAATACCCTAATTTTAACCCACTGGCGGTTTAGGAAATGGGCAAAATTGGGAGAATGTTTCTCCCCTACACACAGTTCCCCTATCAGTTAACATGAGAAAACCGGTTTTGCAATGCAGAGAAGACTGCAGGTTAAAATGCGACTTTTTACGTGCAGAACCGTCAGTGGGTTAAACAGTTTATTTAAAAACATACTTATGAAAGTAAACATAGCACCTTTTTTGACAAATTTAATGTGATGATGGGTTGTCAAACTAGTGTTGTTTATTTTAATATAACATCATGAATTAAATATTTTTATTAAAATAAAATAAAAATTAAATGAGTTAAAAAATGAAATAATACTAATACCCCTATTAAAATATTAAGTACAATGGAATTTTTCAAACTATATTTATAAAAAAAATTTATTATAAAAGTGACCAAGTAGATTTTCAGTCTATAATGCAATTTTGTTAATCATTAGACGAATAAATATTCATTAGGTATAGATTAGATTAGATAATATACAGTATACATCTAACTAAGTATGATATACAGAGTAAAAAAAATATCTAGACCTTGTAATATTAAGTTTAAATAGTTAAAAACTCAAAAATCACAACTATTCACTTAAACAAAACAATATTTATGCATATTAGCAAAAAGTAAATACAAATTGGCAAATATAATTTCACCATTAAAACGTCCAATGTTATATATAATAGTGATAATTACTCAATATAATGAACATTTGAACTTAGTTTTGTCATTAATTTCATTGACATTATAAAGAAGAGAAAAATATACAGTATTTATATTTACTTTAATAAATTTTAAAAAATTTGAATCCATACAGTGAATAGTCCTAATTATACAGCTTTAATAAAAAAAATTTAAATGTCAAATGATTACCTGAGATCTTTTGGTTCTAAAGATTGTGCAGAGAGACGTTCAAATATGTACTGTAAAGGAGGATGAAGTGAGTGAGATTCATTTTCCAACGCAATGTGACAGTGGACGAGTAATTCGCCTGGAAGCCCTGATTCACACATTACTTGTTGGTTCCTCTCAGACCTCACAAGGGAGCGCAACACTTCAGTCAGGTAACACTGAAGAGTCAGCGCCATCTGAAGGGGAAAATAATATATATTATCAGAATGACAAACAATGAAATTCTAAGTTATGCAAACAATCATTAAGAAAAAATAGCATGGTATTTCAAAAGCCTTTTCAATGGATGAGAAACATTTAAAATTTTATTTGTGAGCCAAGTTCAAAAATAAAAGGCATCTCAAAATTACAAATGAGATTTCAATTGTGCAATTAAAAAAGGCCAGCAGGTCTGTTGATAGATCAGGGTAAATTAATAGAAATCTTGCACTAAATGAACACCCTATTTTCATTGCTGGGCAATATCTTTAGCATTGTCATTCTCTGATCATGTATTTTTCTGTTTTAGTTATCAAAATTAGCTATCCCTTTAGATCATACAATTTAAAGTCTGCTGCTTATGCCAACAAGCCCGTAACCGTGTTGTTAATAATAAAAAAGGCCAGCAGGTCTGTTGATAGATCAGGGTAAATTAATTAAAATCTTGCACTAAAAGAACACCCCATTTTCATTGCTGGGCAATATCTTCAGCATCGTCATTCTCTGATCATGTATTTTTCTGTTTTAGTTATCAAAATTGGCTATCCTTTTAGATCATACAATTTAAAGTCTGCTGCTTATGCCAACAAGCCCGTAACCCTTGTTTCTCAAAGGAAAAAATTTAACATCGTATTAATGAGATTTAGCAATTATTATATAAAAAAGGTCATAGAAAATTTTGGAGCATGTATATGCCAACAAAACTGCCAAGGACATTTACCTATCATGCTATTCCACACATAACCTAAAACTGTAAGTTTCATAAATCAATGAAAAACATAAATTTTAAAATGTTTTATTGAAAACCAAAATTATTTCTTGCATGAATTTTGCAAACACACTGTAGAAAAAAAAAAGGCTTCATAAATTTAATTTTCTTCTTTAAATAATCTTAACACTTTCAACAGCAATTTTTTCAGCAATGCACTTAAAATTTCCTTACCATATTTTGTATAACAAAGCATTTAATATGTGTTGATTTTTGTGGGATTTGTTAAAATCTCCAAAGAAACAAATAAGTATAAATATTTATATGCAGAAAAGAGCGACTTTTATTGAGAGTGTTAAAGGCATGGACATTTGCTTATATAAAAACCATTAAACAAATCATAATAACAAGTACACAATAATAACTTTTTATGGCATCACTACAATAAAAAGAAATCAGTTTCTAAAGCTACACAGTACAATTACTTAAACATGAAGTTATGCCAAAAATATGTATGTAAAAAAAAAAAGCAATTGCTAACAAAAGCAAAAAAATATATATATATATATTTAATGAACTCAATTTAATAGATTCTTAGACAGTTAACTTCCTATTAAAAAAAAGTTAATTTTTATTAGATTATAAAATATGCAGTGCCTTTTCTTAAGAATAATAAAGTTCTTCTACATATTCAAGGGTGATTGTGAGCCCAACTCAAAAATCCTGAAAATTTCTTGAGTACAATCATTAATGACGCATTTCAAAAAATGTATGTCTTTATAAATTGAAATCATTGATATTTTCATAACATAAAATTCTAAATAAATTATATGCAGCATAATTTAAATTAATAATTATGTGTAAGTTTACTTTTATCTCTAATCACATTTATTATACTGCCAGAAAAAATATTTACAAATGAAAGAGATGCCAAGTATAAATTCTAGTTCTCATATTTTTAAATAAAATATACAAGAATTTTCACACATAAATGTGATCAATGATTTCTTGACCTTGGATTTCCAGAAATTTCTGGATTGCGGTTAGCGAAAAATCCGGATTTTTTCCAGAGCACCAGCATCTCTGATTATTCCAAAATGTGCACTAATTATTGGAGCAAAATTTAATTCTTAAAATGAATCAAGATAGAGGAGAATTTACCTGTGGTTTTGTGTGATTTCGCACAGATGGCAATAAATGATGCATTGAGACCACTACACCTGGATGAACAATCATGGCATCGGGAGTTGGAGGAGTGAAATTCATAGTAAAAGCAGACCTTTTGTTAGGTGAGCTCACTTGGGTAGTTTCAGTTAAATTATGTGTGTCAGTCTCAGAATGAGCACGATGTAGAGGAGCTGGTATGTTAGGTCTGAAAAATATCATAACAGCTTTATTAATCACACAGACTAGGGGTGCACAGCATTTTGAAATAACATGTTACAGCAGAAATGAATGGGAAACAAAGTGAAAAACATATGTGCAAAAAATCGATATAAAGATATCCATTTACATACATGTTTTGTATTTAACATAATTTTGTGAAATAAAATTTATAATTAAATTATCTACCATTGAAAAACACCACACCTTTACAGTAACTAATTTAAGAAAAATCTTAGTTCTTAAAAGAATCTCATTGTCAGACTTTTAAAATCGAATGAAAATGAATTGCACTAAGGGATTTTCAGTAACAGTATAACTGAAATGTTAAAGAAAATATAGTACTTGACTGATTAAATTATAAAAGTCAAAATGAGTTACATACTTATCAAAAGCATCTGTTGCAGTGTCATACAATAGCCTAAATATTAGACAAGATGAAATCAAAGGAGTTGGCACACTAGATACAGCAATCCTAAAAAAAATTAAACAAATTGCTTAAATTTTTTTTGTATACAAAGGATTAGTTGGGAACAAATAATGAATGATTTTATACAAACAATTAAACAAAGTGTAATAAAATTTACCAACAAAAACATTTAACATGCTTAACATACAGAGTCAAGTTTGATAAACCTAGATAGCCAATCACCTACTCCTTTTAACTTACTCGAATTAATTCATTCAGTCTTGTGAACACCAAGATACAAATAACAATAAATGAATAAAAACTTATCCTTTTTTTATAAACTACTTCAATCTTAATTTTTAGAATGTCACTATGAACTATAAAAATTAAAATTAAAAGCTAAAATAAACATTATAAAACTTTTAAATATTTTTAAAACTTCAATGTTATTATTTGAGGCATGAAAAAAATATTTATTTCAAAGACAGATATATAAATAAAAGTTATTGATTGAAACAAACAGAAATGATTGTCATACAGATTGTTTTCATTTTAATATTTATATTATCAGGGGTCTGTCTAGGTTTTTCTTGGAGGTACCTATTTTGCGAAAATTTAGACATAATTTGTGAAAATTAAAAATTATATTAAAAAATCAATACAAAAATATGGATTTATCGTTTCTTATGGAATACAAAAGTAAAAATTTAAGAAAAAGTATTTTGTAAAACTACCGTTTTTCCTAAAGTTGAATTTGTGAAAGTACCGCTAAACGGTAGTAAATGTGGCCCTGATTATAGAACTTAGTAATTTAAAAATCATCATTTCACATTTGTGCAAAATGCTATAAACATTTTTCCTCAACAGATAACTTTCTCAAGAAATAAGGGGAAAAACTTTTTTTTTTTGTTTTTTTTTGAGACAGAGTNCTTTTTTTTTTTTTTTTTTTTTTTTTTTTTTTTTTTGTTGCCAGAACAGCTTAAGGAATGTCTTAAGGTGTTGTAGGCACTCATACAGTAGAAAATATTGAAACAATTAGTATAGAGCAAGTATGCCAGGGATCTGTCTAGGTTTTTCTGAAAGGTACCTATTTTGTGAAAATTTAGACATAATTTGTGAAAAATTAAAAATTATATTAAAAAATCAACACAAAAATATGGATTTATCGTTTCTTAAGGGATATAGAAATAAAATTTTAAGAAAAAGTATTTCGTGAAACTACTATTTTTCCTAAAGTTGAATTTGTGAAACTACCGTTTTTCCTAAAGTTGAATTTGTGAAGGTACCGCTAAGCGGTAATAAATTCGGCCTGCACAGGCTCCTGCATGCATATGATTTCTTTACTGCCTCAATTTCAATACTTATTTCGATTTAATTCTCAATGTCTGAAATTAATTAGAATTACATTTATTTAAATATATTTGAATATTTTGAGCTTCAAAAGTCAGATATATTGCATTTCCCATTTTATCATTCAATCTAAATGCATCAAATAAACAATAAAAAGAAAACTTCTAAAGAAAAATTTGATATATAAAATTTTTAGAACATACTTTGTATCTTTAGCCATGGAAAAAATTAAATGAAAGACATGGTCATCGGGTAAATTGCATATTTTCTCACTATTATCATCCAATGTAACATTATTGCTAAAGCATCCCAACAATCGAACAGTATCGGTCAGACTGGTGTGACAGATCTGAAAAAAGAAAAGCTCATTGTTTAACAATAACTAATGAAAAGGCATGCTCATTACTTAACATATACAAGATTTTTCACATTTTTTTAATTGGATTAAATATGTAATAAGCTTATACCCTAAGAAATTAAAAAACATTACACTAAAAAATTAATATAAACTGTATATTATGCAAAAAACAATATTATAAAACATAGTCTACATGACAAGTATTCATAATAATGCAAAATATGTAAGAGATAAAAGTTTAATACAGATAAATCAATTTTAGTCTTTTTTTCTTCAGAATAATAGATAATAATTTTGATAAAACTATTACACTTACTTCAGAAGCAAAAAATCTTGCATTGGCAGGTTCATACCTCATTGCCATAGCTAAGGTATGAAATAAGGTACGAAGTAGAATAAGGATTTCTTTTTTTTCAACTGAAATGTACAAATTTATGTATATTAAATATTATTTATACTATTACTATAAATTTATGTACATTAAAAATTTATACATAAATATCAATGTAAATATTTATGCAGAAAGTTTGGGTCAACTCTTTTAATAATTAAGTTTATTAGGTAAAATTATGCATAACTTACACGGTTATGCAATGTTTTTTTATATAAAGAGTTGTAACAATCTACAAAGATTAAACTATTTTATTGTCTAGTTTTAAGATTTTAAAAAGTTCAGTGAACTTAGTAGAGTTTTTAACCATTTGTTATCATAATAAAAAATACATAAATATATATTACTTCATATTGATACTCAATTTCCTTTTCCCCCCACCATTTATTAGTGAAAGTGAATGTTAATTTTAAACATTCTAATAAATTTAACCCCATAATAAATTGATACACAGTTTAAAGAAACGTAAAAACAACTTTAAACATTGAAAACAACTTTAAGCATTGAAGCTAAATACTTTAAAACAGTTGAAACAATCATGTACTTTTTAAGCGACCAAGCCTTTCACATTCCTGAAAGTTTTTTTAAAAAAATTTTCTCAATACACAACAGTTTCATTTTTATCCACAAAGAGAAAAACTGCTTTTTAGAAGACAAACAACAGATGGAAGGTAATCTAACTGTTTTAAAGGCTCAATCACTTAATTTCAGTAGCAAATTTCATTAGAAATCTATAATAAAATGTTTATAAAATTATTTAACGATTTCATTATTTGTGAGAATACTCAGTAAATTTAATGAAGTTGAAGACATTCACTCGAATTTTAAAAAAAAAGAATAAAATTTTATCACTAAAGAAGTAATTAAATCATTTTTATAGCGCAAAAAAAAATCTTCCTATAGAAATATAAAAACATTTTAACTTTTTCTAAAATATATGAACTACACTTTTCCCAAAAATATATAAATTATGATTTAATATTTATTGATTTATCTAATATTCACTTATCAACAAATTGAATTTATGGACTTGGTACGAATTGCTTGAAAAAATACATACCAGTATTCCAGGGTGGTTTGGGAGGATCTGCTAGACAACCTTCCATTGAAACTAAAACTGACATCACATAAACAAATCCACCAACTTTACGAAAAACTGTCCTAGTTCTATGACTCTCCCTTAACACATACAACAGAGACTAAAATAACAAAATATGAAGATTAAAATAAAATGCATATAATTACATTTTATGAAACTTTATACCACACATACAAAGAAATACAAGACTTTATTTTAAATTTTGAGTTCAAGATCTTTTTCTTCTTCTATTTTTAAGTTCAACACCAAACTTGATAATTAATTACTTTTCCAATAACCAGCAGTATTATAAATAATATAACACTTTTAGTCTACAACAGCATTTTTTTTTATAAATTTATAATTCAATATTTAAATAATTTTCTTTCGAAAAATATAATTTAAGCACTTCAAAATTTTGTTTTAATAAAACATTTTTCCAACTTCTTTAAAAAGAGCAACCATAACTCCTATTCTTAAAACTGGCGATAAAAATTGCTTATCAAACTATAGACCAATTTCAATACAGCCTGTTTTTTCCAAAATCATTAAAAAAGCTCTAGCTGATAAAATGTACAATTATTTAAAATATACAAATTTCTTCTCTGAAAATCAACATGGGTTTATTAAAGGCAAAAGTACAGAAAAAGCTCTTTTGGAATTTTCAAAATTTATTCATAATAGCAATGCTGAAAATAAGATAACAGTAGCTATATTTCATGATATATCAAAAGCTTTTGATAATGTCAATCACAATCTTTTAATCAAAAAATTAGAATTTGCTGGTTTTAGAGGAATTATTTTAAATTGGTTTATTTCATATCTTTCAAACAGAGAACATAGAGTTAAAATCCGAAGTAATTTTAGTAATTATATTTTTTCAAACCGTGGTGTTTCTCAAGGATCTATTCTAGGACCCTTATTGTTTATTATATTCATCAATGACTTTTGTCAACTCTAACTTTTTGGTAAGATAATAACATATGCTGATGATTCCGTAATTTTGTAATCTTGCACTGATTTAAATCAACTAACTTTTCAAATTGAATCTGATTTACGCATAATTTCAAAATGGTTTACAGTGAATGACTTAAATTTAAATCTAAATAAAACTAAATATATTTATTTCTGTTTAAGAAAATCAGAATTCAACTTAAATTTAAAATTTCAATCTCTCACCTGTAAAAGTACTAATGAAAATTGTCAATGCTATATTCTACAATCTGTAAATAATATCAAATATTTAGGACTATATATATCGATTCTAATTTGAAACAGAAAACACATATTAACAATTTAGTTAAAAAATTGCGTTTTATTTTAGATAAATTTTATCATCTTAAGAATAAAATTCATTTTAATTTTGTGAAAACACTCTATTACTCCTGGTTTTATTCTTTAATTAATTATGGTGCAATAATATATGGCGGTGAATATAAAACTAATTTACTTCCTTTAATCTCAGTTCAGAATAAATGCTTCAAGATTATTAATTCTCTAAATATAAATAATTCAAGTGTAACTACTACCAATATATATACAAGAATTAACCTATTACCATTTCGCCATAATGTATTTTTTCGTATTTTACTCTATTTACACAACAATAAATTAATATGCAAATTAAAAACTAATGTGTCTGAAAGGAGACCAACTGAAATGTATGAGATTCCCTTCTTTACAAAAGAAATTTCACGAAAACAGTTTTTTTACTTAGCACCTAAATTATATAATAAATTACCATTTCAGTTGCAAAACATCCAAATATATTCTTCTTTTAAGCATGCTTTATTTCAATTTATGATGAACATTGACGATTTAGACCGCTATTTTTCACTTTAAAGGAAGCATTTGATTTTTTATACCAGTCTTGTGCCAATCCAAATGAATTTCTTATGTTACCTTTGTCATTTTTTTTAAATAGTTTCATGTATTTTTTTTTCTATTATTACAGTGTTCAACAATATATGATGTCTTATGATGAGCAAAATAATTTATGATTGTAATANAGCAAAATAATTCATGATTGTAATTCCCCCCCCCCTCCTTTTTCTTAATATATCTATTTTTTTAAAAAAATTTCTAAATAAAATTTATTGTATTGCTTTTCTTTGTCGCCTGGACAAAATTTTCCTCTTGACGAAGAATATATATTCTTTGTATTTATGTGTTTGTTTTTGTTCCCAATAAAGTTATATTAGTTTGCAAAAAAAAAATTGAAAAGCCATATTGATGAAGATTTTAAGAGGCATTTTAGTGAACTTGAGTAAATTAGCTTCAAAACTTATTGCTATTTTTTGTTTGTGAGGAAATAAATACTATGCCTTGACCTTTTTTTGCAATCTACAAGCTTCTAATTTTCGAAATCTATAAATATTTAAACTTCATTTGAACTGTTCCTGTCATAGCATTCCTACAATTGGCATTCAAGTATACTGCCTAAAATTGTAAGACCGATGTTGACTGTTTATTGCCAAAAGTACTTAGAAGCTTTTTCCATTAGAAAAACACTGAAAAATTATCCTAGTACCTTTATCCACTAAGATTGACAAAATTTAATGACTTGGGAAAATAAATGAATGTTGCACAGTTAAATAAAGATTAAAAATTTAAATATATCTTTCCCCATTAAATCACAATTTTTTTTTTCTTCAAAAATGTTATTTTCAACCTTCTTCTTAAAAATTTTCTGGCTCTTTATTTTGACTAGACTTTTTTTTTTGTAACCTACTACTACTGAAAGATTTATGGAAAAAGTATAATTCAAAGAGAAAAAATTTAAATCAATAAAAAGTTAGGAAAATAGTATACTAAATAATAATGGTTGAATAATCATTGAATTTTTAAATTTTAAAACTTGCTTATAAAATTAAAATTTATTTGTAATAAATTTCAGGAAGGAAGCCAATATATACTTTTGCTCAATTGTAAAAAAAATTTGATAATACAAATATAATATCTTTTGAGACAGTAACAGGATTTATATTAAATCAAGAATCATCTTGAACTCACCTTCAAAATATGAGTTTTTAAGTCCAGGGCAAGAACAGGAGCTGTATGCATTAGGCCTAAAAGAGTGCCCATATCATCATCACCACCATTACTTAAAACAAGTTGCTGTACAATTCCTAAAGCTGCTTGACGACATATATGATAAGGAACCATGTTGTGAGCACATCGTGCTCCTCCACTTTCTCTAAAAACACCTACAATTACAAATTATAAGTAAATACATAATTTTTTTTTATTATAAAACTGAGCGCACTTAATTTTAAATTTTAAAAATCAGATACCATAACGAAATATAAAAGCCCAGTAGTAGAATTTACCGGGTCAATAGGACGCACACCCTTAAAAAATTTAAAAAATTTGTGTGCGACTTCAACTAAGTCAGGCAGAAATTTATATTGCAAAAATTTAAGATTATAAATTAAAAAAATTAATCTGAAAGAGTTAATTTTGCAGATGATAGCGTTAAAATAAAACCTTTTCATTTTAAAGGAAGAAATGAACAGAATTGTAATTTATGATGTCTGATTTGTGCCTGTTTAAAGTTTCTTAAAATGAAATTCATTACCGTACCTTCATATGTACTTCTTTGCAGACAATAACCAGAAAAATGAACATTAAATAAGTGTTTTTTTGATAGACTGCAGTGTCTGTAGCCATGCTGTGGGGTTGCTGCTACCCCGTATATATAAATAAATAATTTAAGAAAACGTAAATAGATTTAATACATTTTTTTCCCTTTTATTTAAAAAAAAATATTTTAGTATTAAAAATTAACACCGTTTAATCATGTTCAGCAACAAAATAAATTTTATTTTACTGGCTTTAACTATTATTGTAGTCATACCTTTGTCATCTATGACTCAACCTAACTTGAAACAATACAAAATCAGCATTTCGTGTTTACTGTTCAAAGTCACCAATTCCAGATACATTGCCAATACTCTGAAAAATATTTCCATTTTTTTCTTCTTTTTAATACACGTGATCATCAAATCTTATGTAAAGAAATTTTTTATTTTTTTAAGCTGGATTTCCGGACGCTACGCACTTATATTTCCTTAATGAATTCACTTAAAAGAGTTGTCAGAAAGACACGAGCAGCTTAAGGAACAAACTATGAATAATAATGAAACTGAATATTAATAATAGTCGTCAGACAGACTTAGTTTTGGTCCCAGTAGCAGAATTTTCTGTATCAAAAAGCAGCTCAATCATAATAAATTCAAACCTATCTGTGAGCCAAACACAGTCAGTCAGAGACTACTATTTTAAAAATTAGACTTAACCTAACACATGTACAGCAAAATTAGCACATATAATATGTATAAAAATTACAGATAAAAAAATTTGTTAAAAATATGTTATTTTTGTTAAAAAATTCGAACATGAAATTTAAAAAACGACATGTTTAATTTTCAAAATTCTTTTAATCGAAGATCAGTATTAGGGATTTTTGAAAATCATAACTTTTCTTTAATTACATATCTGCAGATTGCCAAACAAATTTTGTTAAGAACCTGAACCAGAAATTGAGTAAAGTCTTGGAGCTAAAAATGATCCGTTTTTACATTCAACTCTCAGTTACATTTTAGGCTGGGTTTTCAAATCTGAGATGAAAAAAGTCTGCAGTTACTTTAATAAATCTGCAGTATCCACTGCCTAGCTAGAGGATTTCTGCTACAGATGACTGGGGTTTCGATTCAAATTACAAATGTTTTAATTAAACAACTCTGTTCCATTCCTTAGTTAAGTATTTTTTTTTTCCATTTTAAAAAATAGGATAGATTTTTCTTTCAATTTGTAACTTGTTTTATAATAGAAATCTGACCTGCTAATTCTTTACACCAAATGAGAACAAAAAAGTAAGTTCTGTATTTAATTCAGGCAAGAAAATTTAACTTATTATCAGCTTGCTTTTTCATTTTTTAGCGTATATTTTAATAGTGACTTTTATTTTATCATATTAATCATTCTTTAGCTAATTAATCACCATGTAATTTATATCAAAATGTTGTTGCATAATTGACATTAATTAACATTTATTTTTCATTGACCAACATATGTTTTGATCTTTGTTTAACTGAAAGAGTTATTACCTGGAAAAATCTATTCTAGGAACTTGCCGAAGTTTTGACTGTTCCTGATACTGGACTTTTAACTGTATTGGAAAAGTTATTAAATTAAGTTGACACAAAGTGGAAGTTTTTAAATTTTGTTTCCATGTTATTACTAAATATATCATCAATCTTTAAAAGACAAATCTTTTCTTAGAATAACCATATTTCTTTTTGATAAGATACTAATAAAAATAAACAAATTTGGTTAATAAAAGTATTCGTTAGTGTAACAAGGTACAACAGTTTTTAACTTACTAGCATTGCCTGAGTTTGAATTCAGCAGTGCAGTTAAGGCCTCCATGACAAGTGATCCTAAAGTCAATTGTTCTTCAGGAATTTCCCAATTAGCTAAAGAATTTTTTTTTAAAGAAAAAGAGAGAGGATGTTGAAGAATTATTAAAATAAAAAATTTTGGTACATAATTAAAGATTGCATTATGTTGCAGTATTAGGACCCAAAAAAATCAATAATCAAAAATTTGCAAACGAACCTGGTTGCTCATCTGATGCATCTGGGAATGCTTCTTTTAATATTGCTGCATACCTATGCAAACATGTAACTAAAACTTCTAAAAGGCCAACTTCTCTGTAGACATCTTTAAACATAGAATTGGAATGTAATATATTCAAGAGGCTTTTTAAACACAACATACTACAGGTTGTGGAGCTGAAATTGATAATATATTGCAAAATTAATAATTTAAAATTTTAAATATATTAAATCTTTAAGAAAAGAATTTGTGGGTTAGGTATGTCAAATTTAGATATTATTTGATATTAGCTAAATATATATATTTTTTAAAGTTACAAATATCACCTGCTTATAGAAATTTTAAGCTCTAAAAAATATTAAAAATAGTTTTAAAAATTTATTTTCTAGAAAAGAGAACCTTTGAAAAGTGATACTATTATAAAGAGTTCTTACATAGAGCTAGCTACGGCATCACAGATCATGGACTTACGATACCTGGCTCAACGATTACAATAAAAATACATAACAGTTAACTAGATGAAATGGTACAGAATCCTAAAGATATATAGTCTAGATTGGACAACAAATCATTTCCTGTATTATCGCATGGCATTGCCAAACCACTACCTGCACAAATAAGCATGGAAAAACTACAGGAGTTTAAACTTCGTTCCCATTCTCTTTATTCACAAAACATTTCCCTCACTGACTTAATAGCTTCCATATTTATCCTTTTCACTAAATTAATAGTAGATTTCCTCTACAAATTTTAAAGCAAATTTAAGGAGGGTAAAAAACAGATTTGATTTACATTAACCACAATTGAATATGATTACAATATATATATTTAAAAATATGTAAATAAATGAAATAAGTTTTAGTGTTTATAACCTTATTTCATTTATTAAATAAATGCAATAAATTTTAGAGTTTATATAACTTTGAAAACATTTTAATTTCATGCAGTTCAAGAAGTTTTATACCATAAAATGCAAACAGAACATGATTACAATAAATTTATAATAAATTAAATTAAATATATGTTTACTATACTTAATGTCAATTCTTATTATTTTGATTATATTAAATATGTATTTTACACCAGTTAAATAAAAATAATTAATTAAAAATAAATTCAACTTACTTTTGAGTTTTTAACAGGATACTTAAGCTGATAAATTCTTTACAAGGCACAAAATTCAAGTCAAATATTATAAATTCTAGTAACTTGAAAAACTTTTCCTGAAAAATAAAATACTTTAATTTAAAATATTATAATTTAAAACAAAAATAATGGTAAAATATAAATCTAACAATATAAGAACAAATTCCATAGTACTGAAAAATAAACTTGTAATTTTTTTATATCACAACTATAAAAGCATATATTTTCCCAGCATTAAATTTTAAAATTAAGTTAGTTAGCCCACAAAATTAGGTAAACAAATGGACCAAAAATATCATTTGTCCATTATTCCTTATTTAATTAGTTTTTTAACATCTTGAATCGATAATTATTTATTTAAAACCTTACTAATAGTATCTCATACTTTGATAAGATTAATTTTATGTTTCATATTGAAAAACGTTAAATTTATAAATGTATAAATGTAAACCAAGAAATTTAAGAATTTAAAACTACATATAACTATTGCAATCAGTATTTTAAGTTTATCTTACATCCAGACCTTTTTTTAAAAAAAATTAAGAATAAAAAAAATTTTCAAGACACAATATGTAGTATGCAAATTTATCTTAAATATTTTAGAATATAAATCTGCATACCTGAATTTCAGTTGGTTTAGTATGAATTTTTTCTGAAAATTGAGAGAGAGTATGTTGACTTTCTAGAATGAAATAATTAGCTTTGTCAGAATGATATACAGTGCTCACAGCGTCCAGAAGCAAGCTACATAAGTAAGGAGTCTGAGCCTGAAAAAATATTTATATCATCTAGAGATTAACAAGTTTAAGATATATTCTAATAAAATAATTTAAAATATAAATTTCTAAACGCTTTATAATTCAATTTTGAAATATCCTTAAAAAAATCAGTTTCATTTCATGTATTTCAAAAATATTTAGTCACAATTGCTCAATTTTTTTTTGCAATAATTAAATTTATCTTAAAAAAATATAATGAAAATGTAGCATAACATGAATGCCAATCAGAAATTTGAATTGAAGCATACTCATTTAGAACATATCATAAACCAATTAATAAAATACCATAATTTTTTTCTAAAATAGTAAATAAAATAATAAAAATAAAAACATTTAATTTATATTATCTGAATCCAAATAAACAAAAAGGTGTTAAAATTATAGCACAGTTATAAAATATAAATACAGCTTTCGCTTTACTATTATTCAATTTAACAATGAATGACTAAACAGTTAATGAAGATAGCGTACACTTTATGTTACCTGTGAATAAAATACAATATCTATATTCTCAGCTTTGTGCCATTACTTGTGCTCAATTTCTTTTTGTCATTATTTAAACAGATTTTTTTATAAATGTTTTACTTTCTTTATAATAAATATAAAAACAAAATATGAAATACTAATACAGCAGAACTTCAGTGGTAAACAATTTGACTGTTAATTCAAAGAAAAAAATATTAAAAAACTGTTGTGAGCATAAATTTTCTAGTAGGAAAAAAAATACTATTGACATTTCACCAATATTTTTGCTATTTTGGGTTATGTAAGCAATATCTTTCTATTCATTTCTAACTCATAGTAGCTTTGAAGTGTATTGATGATTACCTATATAATTTGTTTTAAATCTCCAAAGATTTCAACTAATGGTAAAATTGTACTGAATCTTTCCAACTGTAAGCTACTTTATCACAGAATTACATGGAAGGAACAGAAATTTTGAAGCAGGAAAACCACCAGATTTAAATGCTAAGAAAAGCAGGCAATATTGCACTGAGTGTTAATATAGGTAATATAACAAGACACACCATTAACAACCACTGAAGGTTCCAAACAGAGTAACTGATTGTTAAACGACATTAAACACAATGATTATGAATAATGTGATAATGAATAATATGATAAATATTGATTCATTTAACATCCAAAGAAAATTACCTTCATAAACACTGATTGTATCACTTGGAATGCTTGAAGATTTCTTACACTGGCACCTGCTGAAGAAAAATTCAATTTATTTTACTAAATAAATTAAACTGACAATGGAAATCCCTGAAAACAACAGACTTATTGTTTCACTTTGCAACAAAAGAAAAAAAAGCATAATTAAATGTTACAAAACAAATGTAAAACCGGAACAATAAGTAAATACCTAAATGATACATATAGTTATCAAGAAATTTGCTCCAAAAGTGAAATACAAAGAATATTTCTCAAAACTATATCTTTAATACTTCAAGTTAATATGATTGAAATAAAATTTTAAAAAAAGAGTTACAGGTCAGGCGTGATAGTCATAAGTAGTCTTCAGATGAGATTAGGCTCGTAAGTATAAAAATTATTTTATTTCGATTTATCTTTTCGCTCTTCAAATGATGGTATGGGATTTAAATGATTATCTTCTAACTAAGTCACTCAAAAATTGAGTAATGAGAGTAAACTTTGGTCTTGAACTGGCATAAATATAAAATAATATCAGGCTCAGAAAAATAAAATCTTACAGATCTTGTTCTCAGACCACCAACAGAGAACATAAACTTACATTAATATAATAACTACAATCTAAAGATTATTGCTATTATGTTCTTGTAAATACTTACTGATAGGTTGTAACAAAGCAATTCTTATAAGAGGGGTCCCAAAAACGTGGAAAAAGTCAAATTTCTCAAAAAAATATGCATTGGATCAATCATCTAAATGTGGATATATTTTTAAAACATGCATTCAATAAAACTCAACCCCTCATCTCGCCTTTCACCTCACCTCTAAAGCTAGAGGACACTAAGTTTGAAATCCTAAGATAGATTTTTAAAAATATCAAATGCATCTATTTCTAGTAACTAACTTAAATTTCTTGAGAGAGTAACATTTCAAATTGCTTTATCATTTGTAATTCCAATGCTACCAAAAAACAAAACCCAGTAAGTCAAATTGAGGTCCCCTTTTTTTGACAAATTTTAAACTGAAACAAAAAATTAAAAATTCCAATTTAATATTTTGAAATTGCCCCCACCCCCATTTCACTCTAAGGGGAAAAGTTGGAAACTCTCATTTGGCATCTTAGAATGCATCTTTTAAAACTAATTCACATGCATATTTTTTTTAATCCTATGCCATTTCAATCTATGCTTATTTGACTGTTTCCATCGTATTTAAAATACCCTTATAAAAAACTTCAATCCAGACACCCTAGATGGAAATTTAATTAATTTTGAGCAATTTAAAATAAAGTGATCGAGATTAAATACTGATGAGAAAATTAGCAATCAACAGCTCAAACTAATATTACCTGTTGAATGAGGGATCTGGAAGCCAGGCAATGTGAAAAGGGAACCAGTACTAGCCTGGCTAGGTTTTAGCTCAATATAGCCACAAGAAGTGAGGGAAGCGATAAGCAGCACTATATTACGGAGGGCTTCACAAGCTTCTTCAGAAGTGTTCTGTTCTAGCCTAATGCAGAAACATAAAAAATTATTCGAACTGCCAAACTCATTAAAAAAATACAGATATAGTAACAAATTGAAAGTAATGTCACTGATTCATTTAAAAAATATTTATTGATTGGAAAAACACATTAAAATGCTTTAAATTAAGCTTTGCCTATAACAATGTCCATTTATGAAGTTTTAAAGCGTGTACACAAGCGAGGGGGAGCAACATCAGAACTGCATGACTTAACTTTTAGGAAGTTGAATGTCAGTGCCTTTAAAAAAAACACTCAAAACATGGTCGGAGATTGAGAGTTCAAACACACGCCTCACCTTTTTTGTCAGTGAAGATCATTGATGGTCTTCCAGTGAAAGCTTTACTGCTGGCCTCAAAAAAACGCAGGGTGCATAGCCAAATCTTTCAACAAAAAATAAGCACCTTTAAAGTACTTTTTTAAGCACTATAGGCATTAACAAAATGCAAAATAATTTTCAAAGACTTTACATGATCATGATAAAATAACTAGTTTCTGACAGAGAACTTTTTTCTTGATTATATTAGCCATTATAAAATGATTGAGAGATTTTTCGGTACTATTTTAGAGGTTGGAAAGTGAAGCCAGAAATTGAAAATATCTTGCAAAAATGCAACAGGGTTGCATATGAGAGTGCAAGAATCTCACAGAACCCAGCTCAGTACACACATATGCTGACTCCCAAGTATTTCATCAAACATGCAACATGATTGGCCTTACCTTATGTTACAGACAGACGGTACGCTGAAATGGATTGTGGTTGAATTAATTGCGAAAACATTGAATAGAACAATGTGAAAACCACACTTTCGTATAATACGCAGTGAAAATCGAAAAGGTAAAGAAAAAAATCTTACTTTCGAAAAGGGAAAATTAAGCACTTTTTAAAAACACCACATGAAAAAAGCACCTTTAAGTGCTCTTAAAAAACGAAAGTCAAAAATAAGCATCTTTAAGCACTTTTAAAAACGCTACGCACCATGAAAATGCCTTGACCAGACTGGCAACTTAGACTTGGCAATATGATAAACAATTATCCAAAAATGCCCTCATAAGTGGACACTATACTGCCGGAGAAACATTTTATGACAAATTTCGTTTCTCCGCCATTGGTAATTTAAAAGAAAAAGTTACTTAGGTTAAACTAATAGAAAACCATAAAGTTTCAAATGCTGATTTTTTTTTTCAAACTATTAATATGCAAACAAATTATGTCAGGATTACATCCCTCCTGCCATAATTTGTTTGCATTTCGATAGTTTGAAAGAAATGCTTAAGAATTTGAAACATTACAATTTACTCTAGGTATCCTTGAGCTTACTTTTTTTACTCATTTTAAATTACTAATGTAGGAAAAACAGAATTTTCCATTAAGTATTTCTCCCACAATATAGCATTCTCTCAATTATGAAAAAAAAAATTATTTTACTGAAAACTGGTTGATTTTCTCAAAAAACTTGGAGAGCTGCATTGCGACTCCTCTAGTATGAGTTTTACCTGAATGATAGTCCTTACTCTCCAGATGGTCCCAAATAATTTTGTGAAAGCATAGGTGTAAACTGACTCCCCCTTTCATTAATCCCAACTAGCCTGAGAAGGGTGTTACATGTATTCACTTCATAGTAATATCAGTTACATTACTTTTTGGATAAACCCTGTATTTGATAATTTTTCTTACCTAAGAAGAAACTCTGAGAGAAAAATGTATCCCTGGCAAGTTCGAAAGTCATCCAAAATCATCTGTGACACTTCACTAGAGTCTTTCAGGAAACAAAACACAGTGACAAACATTTCAACGATTTCAAGGGGGGATAACTCTTGAACTCTTTGCATGTTTTCAATGCAGAGTGCTATGCAAGCTTTATCTGGAATGCAGAAAAAGTTTTTGATTTATTCGTTGAATTTCTTAATTCAAATTTATTTAAAATTTTGTAAGTAAATTAAAATGCATGATAAATTTTTTGGCAGTAAAAAAAGGATCTTTAAAATTTTGCATTTGACTAAAGCTACAAGTTGAAAAGCAATATATTTATATTTTTTTATCCAAGTAAACTAAACTGACTTTTGAAAGCATATAATTCACTTTTAAAAAGATTTAAAGAAAAAAAATAAAATTGGAATAATAACAGCCTGAATTGGTTTTTGTGAATATTGCTGAATATGTGCCATCAATTTTGTTTTTCAAAAGGTATGAGGAAAAATTGAATTATGTAAATAACTTTAATAACAAGACACTCAATAAAAGTTTCAATAGTGTCATGTTCATAACATTTCGATTAATTTAGGATTTAATTTTAGTCAAAATTTTTGTCATTCACACAAGATATTTTTCAGCAAATACAATTAATGTGTGCTAGTTCTTTTAATGTACAAATTAGATTTTTCTTAGCCATTACACATAGTAAACAAAAATTAACAAGAAAAAAATTTTAATTACACAAACAACAAGGGAAGTCAAAAAAAGAAATGACGCAAACGACTTAAATAGCGCAAAACATATTTCGAGAAAAAAAGGACAAAAATTAACTAAATATTAGAATTCTAGAAAGCTTTTTCAATTCAGCTTTATCAAAAAAAAAATGCCACACTTAAAAGTAACAGAATATTGATTGCGTTTTACTCTAGTTCATTCAAAGAGTTCAAAATATCTGCAATAAAACATGTAAAGAAAAATTAAGAAAAAAAAGCATAAGTTTTAATGAAATTAAATAAAAAAATTTATTCTCCATTATACAAAAGAGGTAAAGGAAAGGTCGCAGATCATGTTGTATGGAACCCTAATTATTTTATAAATGGTGCGTGTTAATAAAATTTAATATGGACACAAAATGAAAAAAAAAAATTTAAGTATCTTGTAAAAAATAAATTAAAAAACTCCTTTATTTGACTGGTAAATATGAAATCACAACACATAAGCTATTTTTTAAATTGAGGTATTCTTTCACACAAGGAAAACTGGTGATTGATATACAGTTTTAATGGAAATATTCTTTGACGTAGATAGAGTTGGTAATGGAGATAAATTTTTAATTGAAGTATTCTTTCGTTTAGAGAGAAATGGAGGCGATGATATATTTTTGAGAAATCTTTTTCCTTTAAAAGGACTGGTGATGGTGATATATTTTTAATGCAGATATTCTTTCACTAAAATAAAACTAGAGGCGGAGATTGGAAGATGTCCAAAGCAGACATAGAAAGTTAACATTTGAAGAGGTTTTGTGTACATAAACATTTTAAATAGTGAATAGTTTAAGTTCTGTTGTCTTCCGAAATCAAAAACTTTTTTAAATTAATTTTTTGTAGGGTAGTGCAATTCATTCAAATAAATTACTCTCATTTTTTTTAAAAAATTTGCCAACAGTTTTATTTATGCAACACTTAATACGTAAAACTATAATAAAACCACATACTGTGGATATAGCTAACAACAGAGTGGGAAAGGCCATGCCGAGAAAGAGTCATGAGAACCTCTGCTGCACTCTTTCTCCAAACAGTATTATGAGCAGGACACCAACTTGTTATAGCACTAAATAAAAGAGCGAGATCATCTTTTCGGCTCAATTCTTCTGCTGGGCCAGAGTGGCTACAAAGTCGCACCAAAACCTGCAAGAACAATATTAATAATTAGTTAAATATCTAATTAACGCTTCCACTCTATACTTAAACTATATAACAAGGCAAGACTCTTTTAAATTTGAACAAGGACACTTTGAAGTAACATCAACTCTCTTAAAATTAAGCACTAACTTTTATGTGTCGAATCGTTACATTTCTTTGCCCCCAAAATGCTAACAATTTAAAAAAGATTATAATTCATTAGGCAAAGCTAAGACTACATTTTAAAAAGTGTCCCGAGTATAAACCATTAACTTATAAAAATACAGATTCAGCAAAGTCAATAAATCCAATTTTTAAATGTCCATTGTAATAATTATTAACATTCTGTTTTATTTTTTCAATAAAATAAAAATTAATTTAAACTGTCCATTTCAGAAAGTTACAACACAAATGATACTTGCATGGCACCATTGTATATAAGTGTATAGCAAATTAAAATGAAACATAATCCAAAAACAATTTTTTTCTTTTTTTACTGAATATCCATAATGAGTTATAAAAGTGTTTTTTGACAAAGCTGGTAATATATTGAAATGCTATATTACATTGTTGACTTGAACAGTATTTTTATACTTTTTATAATCTTTTAAGTTCTGAATCAATTATAGGAAATTTATTAAGAAAACTAGTTAAACTTGACACAACTATTAGCTAGTAATATGAATAACTAAATACAATACTAAAACGCAATTTGTGGATGCTTGAAAAATACATTCTTCTGCTGTTCATTAAAATTCTTACAACAAATAGTGCTTTAAACTACCATATACAGTCTGCAAAAAAAAAAAGGTCACCCAAAATAACTCTTGATCTAATGATTGGACACATTTTAGAACTCATTCTTAATGGTTCAAGGGAGTGAAATCAAATATGCTAATTAATTACAAGGAACCGATGATTTAAGTTACAAAATTAGATACAAAAACGTATATTCTCTTACTAATCTTTCAGAGAAACATAGTAGCTAATTTTTAGATGGATTCAGGTTTTTGATCCCAAAAATATAGGGGGTAGCCGTAATCTGGGAAATAGGGTCCACTTAGTCTGGCCAGGAGAACGATCCAAAGTTGAGATCCCTAAATGTTAATTTTACTTTTTGCATATCTCGAGAACTTTTTAAACAAATTGAAAAAATTTTACACACATTTATAAAATTAGTTTACCTAAAGATAATTTTGATGCAAAAAAAATTTTTAGTAAATATTAATTATATTTAATAACAGTCAAAAATATTTTGAATTGTAAGATATACAGTTTTTTCGTCATTTTAAAATATGTAAAAATGCATGGCAAAGTTTGAGCTAATTTGGTTGAACAGTTCCTGAGAAATCAAATTTTAAATAATAATGAAAAATAAATAAATTATTTAAGTCAGCAACAAAATGTTACGATTGTAAAGATTTCTATATGAAAATACCTGAACAAAAACTTTTTGCAGTAATATCCTTCTCTCTTTGGGAGAAAATTCACAATCAGGATCAATATCATCCGGGTTTTCAATGGGGGGCAAATCAAAAAAGAGGTAGAGGCACTTCACTAAAGTAGAAGGTAAAGAGGATGCTGTCATTATGTCCACTAAAGCTGCATTGCCTGCAGCAAGCAAGTTTACAGCAGTTAATAACATCCAGCCATTGCTGAGTTCTTCAGTACTGGAAATTTCTAAGAATTTTGCTATAGCACAACTAGCAGCTTCTGCAAAAATATAAATGGACAACAATTTTAAAAACTTAAAAAAGCATAACTATGACTTGGTATAAAAATGAAATTCAAAAAGAAATAAAAAAAAATATGTGTCATTTATCAGATAGAGAAAATCCATTATTCCCACTTCTTTCATTTTCCCATATGTTTTATATTGCTTTCTTAATGGCCTTATCTTACTACAGCACCATCTGGATTTGTGATGGGATCATTAATGATGATGGATTGTTAATGATACCTTCACAAATGCTTTTACTACCAAAACTAGTTTAGATTGTTTTTAAAACTAGAAGATTTCCATATCTATTGTTCAGAAATTTTACTGAAGTTAAAAAAATTAAAGTTATTTCGGAATGAAAAGAAAAACAGTAATTCCTGATGTTAATGAAGAAGAAAACAAACATTTGTTACAACTCGGAGAAAACGCCTTTAATATCATGTTTGATGTTTTTATCTCATTTGATGGAAATGTTAAAACTTATGGCATTGCCGGTTCAAGAAAGGATTGAGAAAGCTAAAGAAGATCAAAGTGATACTGATGAACACTGCAAAACAGATCCTCAACCAGAGCCAACATTTATAGAAAACAGTCATTAATTTGCTCAGCTATTTTGAAGTCATAAAATCAATGAGATACTTCATGCATTTATATGAATTTACAGAAAATAAACATCTTCTGATACTAATGTCTAAAATGTATTGCTTGCAGTGTAAAAAAAATAAGAGTACTTAAACAACATTTATAGAAGACTTTGAAGTCATTAAAACAATGAAAAACTTCATGTATTTATATGAATTTACAGAAAATAAACATCATCTGATACTGATGTCTAAAATGTATTGCTTGTAGTGTAAAAAAATAAGAGTACTTAAACCAAAATTTCCAACTATTTCAAATAAATGTATTCATGTTCCTTTTACATCATACATATTTTTCCACTTAATATTTTTAATACTTTAAATTTATTAAATTTCAAGTACATTGCTTTTTTTTTTTACTTTTCATACAATTTCAAGTAATTATTTGGTATTTTATGTTAGCCTACGCTTATTGCTTTCTCATATCTATCATTCACAATAAATGGCCCTATAACAAATAATCAATTAGGCTCAACTGTAATTTGTCAACTAAAGTAAAAGAAGAACAATAGCAATATTTATAGAAAAATACCCATAAATTTCGTTAAGCTTCAAAAAGAGATTTGCAACTGGATACATATACCATTAATAAAATATACTCAGCAGATATAGGTTGTAGCATTTTTTTTTATCAAAAAAGTTTTTAATTAGGCAAGAACTGATAAATATTTTCAAATATAATGTTAAGCAAAATTTTATTCCACAATATGTCACATCAATTTTCTTTTAAATTTTTCAAAATATATAAAAGCTTTACATTACATTATTTCTTTTTTTTTCCAAACTGTTCCGATTTTATCACTTATAAGTTTAAAAACACTTATCTTAGACAACAGGATAAAACAGGCAGTACGATAGTAAAAAGTATAATAATTTTTTATCATATGCAGCACAACAGAATTCTCCTTCCTTATAAATCTTATGCTTATATACTTATATATATACTTTATTATGTGTNNNNTATATATATAGTGTTATATAATGCCTTTCCTCTCTAAGTTCTAGAAATTTATTAAATATTTTAGAAATATATTAAAGGTATTTTTGTTTGATAAAATCTTAACTAATTTAAACTTGCTTGAAATCAACTTTATTTCCACTTTAAATTAAAAGGAGTTTCAGAATTTTGTCTTTAAAAAGGCAAATAGGTAAAAGAAAGGAGATAAGTATGGATGAAATTCAAATTAACATTTATAGTTTAGTACCTATTTTAAAGATTTTAAAGGCATGTTCAGTATCTTTAATTTATGAAACATAAATCTATGTCTAAACTCTAAAGGATAAAAAAATGAATAACAGAAATTATGCCAAAAATATATGATTATAAGATACGAGTAAAATTAAATAACGAATTTACCTGTACTTTGATTTGATGCTCTGCGGCGTATTTCAGATACCATTAATCTAGACACTAGCTGACAAAAAGATAATATTTCAGAAAATTTTTCTATCATGTCGGAGGAGGGACAGTTACCAAATACCTAGAGGAGTAAATCACATTTAAATCTTGCAGAAATGTAAAAAAAATTTACATTGAAAAACAGCAAAAATGTAATGCATTACAGCAAGAGATGTATTTTGCAAACAAAATTTTATTTTAACGAGTTCAAATATAACGAGTTTATAATAAATATTTAAAACTGAACAATGAAGATTTAAAAGAAAATTATGCATTATGATGAATTAAAGTTAATAAAATTCTGGGAGAGATTATACACAACAATTTTAGCTTATTGCTTTATTACAAAACTTGGGTAAAAAATTGCAGAATGGAAAGAAAAAAAAGACAAAAAACATGCGAAATAAAAATATTTAAGAAAATGTGTCTAAGAAACAATTTAAACAGGAGAAACAACAATTTAAACAGGAAGAAACAATTTAACAATTAAACACGAGGACTACTTTGTGTGCATCAAAATCATAAGGGTAAAAATAACAAATTGAAAAATATATGACAATAAATTTTTTTTAAAACTTATAACATATAATAAATGGACCAACGGGTCAGAAATATAGAATTTGAGAAATGGTGGAATCATTTTGGAATAAAGAAATATTAGCAACAAAGTTTTAATTAATTAGGAATATACTATTACATAAAAATAAAACTAGTCATATAAAATGTAAAAACCTTAAAAAACAAAATCACAGTAACAGTTTAATTGGTAATATTTATAACTTCACAAAAATTTAAATTGCATATTGTGCACCCCTTCTGTATAAGAATTTCAAACTTTATAAGGATAAAAAGAAAGTATTATAGAAAATAAATCATGAAAAAAATTGGTTTGATGATAAAATAATCTTTTTAAAATACCTTGCAAAATAAAGGAAGCATATTGTAAAGCCTTTGTTCTTGTTCAGTTTGACTTAAAGGATGGGGTGAATGCACTAACTCGCTGAAAAGTTTATGTAAATGCATGAGACCAAGTGCAGTGTGCTGAGAAGATTGAGGTGGATCTTCACCCATTGCAGCACCCCTTGAATGCCCAACAAGCAATTTCCGCATGATGTTCATCTTTACACATTCGTCTAAAATGATATATAACAAAACTGTAAGCACCAAGGAATATTAAATTTTACATATAATTATTAGATAAAAATAATTTACTTTAATAGCTTTAAAAAAATTTCAATAAATGCCGAAACTAAATTTTTAAGACAAAAACATTTTATGTATTGAGATTGTAATAATTAGATAGGAAAATTAAAATGGCATTCCAATCTTAAATTTAAGGCATATATTCTATTTCAACACAGAATTTTTTTAAGTCCCTTTAACAACAATAAAATGCTGAAATTTCATATTTAAAGCATAAAAAATATATAAAAATTTCAGAGTCGCAAATTAATAATAAAATATAAAAACAAAATTTATTTAGAGTAAAAAAAACACAGATTTTCTCAGTATTCAGAAGTTTTAATTTGTGGCCCCTATGTGGAATTGCCCGACAACATATTAATTGATAACATGGTTTTAATTTTATACTACTGAATATCCCTTTTTCACAAACATAGAAAGTTATTTTAAATTTAAAAAAAAGAAAGAAAAATCAGAGGAACAATATTAAACATTATTTCACATACATCTTGTCAAATATTAATCATGAACCTCTTACTAATTAAAATAATCATTTTTAATGAATGTTTTTTTTATATGGATATGTTATCTTTCACAAAAAAAAATTTTGTCTTTTGACCTTTAATGATTTAATAAATTTTACAGAAAAAAAAATTATAACTCTGAAGCTATTTTAATATTCTTTTTAAAAGAAAAGAAAAAAAAAAACACCTTGACTAATTATCTTAACACATAAAAGTTTGTGACACCAAAAAATTTTTAATTCATAACAAATGTATGGATGCTTAACTAACTGATGGGTAACAATAACAAGGTTTTTAAAACTGGAAAAAAACTTCTGGTGTAATTCTCCGCTTATGTTATGCTTAAGGGGCGACATGTGAACAGGTTAAATATTCTAAGAATATTGTGATTTGTGCTTAAATTTATGCCAAATTTTACCCTTCATAAAAGTTGTCTACAATATTTTTAATTCTAAAAGGTCACCATGAGTGTAAAACAAATTTAAGAAAATTAATATTACAACATAAACAAATTGAAAGGTTTGCCATAATTTGATTATTATACCTTATTTGGTTATATTTTTGTTAAATATCACCATTTGATATTTTTTCAGTAGTATTATAGTATGCTTGGAGAGTCTTCCGAATTCACTTGTTTCTTTAATTGAAAATTAAATTGAAAGAATGCATTATATTGTAAATACAAGTATAATAATATAGGATGGCACCCTTTTTTAAAGCTTAGGCCTAAAAATCAATCTGAAGCAGTAACTCTAAATTCTCCCACTGAATTTTAACCCCTAGTGGCATTTGTACTTAGCTTTATACAGTCAATCAACCATTTTCCATTACATTTCTTCAAAACATTATTTTTTTTCTTCATTTAATAGTTTTAATTTTACAAGAGTGAGTAGCCAGAACAGTGAAAATTTTTCGAAATAGCAGTAAATATTTTTTTAAAAAATGCAATAAAAATGTAATAACAATATATTTTTCTACCAATGGTTTTCTACCATAGATTTGAAGAGAGAATTGATACCTATAATCCCATTTTCTTATTAAAAGTTGATGTCTGTTTTTACAAACAGGGATCGATCCAGGTTTTATTTTTTCGGTGCCATTTTGCGAAAAAAGGAAATTGTTTTAGAGAAAAATTTTTAATTTATGAAAAACATTCAGCTTTAGCAATCACTGTATTTTATGCTTATCAAAAATATTTCAAAAAATGATAAAATACTTTTGAAAAATTATTTATATATTTTTTACAAAATTACACTTACATTTTATGAGTTGTTTGTTCATATTATTCAATTAAGTTTCAGAGATTAATTGATTACAGCTACACGATTTTTTTAAAACTAAAAATCATTTTATTTTTAGAAATATAAATTTCTCAACTATTAGTTGAGATAGCAATTCTTAAACATAGATTTGAACCATTCTTGACTAATATTAATAAATAGTAATTAAAAATTACTTCTTGAAAATTATAAAAAAAATTCATATATTATCATGTTTTAATTATCTGCATTTACATAAAATTTAAATGTCACTAAAATGTTTTGAATTATCTGTAGAACATAAAACATAATTTTTATTATTTTTTTATCCATCGAATTCACTTATAAACTCTTCTAAAAAAAATTGTGAATAAGAATCATGATGTTCGGTTTTAAAATTTAATGAATACGAATATTAGATTTTAAAAACGTATCAAGTGAATCGTAATGCATAACTTTTAAATCACATAAATACAAAAATTGATGTTTGATATTAAAATTGAATGAATGTGAATCATAAAATTAGACTTTAAAAATGCGTGGATAATGCGTGGTAAATCGAGTGGATAAAAACCGTAAGGAGTGATTTTTAAACTGCATCATTGTGAATCGTGAAAGGCTATTTGCCTATGAAATGCAGTCGATGTCGGAACTTGAAGATCGCATATGACTTGCAAACAGAGATTAAATTGTAATGTGCAATTAAATTGCAATGTGTCAACATAAATATTGAAAAATCCAAGTTGAAACACTTAAAAATATTACTCTTATACAGTAAAACTTCCTTCCGGGGGTGGTTTTAGGAATGTCAATTTTATAAAGGGGCAGCTTAATAAATTAGAATTTTGTGAAGGGAACATTTTTAAAATTTGAATTGTGTGAAGGCCAGCAAAACGGTATACCTGGATAGACTCCCATATATCTTCATATTGTGAACATTAAATCAAAAATATTTTTAAAATGTATAATATAATATTGAAACAATGATAGCTTGGTCAAATGAATATGTTTCTCTAAATAAAATAATTTTTCCAATTGTTTATTTTTTTACTTTGCAGCTAATTTATTACCCTGTAAAAAAAACTATAGCCATCATTAAAATATATAGTGTGTAGAATATACAAAAAAAAAGTCAAATTAAAAGTATTATTGTAAAATAAGTTAAATAATTAACAATTTTAAAGCATATATTATGTGGTTTTTAACCTTACTATTTTAAAGCAATTAAATTATATTTTAAAGTCATGGTAAATACTATTTTAATACATAAATATCCCCAATATAACATTACAAAAATAACTTTTTTTTAAACGATTTAATAATTTGCATAGATAAAATATAAAGCTTTACAAAGAAATTATTAAATTCAAGTAAATTAAAATTTTTAAAAATATTCCCATTAAAAGAAGAAAAAAAATTGATTCTTAAATACAAAAGGATATCTTATTAGGGAAAATAATTAACAAGAATTTTTCGGAAAAATGAATTGCCTATTCAAAATAAAATATATGAATACAATTTTCACGTCTTACCAAAACACCTATCAAAAAACCATATTTAGAAAATTTCTGTCTTGAAACGTCAAAACATTCATTGAATTATGATCATGCTTAATGGATAGTTGAAATCATTATGAAAGGAAAAATGAAGTAGGATAACAAAAGAAATGATATAATTGAGTGAAATGATTCATTTTTTGCTTTAAATTTAAAAAATTTCACAAGTTTTTAGATGGACCGACCCACAGACGACGAGCCCAGGCATTTTTAGTTGAGTTTAGATGTTTAAGTTTTGGTTTTCGAATACTAATATTATGCTAGTTTTATTACGATTTAACTTTCAAAATTGATAAATAAGTATACTGAGGCAATATTCAGTGACCGTAATTAAAATTACTGTAATTCAAGGAAAAACATTTTTTTCCATTACATTTTTAATCGATTTTAATTAATAAAATCGATTCTTCATTTCGATTAAATTTCATCGCTTGACTTTGTTTACTTTCTGTCTGGTTGTCAACAAATCTTAAAGTGAAGTAGACCGGGCGCCAAAAAACTAATAAAATTTTAATTGCGTTAATAATTGTATCGTTTCCTTCTTCAGTTCGTTCTGAGGAAATCTATTTCTAAGAAATGCACTTTGCTTTTGTTTTATATCCACATATATTATAAAAGAATATGACGGATATCAAACCTATATTATATGTTGCTTTATACGATTTGTCTTCTGGACATCAACATGTGTTGCTTTTCAAAAAAGACGATCGTTTTATACCCGTATCTGATTCTTCAAACAATCCTAATTGGGCTCTTTGTGTTGATATGAGAGGAAAACTCGGTTATGTACCTCATACATACATAAACAAAGTTGAAGTATGCAGGATTTGTTCCTAATGCAATCAATGCATAAAAATTGCTGGGAGATTTCCATATCGTGATCTGTGGCAAAATAATCGCCATGTGTTGGCAACTTTCGGTTTTTTTTTAAAAAATTGTAAGTTTAAAATCTATTTGATACCTTGGCGATTGTATCACGATACGGAAATATCCCAATTGCAAATGTTTATTTAAATAAAAATTATATCTTTGTAATGTTTTATTTACCTACTAAAATAAGGAAATGCATTGCTGGGAGAATAACTAAATTTACTTGTTTCGACTAAAATGGAAAAGTACCATTTTTCCTGATAATAGTGATAGTTAATATTTAATAGTTTTAACGAGGATATGTCCGTATCGTGATCTGTCGCACAAACTACAATTGTCGAGGTGCAAAATAGATTTTAAACATGCAAATTTTTTTTATAAAAAACGTGTAGATGTTTGCCTGGAGATGGCAGAGCTCATTCTAGGCAGAAAAAAGGGCAGGGTGCAAAAGTTTAAAAAAAAGTGCATTATTATTCTAAAAAGGCAATAATTTCTTTCTATGGGCTTTACATGTTTGATAACACGCTAAAAAAACATATTAAAAAACATTATCAATTTTTTTTTTTACTTTACTGAAAGTAGCAAAGCAATCATATTAATTTTTATTAATAAATTAACATGTATATATATATATCGAGTTAATGAGCTAATTAGCTTAGTAATTTATTTAAAATGCATGCATATATTAATAAAATAATAAATGTATGTTTTCTAAGTGTCTGTAGTTATGATTTAATAATTAAAATGATTAATAATAATTATGATTTAGTGATAGGGGAAGTAACTGCAAACTTTTCAAAGTAAAGTGCAACAAGGAGGTGTGATGGCTATTTTTTCTTTACCATATAAATCTATGTATTGGCAGCAATGACAAACTAAATGAAAAGAGTTGAAAATAACAAAAGTTTAAGAACTCCGTTGTAGAGTTGGGGGGGGGAATAAAGAAGGGTTGAGGAAAGAAAGGGCAAAAAGTGTATGGAGTCTATTACATCAGGGGCAACAGGGTGGATTCTTTTGAGTAAAAAGGCAGCAGGTTGCTGCGCCTTGTTTACCCTGCCTAGAATGAGCTCAGGAGATGGTTACGAGTCATACCTTTCAAGTTGGTCCCTTTCTGTGATGTTTTTTTTAGTTTCTCGCGGAGAACTGCCCGGAATTTTCCAAGACTTGGTGATGATTCTGCCACAGATCACGATACGGAAATCTCACCGTTTTAACATATAGTTATAATGTTTTATAGTTTAAACATCTAAATGTAATATCAAATTCTTTAGATCTGCAAAAGAAATATGTTTTAAAAGATGTAACACGATGTACAATGTGGAAGATAACTCATATTAATACTTGTTCAAGCAAACTGCAATAGCTAAGTTTACAAAGTGTTATTGCTTTGTATGTTTACTTTTGAAACAAAACAATTAATTATATAAAAAAAAAACAATTTTAGCTTTTTTTTAAAGAACCATGGGTAGACTATGTTGAGCTCTGGGCTAATCAGTTTCTGAGGTCCTTCAGTTATTGAAATATTTTGGTACGACTTTGCTTTTCCCTCTTCGGCTATAACATAACAGAAAGATAATAAAATACAACAAAAATATTTAGAGTAACTTGTAGCATTTTTAAAATTATGTTTGAATTTTTTTGTACAAATCTAATTTAAATATCTTTTTAGATAAATCCTGATGAGTATATTTTTCTGGTTGAGGATGCATTAGAAAAAATTCATGCTGAGTCTCCAAATAGTATTTCAAAAAGGACCAGAGAGGCTATGAAGTACAGTATTACTTTTATATTTTGCTTTATGTTAAATTCTGAAAGAGAATTCTTAACGTACTGCTAAATTTTGCATCATTAACAATTTGTGTTAAAATTAGTTAAATTATTTTAGTTCTTGTGTAAGAATATATAGTGAAACCTCCGTTAAGCGAACATTAATGGGACCAAAAAATTTTTCCGTTTATGAAAGTAGTCCGTTTGCGGGAAGGGTACCCTAATAGCGAAATTTAACACCGTAAATTGTTTTTAGAATACTTTCAAAGATGTAGAAATAATTAAATAATATCTACAAGGAGACTATAAATATCTACATGAATATTTATTTAAACAATAAGAAAGATAAAAAAGAAAAAGAAAGAAGTTTGATATAAATATATAATTCTGGATGTGGCTACAGATAAATAAATATAATTTTTATATCAGCATAGATACTCAAGTTTGACATATGGTACCAAATAGGAGCTTTCTGTCCTCAGTCCGTTTCAATTATCAGTTTTACATCCCCTTACACCTACTTATCATTTGATAGGGACCATGGTTAATACCTTCTTTAAGAAAAAAACCTCCCATGATTCACAGAAAAAAAAGTAATGCATACCTGTAAGTCATGACGACCTATGGAGATGATTATTCACAATTGATCAGCTATCAAGTGTCTGAATAAATGTTTCATTTATATAAACACCTCAAAGATTATACTTCTGTTCTCTTTTTTTTACCCCAGTTGTGTTAAATACAGTCTTCAAATTGATAAGAAAATTAAAGAAATTTTCAATGGGGAAGAAGCATTGAGAGAAGTCATTTCAACTTGAGGGGTCTCATAACCTGTGTGGTCCAGATGAAAAGATCAAAAGATGCCGATGTCAGAATTATTTCAGGAGTGCAGTACCATTTTCTCTCCTTTCTTTACAAAGATAAGGCAAGGTGACAGGAGAAAGATTGATTTTTCAGTGGTGAAATAGCTTAAGAATATTTTTAGTTACGGATAAAGCAGAAAATTTTATTTACATGCTTTAAAAATGGTGAAAAGTTGCACTTTTTTTAGCTTGCAATTTAAAGCAAAAATAGTTCCTTTTTCAAATTTAGAAAAAGTAATGTCCGGTTTGTAGAGATAGAAAACAACATTTCAGGACCAAAATGACTGTCCGGTTACGGGAGTGTCCGCTTTGCGGAGAATGTACATAATGGTATATTCTTAGAAAATCCTGGGGAATTAAAAATATGTCCGTATTGAGAGGCGTCCGTCTTGCAGTAGTGTCTATTACAGGAGGTTTTACTGTGTATGTAATTTCATCATAAAAGATTCAGAATATTATTTTAGAATGGTGCACTTTCGCTTACTTAAATAAATGTCGTAAGTTCTGTGCTTACTTCCCAAAAGGTTAACTTAAAGTGAAATTTTATTTCTTATAAAGATTTTGTTCCTATAATATTATATATTTTTTATGTCATTGAACTGTAATTATGTATAACTACCGTATTAAAGTCCAATATCCGGACTTCTATTTTATGAAAGTGTCCGTTTCCCAGACATTTTTTAAAAATTAGAATAGTTAAATCCCCCCCTACCCAAAAATAAATAATTTTTTACTAAGTATGCAATCTGTTGTATAGAAGGGGGAAAAAATTATCTCATTTTGCTGTGTTTAGGCTAGTTTAACATTTATACTGTTTTGACAAGATGGCCACAGAACAAAGAAAAGTCAGACAATTTTATCTATCTGGAAAAAAGAAGGAAATGGCAAAGAATTTAATTAAAATACCAAAAAAGTTAGGGAAAACAAATTGAGTTTGAGGTACTTGAAATTTTGAAAAAGAAAATTCCATAAAAATAGGTCTTATAATAATTCTTTCTTAGTAAAAATTTTTAGTTTCAACTAACTAATAGCAAGTGTAAGTGTTTTGTAACAAATTTCATGTATAAGAATATTGCTTAACTGAAAAATTAATAACATTTATGCCCATCATTTTAAAAAATCAGAGAAATGTGATAAATCAATCTGGAAAAATTCATAGAATTTTTTCTGGGTATTTGTTGCCTTCCTGCTTAATTAAAAAGAATACTTACAGCGTTGTTATAAAGAAAAAATGGCAGTTAAGGAAAAAGAAACTGAACTTAGGTGAGAGGAATAAAATATGAATATGAATTAATCTATTATTAATTGTGTTTGAAAAAAATGGATGCAAACAGGCTTTGTTTTAGCTTAAATTGGAAATGTTTTTATTAAAAGATTTATTCAATAACCTCCTATGTTTAATCTTTTAATTCATTAAGATGGATTTTTCGAATGAATTTGAATTAAGATTGACTTTAATCTGGATATCATTTTGCCAATTTTTCACATAAAATAGAAAAACATCTTTATTTCGGAAGAAATAAAAAATTTTAAAAAGAAAAAGTTGAAGTTGTCTTCTGCATATTTTTTTTATCAAGGACATTTATTTTATACTAAGCATTCTTTAGTTTATGAAATTAACAAGGAACGAATACTTATTTGAACGTTCTCTGTAATTTTAATGTAAATTAATGTTTTTATAATTGAGTAACACATTTTGTAATCAGTATTTACTTTTACAACCTTATTGTCCTGAAAAATATATTTTTGGAATTTACCAAAATTCCAAGTATTCCAGATATATGACTTCCCACCATCTATGCATATATATCAAGTTTGATTTAAGTATAATTTCTATTTTAGGTACCTTTCTGACCAAAGAACTATTTTCTTAAAAAATCAAAAAATTTGCAATGAGTATGAAGGTAATAATTCTTTTGCACCTGTATTCACTTGCTCAAACATAAATTAAAACTTATACTATAACCAACATTTTTTTAGATATTTGTAGCAACAAAGTATTGAACAATCATGAAACATCCCACTCTGAAGACTCTCCAAGGCATGCATTTCAACTATCTTCTTCTAGTCATATTCCAGTTAGTGAAAGTAACTCATCACTTCCAAATGATGTGCAAAATAATGTGGCATCAATAGCTATTCACAGTGAAACTAAAAATCATGCTGAACTAAGCACTCAAACAGATTGTATTACTGACTATACAGTGCCAACATGGTTAGTGCCAAGCTTAATTGAAAGTGTTAGACATAAAACACAAATAAGTCATGAAAATTCTATTGCTGCAGTTGGAGTCATGTTAGACATTTTCAAAGAAGCTATTCCAATGCTTGATCAGTTGTGGCTGCAATTGAAGGGAAATTTGAAATCTGAAGTTTTGCAAGTAAGTTTTACTCATTATTTATTAAGTGATTTACATATATTTTTCATTATGTGAAAAAATATTTATCTGTTCAATTTCTAAGCTTATGTTTATTTATTTGTTCTTTTATCATATTGCACTCAGCATATCTATATTAAAATAATTGTTTTGGATTTAACTTTACCTATTTTTATTTTTCTATAAGCATTTGATTAGAATAAAGGGTACATTTAAAACAGCATTTTTTTTCTTCCTGTTATACTTTAAAAATTTTAGCTCTTTAAGTATAGGAACTGTGTATTGTATTAAGCACTCTTCTACATAGCATAATAAGGGCAAACAAAATTTTTCTCATTATTCAGAGTTGCATCTTAAGTGGTGATTACCTGAGGACTGGGCCGGATTAACCTATAGGCACACTAGGCACGTGCCTAGGGCCTACGAAAAACTTGGGAGAAAAAAATTTGTTAACAAAAATAATTTAGCTTTAAAAACAACAATTGTATTTTGCACAAAATTATGAAGATACAAATAAAAATATAATATTTCTGGGTAATAAATTATTTTGCAGAATCTTATGATCTAATATATTACTTTTTTGGATTCAACGAAATCTTGTATTATGCTGTCGAATTCCAAACTACGCAAAATGTCGTATTCAATAGACGTAAGTGCGAGCGATGCCAAACGATCTTGATTCATTGTTGAACGCAAATAATTTTTTATCAATTTTAATCTGGAGAAAGATCTTTCTCCTTCTGTATATGATCCAAGAATCGACAAATATATTCTTAATGCAATGTGAACGTTAGGAAAAGTATTCACAAGTTTATCTTTAATTTGAGCCTTAATTTGAGCTTTCTTGTGCAGATTTATGTTCATACAAATTTGAAAATAGTAAAAATTCATCTAGAAAGTTTTCCTCTAAATCGGATGAGTAAATTTTCACCAAATTTTGCGCTTTTAGTTTAATCTCAGATTCTGACAAATTTTTTGCTGGTTTGTTGTTGTATTGTTGATGTGAAGTGTTTACATAGTTATCGATCGAACTAATCATAATGGTATTATCGATATCATCTGCAATATCGGCAGTATGTCGGTATTGCAGATAAAGTTCGATAAACAAATTTGTAAATTAAAATCCATATTAATAAAAATGTAAAAAAAATATGCAAGAAAAGTTTAGCATATATTTTGAAAAGTGGGGAGGAGTGAGGGAAGGATGGGAGGGCCCAAAAACAGCTATGCCTAGGGCCTACGAAAGGTATAATCCAGCTCTGCCTGAGGAAAATTATTTATTTATATATATTAAGTCATCTATATTTTGCTATCTTATTATTTTGTTCATAATTTACTTTAATGTTTTTTATTTTTATTTTCAACAATTAGGAAGACACAAAAACTGAAGTGTACAGTGAAGATAAAAGGACACTGCTTGATATCTTCAGGCAGCTCTGGTACTGTAAAAATGATGAGCAGCAAAGAAGTTGGCCTGTTCATGAAGATGAAGATCATATTAGTAAACTGCTGGTGGATCTGAACAATATACTTGTAAGACTTAAATGCATATTTTTTTTTTCCTTTTTAATTAGATAATACAGTTGAACCTCTATCATATTCCTGTATGAATTATCTTGTTCTAACATACCCTTATAATGTTAGTAACACTTGTTTAGATCAGTTCTGAAACTTACAGATTTTTGCATTCATAATTTAGAAATTTTACATAGATTTGAATTGAGGTTGTACGTTGTTTACGTTGTATTAGAGCTGCTCAGGCTATAGGTGATGGTGTGGGAAACATTCCTGAAGATGATCTGACGTCATGTTCTCACAATTTTGATCGTCTAGAGCAGTGGTTCCTAAGCTTTTTTGTCTCTTAGACCCCTTGCCATGTTTTTCAGTTTATGGATTTTGATTTTTTGTAAACTCATAAACTTCAAATGTATTTTTGACAGCTGGTATAGGGCTACTCACTGTGAAAGATTTAAATTTCTAACTTTAGTGAAGTGTAGTGTGAAAAAGCACATGTTACTTTTATACATTTATTGATTAAATTCAAACTAATTTAATTACTAATTTAATTGAATTAATATTTAAATGGAATAAAATAGTGTACTATAAAACCCTTACTCCGCTACTAATATTATAATTGAGGAAATAAGTTTGTATACAAAACCATAGTAAGGTATTGTCGGTCTGCTTATTAGGTTTTCACGTAAAACAAATCTCCGTGATCTTGTGCGCAGACAAAATTGGAGGTCTAGCTAGCTTAGGAGTTGACACAGGCTATCTACAATTTACTGCGGAAAAATACTTTTTTTAACAAAATAAAACCTTACTCATAGAGAAAATACGAACCTACGCGGGCGGAGCTGCAGGCAATGGCTAGTTTATAATAATTCAGTTTCACATATCGAAAAAAAAAGTATCCTAATAACTTACATTTTAATAAAATGTTTACGTCATAGCTACTTTTATAAATTATGTAGAATGTAGATAGGTGTATGTCTTTATATTATAAGGAAGTATAATGTAAGTAAATAGGTACTATCAGTGTATGTTGATTATTCCATTCATGAAAGGCCAAAATTAAAAGTCACGACCTGTTTATATGAGATCCACTATCGTTGACCCCCATTTTTATTTCATGGACCACCAATTTTTTTTTTCACTTGACATGGACCCCTTGCAGAGGGGGTGGATATAGACCACTTTGTGAATCACTGGTCTAGAGCTTAGGCCCCCGATGACCTGCACATTAGGTACAGCACTTCTCACCCTCTCACTGACCGCAACCAGTGAATCTTGACTATGGTGTTCTACTTCATTTTGAGAAGAAAAACTCTGACTTCTGATGCTAATGATGAAAAAATAAATGAAGATTTGTTACTGTTAATGCCTTAAACCAGGGGTCGCCAAAGTCCTGAAAAATATATTTTTGGAATTNGACCACTTTGGCGACCTCTGCCTTAAACGTATGTTTTTGTAGCAGTTGAGGAAAATGCTGCCACTTGTGGTGTGATGTTGGTTGCAGATATATAATAAGCGTAAAATGTTATCAATGAATATGGAAAATCAGAACTACAACCAATATCAGCTTTTGTGAAATCAAAGCCTTTAAAATGATGAAGAACTTTTACTTAGGAACTTAAAAGAAAATAATAGCAATTTTTTATAAATGTCGACAATTTATGTGGTATTGCTTTCATGATGTTTTGTTACTTTTATATATATGTGGTATTGCTTTTATGATGTTTTGTTACTTTTATCTTTGCTGCACTGCTCTGCACTGCTATAATTACTTTAAAGTTTTAGTTTCTCTTTCATAAGTTTTCACCTGCCTTTTTCTGCCCTTAAATAATTTAACCAAAAATAAAATTTAAAAAAAAAAAGAAATAGCAAGTATAGCCCTACTTATTTTGTGATGGTGGTAACAGCCAATAAGAGTTGAGTATGCTTTGGGGGCTTGGTTAGAGGAGGTGAGAGAAAAGGAAAGGACAGACATGTTTTTGGAGAGCTGAGGTTAAGACACAAAAAAAATATGAGGATCCTCAACAGCTAAGTTATATTATAAGATTTTCTATCACCCCTTAATTATTTTTTTATTTATTTTATATTGTAGCAGTGCAGCTTCATAATGTATAATTTCATGTAAATTCATTTTATGTACCTATTATTAATTAGTGTGAATGCCTTCCTGGAACAAAATTTGTAACTCTAAATATCTTAAATGATCTACTTTAAATAAATAGTTTTAACACCTTGCAATTAGTGATCATTCTAATGATCTTGTTCTCTTACTTAAGAGTATATTATTTTTAATTGTTATTCATTTTTATTCTTATCTTAATGTGTGTGGTGATGAACTGAACATCACCACATTTAACCCCTTCCTTCTTGTTTCCGTCAAAATGATGGGGTTAAGTTTCATTCTTTATTTCTCTTGCCCGTGTTATTTCCGTGTTTTAGTGTTCAAAAATAATGAGCTAAAAAGATTAAGACAATGGATATCTTCTGCCCAGAATCATGTTTATTTCCAAATCTATACACTAGATGGCAGTACCAGACTATTTGTAATATGTTTAGACATAGTTTATTTTAAACTTGATGTCAGCACTCATAAGACATGTATATTCACAATTATATCCGAACATTAAAATGAATACATATATTGTACATCCATTTAGTCTTATATAATTTTCTTGAATAAAATAAATAGGCACTTTTATGGTCGTAAACTTGTTTTAAACTTATGCAACCATTAAGTGGTTAATATTTTGTATGAGAAGACAAATGTGTACAAACCATTAGCCATTAAAAACAAGACAAGTGTGTTTAAAATATAACAAATAAAAATATATTTATTCGAATTTCTTTTTATCATAAATATTTATGCAGTATGCTCAAAAAATTTTTAATCAAGTTTTTTTTTTTTTTGCTTATTGTAAATTTATTTATTTTTAAGTCAAGTTAATTTTTTTTTATACTTTTTCAAGTCCTTATTTCATATTTTAAGTTGACCCGCATTTGTTTTCAACGGAAATCATTGAACCTGTGAAAAATTATCCATCAAGTTTCTACTGTATTTTGTTTATATTTGTAGAATTTATATCACTGGTATATTTTGACTTAAAATTTAATGTTTCATCTACCTTTTGAATTCATAAATTTCTGTAATTTCAGGTTGATGCGAACCCTAGAGTGACTCGAGAAATAGTTCAATGTGACGAATATGAAATGGTTTTGCTGTTAGTTACCTATTATCAAATGGTATAATTTGTTTATGATAGTACTTTATACTATATTATTAAATTAAAAAATCTTTGCAGTGCTTAAAAAATTATTAAAATGATGCAAATTTATAAAATCTTTATAGTCAAACTCACTTTTAACAAGCCCTGATTTAACAAGGAAACCAGAAAAACTTTGTTAATACAATGGAGAATGGCTCGCTTTTAACAAGCAAATCGCAATTGTAGCGAGAAATATTTTTGTGATTCTTAAAACTTTTCCCCACTGCTTCAGCACAACTGATCTTACTTATCCTCTTTGTGCCGAAATGGCTCATAAGGACTCAAATTTATTTTTCCACACACTCCTGTTTTTGGCCAAGCAATGAGCTTCTTCCCATCCAGTTATTCCTGTTCTACTAAGATCTTCCTTAATGCATCTTTGCCGTATTATTCTCGGTCTCTCTCTTTTTCTCTTTCCGTCAGGCATCCATGAGCTTGCACAACTGATATTTTTTTCAATAAGTTTCTTCTGAACTTCCTTCATGCTGAATCTCTTCCAACATACTCAATGGCTTTTGAGTGTATCGAAAAACTTGACTTTGGGTGCAAATGATGATGTTTTTCGGTCATGAATCGAATCCACAGAACAATAACTCGACAATGAGACAATAATATAGTTCAGAGCAAATTGACAAATTTCTTTTGTATTGTACGGAAATAAAAAAAATTAATAAAGTAATATATTTTAAAATTTAGTAAGTATATATGGGCTTTTCTGAATTTTTCAAAGAACCTGTTTTTATTAGCACTCAGATATAATGAGCAAATATTGTGGTTTCTGTTCGCTTTTCGTAAGCGAGGTCGACTGCATTTATTAATTGGTAAAAATAATATTTTCGTATGTAAAATTTCATATTTGAACTCTCCAGTTGTCTCATAAATGGCAAATATGATTGGAAAGTGGTAATAAAACATGATTATGTTTTTCATACTCAGGCCTTTTGCAATAGAATATTTTGATTCCACACCAGCGGTGAGACAGTAGGGTAACACCCCTTGCTGGTGCAATATTAACAATGGATTAAGCTAATAATTCTATTTTTTCTCTTCATATATTTTATTACCAAATTAATTTTCTTCAACAAATAAGTGTTGACCCTTTATATTATTAAACAGTTGTAAGAACATGCGTATAGTGTAATTTTTTAACAATTTATTACATTTAATGTAATCTGAAGGAAAAAAATCTAGTTGTTGTTATATATGTATATATTTTTTTAAAATTTTATTAATAAAATTTACCAAGGTGGTCACGGAATAGGGAAAAGTTAGAAATTTTATTACTCTTGAAAATTCAGGGAAAGCTTTGGTTATTTAAGTAAAAGACCTGGAAAGTCCGACTATAGAATTAATTTGAATTACTAGTACTTAAAAGCCCAATATTTTTCCAATAAAATTTGACTCGTAATAGTTTTTTAAAAAAAAAAAAAATTTTTTTTCATTCTAATAGCAAGCATAAGTGATTTGTAAAATATTTTTTTGTATAAGAATGAGGCATAACAGGAAAGTTAATTATAAAAAAAATTTTATTGATACTCATATAAGGGATATGTAAATAAAGGAAATTTGCTAAAAGCAATCTGGAAAATTCTGAAAAAAAAATTTTTTTTGAGCATTTGTGGCTTAAATTTATTGAAAACGTGTGTGGATTAGAGATATTATATGATATGATATATATAATGTTATCCAGTTTGTACATCATTTCCTAACCTGCCTAATTATTTGTATAAGTATGTTCCACTCTCAAATTTCTTTTGTAAAATTTAGACTCATAATATATGTGTTTCATTATTCCATTAAAGAAATGATTTTTTATTGCTAACTAAGCCTAAGATTCATTATAGGAACCTAGAAGAACACTAAGAATTAAAATGCTTCATGTATTCATGACCCTTTGTGAATTGGACTTGAGGGTTGTGACACATCTATTGAATTCAGTAATAACAATGGAACTTGCCAGAGATATTCAAGATAATTTTGAAGGTGAATACTTTATTCTTAATGATATAAGTTTAAATAAATTTCAGTGTGGATATTTGAACTTAAATATAAAATTAATAATGAATAAATTTTATTTCATTAAACTATCAGGATTCTTTTTGTTTATATTTTATTTTTACACCTTATAATGCATTTTTTTTTTTTTTTTCATTTTCCATACAGTATTTAAGATTTATGTGAGACTAAGCTTTATGTGTGATAATTGTCTTATCAACCTTTCAGAGACATGCAACACTTAAAATAAAATAAAATAAAAAACATTAAGTTATCCTGTTTGCCAATGTATAAAGTTTCTCTGTAAAATTTATTTATTTTTACATTGAATCATGTGCTACAATTAAGCAATGGTATCATTAAAAAACGTTACTGCTTANCTACAATTAAGCAATGGTATCATCAAAAAACGTTACTGCTTAAAGAACCTATGACGTTTCTTAGATTCAGCCTGTTAAAGAATAAATTTCCAATTGTTGTTGTTTTCTTTTCCTGTAAGCTAACTAACACAGCTCAAAAAAAATAAATCCATGTTGAAATTATAAACAACTCTAAATATGTTGAGACATTTCTGAATAGAATTTAACTATAGATATAAAATGATATGTGTGTCTAATAGTGCACAAGGAAAAGTATAATTTCTTGTTTGTACATGAAATTTCATTTTATTTGACAATATATTTATCCCTCTTACCCAAATTGTCAACTTTTCCTTGAAAAGTTTGAAATTTGACCTTTTTTTTTTGTTAACTTTCTTTGATCTTTTCTTTGAAAATTTCTTTTTGGACTTTTCTTTGGATATGCTCTCTCTCTCTCTTAAAATACGGTCAGGCATTCCTGAATAGAATTTAACTATACACTTAAGGTACTTTGAGTGTGTCTAATGGGGCACATGAGAAGGTATAATTTCTTATTTGTACATAAAATTACACTTTATTTGACAACATACTTATCCCTCTTACTAAAATTTCAAACTTTTCTTTGAAAAGTTTAAAATTTACTTTCTTTTTTTTTTCTTTCTTTGAATTTTTTTTCCTGAAAAGTTTAGTGTACATTTTACAAAATAAAAAAATTTTAACTCTAAATTCATGACCTAATGATCAAATTGTCTCCATGGTTTGAGATATGAAATCGATCTCTTTACTCATTAATAATAAAGAAAAGAAACTATTTCTCTGAGTAAACATTATTTTTTTCAACAAATGCAGATTTTTCTGGTCTCTAAGATGAACCTTTAATCTTCAAGATATTGTCCCAATGGCTTATTCAGAAGACAAATAGTTATGTTGCCTTAATGTTATTTTATTAATGTTTTGAATATTTTTTATGCCTCAAAAACTAATTGCTTGAGTCAACAAAATCTTAATTGCCATTCATAAAACTCTAGGATAAGTTTTCGAGAAACTGATTTTTAATTATTATTTACTATATTTCATGCTTATTTATCAGTAATCAAAGTCATTAAAAAATCTTAAATTCAATTTTTTTTTTAGATATTAGCATAATTATTTTAAAGGCTTTTTCTTGTTTGTTTTTTTTTTTTTGTTTTTTTNTTTTTATTTTAATACGATTAAAAATAAAGTTTAGGTTTTATGATTGGTTACAATATAGTTGTTGTCAAAAGAAATTCTAAAATTAATTTTTTTGTGACTGTGTAAGAGTAAAATATTTTGAACATTTGTTTTTTACTAACACTTTTCTTTCATAAATACTTTATTTATATTAATGCAGTACAGAACCCGTTATTCGGAAATCAGAAAACCGGGAAACCAAAAAACCGGAACGATATTCGATAAATTTTCCCTCCATTTTAAAAAAAATTTCCCTCTTAAGATTTTAGGATTTTTCTTTCTTTTTTGAAAGATGACGTTACCATCATTTTGGAAATAATCATTAGTGTATTACTTCATCGTTTTTTCTTCTTTTTGAGATTATTTCCAAATATTTTTAATATTTTTTTTTAGTTGGGTTTAACAATAAAAAAAACAGCTTTTTGTAGCGATTCAGAAAACCGGAAAAATCAGTTATCCGGAATAGTGATGGTCCCGATCATTCCGGATAATCGGTTCCCTACTGTACATGAAACTTGATCAAAATATTTTTTTTTTCTTGATTATCTATATTTATTCTCAAAGTTATTTGCATTATTCTAATGAAATATTTAAATATATTAATTTCTTTATTACCCTCTTTTCACATTTTTCTTTAACAAAATTGATTTTTACTTTGCTTGTTTGTCTTTAATAAGGATGTAATTCCCTTCTTGTTTTTTTTTTCTTTGAATTTAAAAAATTTTTTTTTTTTTTTAGATAGAGAAAAGGTATTATATTCAACATGCTTATTAGCTGCAATTTTTAGTACTGGTGAACAACCTCCTACAGGAACATATGGTAAGACGTGTAATTTCTTTCCAAATATTATTATTAAAATGTTATGCGCATAAGCGTTTTGTGCATTATTTGTTACCTTTTGACTGGTTATGAATGTATCTTCTTTTTGAAGTATTGGATTTTATATAACATTACGTTCGAAATTGACTTTGGTACCTATGATTTATCAAATCAATCTGTATATAATTCATTATCAGAAATATTGATGTGTGATCTTCCTAAATTTCGAATTGCTACATAAGATAAATCTTTTTCAATTCTTATTATTGTAGATTAAAATATTTTTACATTGTTTTGTGCCTTATAATGCGTTTTTTTTTTAACTTATATTTTTTATATGAAGTTTTAAATAGAACTTTGATAGTAAAATTTTAAAATAAATTAGTCCATCTACTTTTTTCCTACTCTTTTTCTTTTTAAAAGATCTGAGATGAACTAATTAAATTAAGTTTACTAATTGACTACATCACCCAGAAAAAGTAATTTTTTCTTATTAATTTTAATGTGTTATTAATATTACTCATAAATTGACTTTAGAGCAAAAATTTAATGTGTACCTGACTTTGTTACATAAAAAATAAACAATGGAATTTTGTTGAAATTTTATTTTTAAAATAAAGAGTTAACTTTTATATTATTTTGTAAAAATTTAATTATAAAATTTTATTTCATACCCTTAGAATTTTTTTTTTATCAAATTTTAAAATGTTATAAAACAATCAAAAGAGAAAAATTTATTAATTATAGATATGTAACTTTAAGAGGTCTCATAATATCACCTATCTAACACCATTATGCAATTTTATACTATAATATTTTGCTGGATAATTTTCATTGCTTCCTTAGTTTATCAAAAAAGTGGTTTTTTGAAAATAAACTCTTTTATGACTTTTTAACCATCATAAAAGTTTGAATTTTATTTTACAGATTTCATCAATAAAAAGTTTCTTCACTTTTTATTTGAAAAATTAGAAGAAGTAGTAAAAGACGGGGAAGAAGATGTGGGTGATAGCTTACTTAGTATTATTTTATCATTTAATCTTCATTTTAAAAATCCTGATGAAAATATAGTCATGGGAGCCTTGAAAGAAAGAAATTTTGCTCAATATTTGACTGAAAGATTAGTATTTTTGCTCAATAGAGAAGGTAAGCTTTATTTTGAATGTTTATTTTAACATACTTATTTTCAATCTCTTAAAGAGCCCTTATGAAAGATCCTTGAAATTGTTTTTCATTTTTTTTTTATATTTTATTCATTTATTTCCGATTAATCATACTACTTTGTCTTTTTTTTGTAGAAGATCCATCAAAAATTTTAAGTCACTCAATGGAAACACCTAACTCAGTTATGAAATTTATGGTGGATTTGTTTCATTTCTCCAATCTAATTGATCTGTTTTATCTAAATGATGTGAAAGTCTTGCTGGATATTGTTGTTAGACAACTTACAGATTTGCTTCCTGGGGAAAAAGTAAAAAAACTTTTACTCATTTTATTAAAGTCTTAACTAAAATAAAATTTTTAATTCTTTTGTATTTTTAATTTTTTTTTATGCTTTTATTTATTTTGAAAAAAGAAAGAAAATCTCAAATCCAAAAATCTTTTAAGTAAATGAATGTTTTTTTATGTTATTCGATCTAAGTAATGACATTATAAGAAAAACAGATACCAGGGCTCGAAAAAACTCAGCAATTTTACCCAGGACGGCTTGTCCAACAATGCACCCGTCCTCCTTTGAAACTAACCCGTCGCTTCTAAATAAATAAAAATATTATTTTTTCTTATTTATTACAAACATTTATATAAATTACACAATGAATTAGTAACTACTAGAATTACATTATACAGCTATAAAAGAAATACTGGGTTACTAATAGTAAAACCTAGTATTTCTTTTATGAAGTAATTTATTTCTTTTATGAAATAATTTAAATGACAAAGGTCAAGTTATCTGGAATGTCAATTTATCCGAGGTTACTGAGTTTTTTAAATGAATCAAGTATGACGTTTAACAGTTCCGCAATCAAGCCTATGATTTACAGAGATTTCTGCACAGAAATCTGAAAAGGGTTTTCCATTTAGGTGGATGTTCATAATTGCGTTTAACGCTTACGTAATGTGTTTTTTTGTAAGTTCATTGCTGAAAAATCCCTTTAAACTGCTGCAGTACTCCCAGACGGAAAAAACATCAATCCACCATGTGCTGTATGTTGCTGTACGGGATTTCTAGATTAGAGGGTCATTTTAGAAGTGAAACGCTAGACTCTTGTAAGATAACAAAAATTGAAAGTGTATCACGAACATTAATGAGAAAATGGCCCGTCCACGCGGACATCTGATTCGAGAAATTCGTTGTCCGCGGGAAATTTTTGACCGCCGCAGACGGGTGGTTTTTCGAGCCCTGATAGATACTGTAATTTAATCATAATATTTCACCAAATAAATTAATTTCAAAACTAAAAGTTTGAAAGAATGATGTTTTATTTAAATTCTTTGTTTTTATTTAATTAAAAAAATGAAAGTTATCTCTGTTTTCAAAGCACTCATAATAATGTATTTATAATATACATTATCAGTACGATAATTTTAGTAATGTATTTTATTGGCTTGATTAATAGAATTTACAACAATTATTGTCATATGCATTATTAGAATTGCATATTGGCTTTAAAGTTTTGAACTATATTTTTAATAAAAGCAAAAATCAATAAAAACTGCATTTTAAACAATGGAAACTCATTTTTTTGAATAATTAATCCTTTCACTTTTACATTATTTCATCATTTTATATATTAGTGAGGGAATGGGAAATTGATTAAAATTTAAAAACAGCTGCTCAACCTAATTGAAAAGAAATAAGACAAATACTTATGTATTCATGCAAGAAAGTTACAATTATTATTCATTTTTCTAAGCAGCAATTTATTTTATCTTTAAAAAAGAACATGAAGGAATTAAGGGTGTAAAATATGTTACCTGGCTTGATGTATTCAAATTTACTCTACAAGCAAGCTGTGGTAAGTTAAAGCTTGCAGAAGAAGAAAAAAATGTTCAAAAGTTAGGAAAGTTAATTTTTTAGAATACCAGAGTTACCTGAAATTCAATTGCAATTCTCAAATCTGATTCAGTAGTAAAAAAAGTGATTTGATTTTTTTGAATAGACTAAGAAAAAAAAGTATATGAATCTTAACATCGTTACACTAAGTGTTAAATTGAACTACAGTGTGAAGCTAGTTAGTTATAAAGTTTAAATTTGAATTGTCAAAAATGACTATTGATATGGCAGAGCCCAAATTTATTCAAAAGGTAAGAAAGTATATCTTTCAGAATGTCATAGGTATCTGAAATCTGAATTAAGTTATTAAAAAAATTAATAATTTTTTTAATAACCTAAATCGATTTTTTTTTATTAAACTAAGCCAAAAAAGTGTATGAATCCTAACATCTTTACAGTATGATTAAATCAAATTAGAGTGTGATGTTAGTTCTAAAGGTTAAATAAGAACAGTCAACAAAATAACTACTTATGTTATCACAAATTTATTTAATTCTTAATGACTAAAATCTACTTAAATCTATGTTCACAGATCTGAAATTGTTTTGGTATTGTTAATAGTTCTAGTTGTTATGGTATTGTTAATTGTTCTACACAATTTAGTGTTTTTTTTTTTTTTTTTATCCTTCTTATTATACTTTCAAAACATCTTTTGGCAAAAGATGTTGACAATAAGTATCATTGGGGGAAAAAAACAAAAAATGAGTTTTTTTTCTCATGAGTTTTTTTTATTATTATTTTTTAATTTATAATGTATTTACATACAGTGTTAAAATGTCATATAGATCTAATGCAACAATTAGCTTTTTGTACTCAAATTTTGTTATAACCCGAGTAACAAAAATCCTCCAGCAATGCAGTGAGCATTATAGATTTTTACACCAACTGCAAATTATTTTTGTTCCAAATTTTTATTTATGCTTAAATAGTTAACAAACAAATTAGGAGAAATCACTGAAACTCCTTTTTAAAACATCTCTAAATTCATTTTTTTTTTATTATTATNTTTTTTTTTTTTTTTGGTATTATTATATAAAATTAAACCTGAATTTTAACAACATAAAGTTTTTGTGTGCAATTTTTAAAGACTATATATGTAAATTCTGCTTCATGTTTTGTTAGTTTAACTTGAATTCATACAACAATCTTTGTCTGCAATGGAGTCGCAGACGAATTTGAATTTATGTAGATAGTGCTGGCAGCAGATTCACTCCGTAAATTCTGTTAATGGGGTTATAACTTAGACTAATAAATAATCATGATTTTGGTGTCTCATGCAACAAATATATGACAATAATGTCGATAGAACTTTTATAAATATGTAGATTCTCAATAAATTGAACAAAATCTTTAGTATCAATTGCAAATAGTAATAACTATAGCATACCTCCCAAGTCTCCTGTTTTTTAACGAAGACTCCTGTATTTTACGATTGTCTCCTGTTTACCCATATATGCTCAAACTTCGCCGTATTTATTGAAGAAATTTTTTTTTTTTTAAATTGTTGATGGAATATCCGCTGATATCCAAAATACTTCTCTTCTTCCTCTACAGATTCTTCTATTGCCAGTATCGCACTATGTTTAGTGTTAATAATTTAAGTACCCCTTATGATCAATCTGACCATGGGACATTTTCGTGGTTTTCCTCTCTATGTAACTCAAATACGGGTTAGTTCCAACAAAAAGTCCTCCACAGAGGCAAATTTCTCCCAATACTTGATTGATCCAGGAGCTCCCTTGTCTCCTGGATTGGGTTCAAAATTACAGGATATGAAGTTGAACATTAGTAGCTGTAAACCCAAAATTGGGTCAGCTGTTTAACAATGGTTATAAAATAGTTTAAGTAATAAATAATGGTTTAAAAAATCTTCTTTAGAATAAGAGTTGTACTTATTTTTTACTTCGCTAAATGTAAGTGCTTATGTTATTTCCAATTTTTAATTTATTTTTTTGGCTTACATGACTATGTATGATGTTTCAAAAATTTTCTCGCAGCCTAAAAAATCTCCGTTATTTTATTTCTCCAATGGTGGCAGGTATGCTATAGATTAATATTATTTTTCCATTCATTAATGATTTAAGACAAAATTTTGCAATGTATTTTATTTATTTATTTTTTCATTTCTTGATTCAAATTTTTGTCTTTTTCCAGAGACGTCTTGAATATTTATGCCTTGTTAGAAATCTTTTGAAAAATTCTAATTATGATGAACACATGCATCAAGTAGAAGGCTTAAATAAGTGTTTCAAATTTATACTAGATCAGGAATTCCCTGAGGAATCAGAAGTTGCAATTGTTACTGACATAAAGAATCAATTTCCATCTTGGTTTTAAATTGTATGTTACATTTTTTCAAATTATAGATTCAACATATCATACTTAAAAATATCTATGCATATTATAATGTTACAAAGTATTTATGTTCTATTCACAATTGTTTAAATTTTATATTTTATATATCAAATTTCTTTAGTATTTTAAACTATTGCTTTTATTGTTTGTTTTTTTTATACATATATTTAGCAATTAAATAAAGCATATTCCTTAAACTCATGCACTGAGAAATGAACGTATGGAATTTTTTTCATTTTTCTCATAAAATATATTGATACTTTACTTTGATTAATTTATACTTTACTTTGGCTAGATGGTAGAATTTGGTGCCGCTTGGATTGAGCACTGAACTTTGGAACTTTTACTGTATATAAAAACTTCCATTTTCCAATAATTCTAATTATTAGGCAATCTCACTTTTTAATCAAATTCCTTGTATTCTGTAAGAACATAAAAAAAAATCACCAAGATAACAGAGGCAGAGGCACCCAATTGTAAATTTTTACCAAATACAAACAATACAAAGCATTTCAAGCTTCTCAAACTAAACAAAAATTCTGATTTTAAAATTATATTTTTTTTTTTTATAAAATATATTTCATATTTAGTTCTTGCATGAGAAACTGATCTGGTTATTTAAATCTATTTTTTTTTATTCATTCTATTTTTTCAGCTTTTTTTATTAGTTATTTCAAGCAGTTTTAAAAAATCAACTGCTGTTGGTTGTACCTAGACAACAGGATAGTTAATTGTTAAAAAAAATTCATATGTTTTTCATGAGTCAACTTATAAGTTCTCACAAAATTTATAATTAAATATTAATAAATAACCTATATGTTTACAATTGTTATGGTGTCTCTTTATTTCATGTTACATACTTTGAATGGCAACTTTTTAATGACTCCCCCATAGTTTTCTGATTTGTGTATAATGGTGTTCATTAATGTCTGATTTTACAAAATTTAATTTATATCGCAATTTCTATTTTTTAACTCTCATTCAGTGACAACAATATTTTTTTAAGCAAGTATGTAAATAAAGTTTAAGGATATGCTTTATTTTTTAAAACATATATAATTATGTCTTCAGTATTTATGATTTTGTATTATCATTATATATTTTTTTATTTGCTAACATTATAATGTTTATGTATATTGGATAGAAAATTTTTATGTAATGTAAAATGTCTATATTCTTAGTGCCAAAGAAAAAGTAAATTCTAATCTCTGTATACTTTTCTGAATGTATATGGATTTTGAATATTTTAAAATCTATTAATGATTTCTTCCCCTAATTTTTTTAACATAGGTGCACAAAATTTGCATATAAAGTCTTTTTTTTTTATGTGAAGAAAAAGTCATTAATGATCATCAATCAAAAAGTTGTTTTGAAATTTTACTAATGCAAAATAAGAAACATAATTTGAGTTTAAAGCCAAAAAATTACCTAATTATTAATTATTATCTGATTATAAAAAATTTGCTTACTATAACCAAATTATTTTATTGCTAGACAATTTTGAGTGATAATTGTCTTTGGTTAATATTTGGTCTAGAATTGTCTCATTATGATTCGTAATAATTATAAGGCAAAATTAGGAAAATTTGCCACGTCATCATCCTGATTCACCCGTCTAAGCCACAGTGGGTTTTCCTGGTCTGTTTATTCATGATGTTATTTATTCTTTCTTGTCTATTGAAGTTTTCTAGTTTTGTTTCTCTCCTTTATTTTCCATTTTTTTGTTAGCAACTTAACGTTTTGTATTTCAAATCACTTTTGTTTCTTCTCATTCACGTCTGGCTAGTCTTGAAAATATGTGCCTATTTACGAGCCCTTGTAACATGTTGACTATTTTTTCCAATCTGTATATTGTTGTAGTTAATGTCATTTCATTTTAAGCATTTCTCAAAATAGGGTCAAGATTTCCAAAGACAAGTGCAAAATAAAGTCATTTTCAAAACTTTATAAATATTAATAATAATTCCATACATATTTTTAAAAAAATTATAAAAATACACATAAGGTGAATTTGCGACAAAAAGCGATTGGCTGACAATTTTTTAATCACCACTTGTTATATTTAGTAGCTCTATGGCCAAAGGCAACTATTAATTTTGCCATATACTAATAACTAATTAGATCATTATACATTAATAATGGTTAGTACATTAAGTATAATTGTCTAATTATTGAATGATTTGTTTTGAAGCCAGAAAACAGAAGTAATGTTTTGTAAGAAAATGAGCAAAACAAAATTTTAAAAATCAATTTTCTTCATAAATTAATGGTCACATCTATGACATTAAAATTTTTTTTTAACAGTGGATTCAAATTTATTTTTTAACAGTGGATGAAAAGTGCACAATTTTTAAATATGGAAATTTTGATGTTACATAGAGCTGTTCCTTTAGGTAATTAAAGAATTTTTTTAGTCCCTGATGTTGCTTATAACCCCTGAATTAAGTAATATTGCATCCGAATGAATTCAATAAGTTGGGGTCCTATTCTAGTTATAAAAAAATGTATGATAAATTATATCCTTGGCACAAAATATTATAATTATTTCTTCAATATTATTTTCGTAATTTCAAACATTTACTTTTTTATGATTTAGTTGATTCTTAATTTTTATTACATTAAATCCTTATTAGTTGTATATATTTTTTATTTTATTCTATTTATATTATACTACTTAAATTAAGAGTGTTTGATTTTGGACTCAGTGACACTGTCTCTGTCCCTGAACCTAATTTTTGTCTACTTCCAAGCAAAAGTTGAGCGCCTCTAGCTCATTTTAGTTGCAAATTTTATTTTAAGTAGCTCAAATCAATTTCAACTGGACTTGTATGTTTGTAAATTATGTCGTTTTATCCCCTTACCTACTTTTTTCCTCTATGAGCATTCCTTAAAATACTAATGTTCCTAATATAAGCCTGATTCCTTATTATAATCTATCAACAACAAACTTTTTTTAAACTGTCCCACTGTTTTGAAAATGTGATAATTTGGGAGAATGTTTTATCCATGTGCACTATTTCTCTTTCTAATAGCATGGAAAAACTTGATTTGCTGTGTAAAAGGAAGAATGTAGGTTGAAATTCAAATTTCTAGTAAGACCATCAATATGGTTAAAACATGAAATAGGTAATGCATTGTTACATTGTTCAAACTGAGTAGTAAACACAAAGGACAAAGTTGAAAAATAAAAGCAAGAAGTACGGTAATTTATAGACAAAACTATGCTAGTATACAAAATAAGTTATAGGCAAAACTGCAATATTTAGAATAATTATTTAATTTACTTTTTTATATTCTAAGTTCATTTTTGTACATTTGTTTTTTTCATAAGACTATAGGTTTTGAAAATATTACATCTCATTTTCCATTCATTTCCATTATATTTAAGCCTACATATATTATCCAATAAAAAATATTACTTGTTGACTGCAGTGTTACTATTTTCTTGTGAAATAATATATCTTATATTTTCCTTGTAAACAAATTCTCTTATTACTCTTATTTGCTGTTAATTTTCTCTGAACAATAACTGTAAGTTTCTAATCATTTTTGTAATGTAGCATTATTACCATCATGGGTTTAATGTTTTACTATTGAAATTGTATCCAAAGTTTTCTAATGTTTATTTGCCTCTGCTATAATTTTTTTTCTTCGCTTTTTAGCATTTTTTTTGTTCTAATTTATCTTTAATATTAAATTTATTGTTATCAGCTATTCTTTTACCTTTTGATCCAGAAGCTCTTATCAACCTGATTGTTTTATTGCATGACCAAATGATTCATCCATATGTTATTTGTTGAAAGTTCTTTATGTTAGTTTCAAGATAATTTGTTACACACTTATGTGCTACTTAAAATAATTCCTTTTAAACTAATTAGGATTACGGAGCATTTTAATGAATACTTTTTACTTTTAAAGCCCAGAATGTATTCTTAGATATGTGTTGTAATTAAGAGAGAATGTATGCCTGATATATTTCCAGAACAATGAATTATTTGGTAGTTATTTTCTGTTTAAGTCAACTAAGCACTCTTTAAAGTTTTTTAACCAGTCGAAATTAAATGGATACTCTAAGTAAGTAGATAAAAAAATTATTGTAGCTGATAAAAAAATAACTTTTAGGGTTAACAATTTCTTCCTAATTTCTTAACATTTTTCAGTTACATTTCATGATTTACATATTTTAAAATTTGCTCCCAAAACATATTCTAGCTAAATAACATGGTTTTCTTTTTTATTACATTTTTATTTGCTTTTAAATGATATTATTTTTTTTTCTGATGGCATCATTACTCTTAAATCAGAGCTTATTTAAAAGATAATATATTGGTTTTTCATATTAAAATTAGTCTTAACGTATGTAAATTATACCTTTTTTAACTTGCAAAATTAATAGTCATTGATTTTTACTTTTTATGCTGTACTATTTTTGTCAATAAGCTAAATATTAATTAAAAGTATGTGAATCATAAGTTTTTTATTTAAATAAACTTAAAATACTGGAGCAAAAAATAATTTAAATATAAATGCAAAGTTTGAGCTCGTCGTGGACCTGAAAAAAATTTCTAGGCCCCCATCTGGAAAAAGTTGTGTCACCCTATGTTAAAATGTTATTTACAATCATTGATTCCTTTTGCATACTGAATTTTAACAATAAATTTTTATTTCATGTTGCAGTTCTATATTAATTGAAAATAGAATAGAAAAGGGACATTTACCTATGTTCCTTGTAATTATACATATTTTACTTATAATTCTTCTTGTTTAGTTTTTCTAGCAAATGTTCCTAACTCATTAATTTCTTTGACTTAGCTACTTTTCCTTAACTTTGCCCTAGACATCCAACATACTGTGATTACTGTAGATTTACTATAGTGATACATCAAAGTCAAGTATTTAACATATTTTGCTCTGTATAAAAATAGAATTTCTATCTAATATAATAAAATGTAAATAAAATATTTTAATGGGAAAGTATTTTTGAAGTGAAAAAATGTGTAAGAAATATTATAGTATGTCAATTCTATCTATGCATTAAATGGTATGCTGAACAAAAATAATTACATTTGTGTAGAAATATTATCAAGATCAAACATGTCTGTTTGCCTGGTGCATGATTCAAGTTAAGGGAAAATATTATTTTTAATATTTATTATTAAATTGGGGAAAACATTATGCATCTAATTGTATATTATGTGATAAAGACATTAAATTTAATATACAGTGAACTCTTGCTACTTCGATATCCGATACAACAATAACTCCCTCTATTAGGATAATGTTACGTGGTCCTGACGAACTTTCGTATGAATCAATGTTACCCTCCTCTCAATATTACTATATTCTCTGAAGCAATAAACCCTGTAAAACGATTTTTTTTTCAAATTTCCACCCTCATTGCCTCTATTTATTATTGGTTTTCAAATAATGTAAAAAATCTTATTTTGTCATCTTTTGCCATTTATCCATTTTTTTCTAACAAGAGAAGACTCATTGCTGACCCCCGCAAGAGCTTCCATTCTTAGAATGGCCTCCCTTATCTCTTAAGAAGTCACAGATGTAACATTCCTATTTGATTTAATTTCTTTCATGTTTAAAGGTGATCATGAGTCACAAATAACCACAAGCATCACATTAACATCTGAAAAAGAACTTTTTCTGTGGAGGGAGGGTGGAGCGCCATTCACAAACGAAAATCATTTTCGTATTTTGAACTCAATGCATACTTTGTTGGCTGACTTAACAGTCAGAAAAATGAATAAACAAACAAAAATATCAGATTATTTTCAACAAAAACAGTTTTCAGTTATGTTTGCGATCTTATTTTATTTCAATTGTTTTTAATATTTAACCATAATCATAATGATATGTATATATTATATAAAAAATGTATATATTATATAAAAAATTAATTTGCGGAGTACAAATTAATTTTTTATATAATATATACATTTTTAGTTAATACATATATAACTTTAAAATTTAAAAAAAATCTTATTGTGTCCTTCGATATAACAATATATTCCTCTACAACAATATATTTATTTGGTCCCAAAAATATTGTTGTAGCGAGGTTTTACTGTATTTATTTGGTCCCAAAAGTATTGTTGTAGTGAGGTTTTACTGTATATGTGTGTATGGTATATATATATATATAAATTGAACAAATTTTTTTTAAAAAGTACTTCTTTCTTTATGATGAATCAGGAAATTGCGAATAGTTCAACTTTGGTTCTAAAAATCTGGTTCCTGATTAAGTTCATTATGAAACTCGAATAAAATCTTCAAAAGTTAAAGAGAAATGGCTGGATCTATAAAATTTGTACTCACAACCAGATAATTCTACTGTTTAATGGTTTCCTTGGGTCTTCAAAAATTTTAATAGTGATATAAAATTTAATAAAAAAATTTAATAATACCAGCAATGTTAATATCAGCCGGAATTTCTTTTTTTAAGATGACACTTTAACGTTTTGAGATCAAATGGGAAAGTCTTAGATGCTGATACATATATTTTTTTCTTCAAGATAACTTATAGTAGTGGTCACTAAATGGATGAAATAATCAAGGTTTGCCTCGTTTTCATTGATACTATTCAATTTTTGAGAGGCCTCTGGGAAAATCAAAACTCTAACATAGTTCTTTTTTTAATAGTTAATGTTCAACGTCAACTATAATTATATTCATGTCAACAGTTAAGATAATAACATGCATCAGATTCTATTTCAGATCTATAATTTAACTTTTTTTTTTATTTATATTTCTGAAGAAATTGAAAATTTTCCACACTGTTTAAAATTTTTATCATGAACTTTTCAAAATCTATCTAAATCAACAACAAAGTATTAATAAAGATTGAAGTCAGGTTTATCAACATGGCTCATTAATTCATTTTGGTAATTGGTTTAAGTCATACTGAGATTTCAATTTAATACTTGCAAGCGACGTCGCACAGGGCTCAGCCAGTCTGGTTTAACACACACAAGTGACGTCGCTTACAGGTATCCAAACAAATCTGGCACAAAATTTGATTCAGCTTGACAGTATACCCAAGCCTTAAGGCTATAATGTTAACATGCCATGCACAACCATATGATAAGTTGAAAGTACCTTATTGTCACTTTAGTTATCTATATATTCACTACTAATATCTATAAGTTTTAATTTTATATAGTTCTTAAAATTATTTTGTGAAAGTGTTATGTTACTAACATTCCATTATTCCAAGATAGTTTAAACAGTGTTATGAGTGAAAAATTTTGGCTAATTTAAATAGTTCAAAATATAAAGAGAATTATACAAATAAGTATTTATAGTACTTTAAATACATGATTTAGAAAAGTTAGAATGTATGCTGTGTCTGCTTGTTTATTTATTTCAACCATTCATTTGTTTTGCAATTTGCTTGAAATATGCAATTCTCTAAACTTTTTTTTAAATATTCCCTTTCTGATATTGCTATCTTTAGAGATGTCTTTTGATGTGTGTTAAATACCACTCTCTCATTTTTCCATTTAACATAGTTATTTAAAATTATACTTGTTAATATTTAGATTTTATTTATATCTAAATAAAGTTCTATTAAATTTAGTATTTGTATTTATTTTTAAGTGTCAAAAACTTCAACATGATTTACAAATATAAAGAAAAATCTTATATATTATTTTAAAAAAAGTTTTATGATTGCCTTATTAAGTAGTTTTTCCATTTAATCTTATTTAATTTAATTTACAATTCTATCTTAAATATTGTTAAACAAGAATAAATTAATTGAATCGAATATTTCTTCTTTTTTTTCCCCCTCTTAAGAGACGTTTATATCAAGATAGAAACTTTTCATGACGAATTCACTTTTACCTACGTAAGTAATTCTAAGTATAGAAAAAAATGAGTTGAAGTAAACCTTGAGTAAACCATGATGTTTCAAATGCCATAAAAAAGTTTTTCAAAACATCAAAATGCAAACAAATTATGGCAGAATTACTAAAGATCTCGCTGTGAGGAAGTTAATCGTGAAATAATTTGTTTGGACTTTGATATTTTTAAAATATTTTTTCAGCATTTTAAACAAATTAATTCGTTTTTATTTATTTATTTTTTGTAAGTAGATAGGTACTTTATTTACGTCACACTAGAGCTGCACATTGGCGATGGTCTGGGAAGCATCCCTGAGGATGATCCGAAGACATGTCATCGCAATTTTAATCCTCTGCAAAGGATATGGCTCCCTTGCTTAGGTGGCCCGACAATCTGCGCGCGAAGNTTAGAAAAGTTAGAATGTATGCTGTGTCTGCTTGTTTATTTATTTCAACCATTTATTTGTTTTGCAATTTGCTTGAAATATGCAATTCTCTAAACTTTTTTTCAAATATTTCCTTTCTGATATTGCTGTCTTTAGAGATGTCTTTTGATGTGTGTTAAATACCACTCTCTCATTTTTCCATTTAACATCGTTATTTAAAATTATACTTGTTAATATTTAGATTTTATTTATATCTAAATAAAGTTCTATTAAATTTAGTATTTGTATTTATTTTTAAGTGTGATGAAAAATTCAACACGATTTACAAATATAAAAAGAAATCTTATTTAGTATTTAAAAAAAAAAGTTTTATGATTGCCTTATTAAGTAATTTTTCCATTTAATTTTATTTTATTTAATTTTCAATTCTTACAATTCAATCTTAAATATTGTTAAACGAGAGTAAATTAATTGAATCGAACATTTTTGGCTGCTGTTTTCTTTTTTTTTTTTTCTTTCTTTTTTCTCCTTTCTTAAGAGACATTATATCACGATAGAAAATTTTCATTGCGAATTCACTTTTACGTACATAAATAATTCAAAGTATAGAAAAAGTGAATTAAAGTAAACCGTGATGTTTCAAATGCCATAAAAAAGTGTTTCAAAACATTAAAATTCAAGATCTCGCTATGAGGAAGTTAATCATGAAATAATTTGTTTGGACTTTGATATTTTTAATATATTTTTTCAGCATTTAAAACAAATTAATTCGTTTTTATTTATTTATTTTTTGTAAGTAGATATTATTTACATCACACTAGAGCTGCACATTGGCGATGGTCTGGGAAACATCCCTGAGGATGATCCGAAGACATGTCATCGCAATTTTAATCCTCTGCAAAGGATATGGCTCCCTTGCTTAGATGGCCCGACAATCTGCGCGCGAAGTCGACCACTTTACGGTAGAACAGCTTAACGAGGACCGATACCTCTCACCCTCGGTCCCTGTGTAGGCTGATCAAAGTGGTCACCTAACTGCTTACTGGTCGCAGCCAGTGATGCTTGACTTCGGTTTTCTACTGGGAACCGTGTCTTTACGATCAGTCCACTGCAGGCCTATTTTTTTTATTTTACTCCTTGAATGAAAAAAATATTCAAAATAACAACAAAAAAATCGATGTCAATTATTATTTTCCTACATCAAAATATCAATTTTGATATTTTAAGAAAATTCAGAATATCAAAATTTTTTTTAAATAATTTTTCAGCATTTGGAACAAATTATTATTTATTTTATTTGTAATTTTAGAAAAAAAATTATCAAACAAATATTTTATATCAATTATTATTTACCTATATAAATTTTTATATTTTAAGAAATTCCAATGTATCAAAATTTTGAAAATATTTTTTCAGCATTTGAAACAAATAAATTAGTTTTTTATATTTGTAATTAACATGCTGATTTCTTTTTTTCAAAATCCAAACAAATTATTGCCGGTTTACTAAATATTATGCAATGGCTGGAGAAGTTAATGTTGCAATAATTTGTTTGCATTTTGATATTTTTAAAATATTTTTTCAGCATTTAAAGCAAATTAGTTTTTTTTTTAATTAAAAAAAATATCAAGCAAATGTTCTATATCAATCATTATTTACCTATATAAATTTTAATATTTTGAATAATTCAAAATTTCGAAATATTTTTTCAGCATTTGAAAGATTTTTTATATTTGTAATTTACATGCTGATTTTTTTTTCTTTCTGTAATTAACATGCTGAAAAGTAATTCAAAAT